TCAACTTCAACAAGATGGATCCCAGGACACAAGGGAGTAGCAGGCAATGAGTTAGCAAATAAAGTGGCAAAGGAAGCAGCAGAAGGAGAGAGAAAGTCAAGTTCATGAGAATGCCTACCATCCTTCCTCCAACTCAACAAACTCCCAGACAGCATCTCAGCCCTAAAACAATGGCACAAATCAGACCTGAACATCAAGTGGTCAAAGACCTGGAAGAAATCACCTTGCTATGCACACACATCAACCATTGACTCCAGTGTGCTGTCCAACAAGTTTATCAAGCTTGTCACCACCCTTCCTAGACACCAGACCCACACGACCCAGTCAGCTTCCGCATCTGCTCCTATGGCTCCGCTTGACCGCCTTGTCAGTTGCCTTCCGCATCATCCATTCTACTGTAAATCCTCTTGCCCCATTTAGATATATACTTTCCCCATTTGCACTTAGTACTTACTTCCTGGATCACCGGTACTTCCTATAACCACTCAACTAACTGATCCGACGCGTACATATTGATATCCACTCTGACTTATGTTTTTCACCTGTATTCACTTACAAATTGTATACTTGGTACATAGCCTCCTACCAAGGACTAACCAGTCACTGCCTCCTACTTAGAAGTATATAAAACATATCCTGTACTTAGCTACACCCCAGTCTTAATATTACTTGTCTTCCCGCTGTCTCTACTAGTGGGAATTCTCCATAGGACTTTGCTCCCTCTCCAGACACAAGTATACCTTGTTGTCACCTCTGACCCTCTGCTCCGACTTTAAGAGCCGCGCTCTAAAGTGTTCGCTCTTACTTCTCTGACTTCCCCTGTTGTTCCCCTTGCTCCCCTCTGTTCCAATAAGCTTCCTCCACCTTCTCCACTCCACTCCTAGTCAGATTACCACTAGCAACACTTACCTCCCGACCCACCAAAGTGGACCAAAGTGGTCCACTCATCCTATCATTGGACATTGTCAGATCTGCTCCAAATTCAGGGCATGTACTTGGCTAAGGGTGCAGCGCAAGAGCTGAAGCCAAGCCCCAACCCTTCCGCTTCTTCATTCGAGCACGGTCTCTAACACCTACACCGCAAAGTGAATTCACTCACCTACTGTTAAGGTCGTGCTCAAGGGAAAGGTAACTCAAAGGGCTTGGCTTCAGCTTGTGCACTGCACCCCTTACCTGAGTATGTGCCCTTAATTTCCAAGAGGCAGAGGGGAAGTCCGATGGAAGTCTGGGTAAGTCCGAAGGTCAGACACAGAGGGAGTTTGGCAGAACTCCGGAAGGCTAGGAGCAAATAGAGTAAGACTACTTCAGACAAGTCTGGAGTAGAAATGGAACAGAGGTAGACTACCCTAAGGTAGAGCCAGAGATGTAGTCTTAAGGATTAGCCCTAAGACTCAGAGGTGGACAAGAGATCAGACTCAAGTCCGGAGAAGCAGGAATGAGCAGAACTAAGATGAGAGTCAGAGGTACAGTCAAAGGAATCAATCCTAAGACTCAGAGATTGACAAGAGACAAAGCTCAAGTCCAGAGATGCAGGAATGAGCAGGAATTATGGTGATATTCAAACTGAGGAGGTACCAGAGTATTACAGGAGTTTATATACTGTAGATATCATGTAAGTAATCAGTCAGCAAAGTAAAAGCTATGCCCGAAGCATACAGAAAGTCTATTAGTAAGTGTACAACGGATCAAAGAAATGAAGTCGGAAATGAAGTGCAGACGGACAGATCAGTAAGCAAAGCAGAAAGGTGTACAACCAGTAGCTGGAGAGCAGTATTCTAAAAGGAGATAGGTGTGAGTCTGAAGATGAAAGCAGAGCGCCAGGCGGACAACAGGATGGAAACCTGGACTTTCATAGGGAAGAATCTGGACTTCTGGAACTGGAGGTATAGGATATAGTGTCAGAGAAAATAGGGGTAGTGTCAGAGGAGCAGAATAGAGTCGGGTGGAGGTAGCAGGGCTAGTCCTGCTGAGATGCACTTTGTGCATTGTCGGAGAAGGAGGGATAGAGCGGATAGGGAAACAGTGGGTCGGACTAGTGGTAGGTGTCATATCCTGTACCTCCAGATCCGGAATTCCAGATCTCCCCTACTAAAGTCCAGTTCTCCATCCTGTTGTCCGCCCAGCGCTCCGCCTTCATCTCCATACTCGCAACTATCTCCTTTTAGAATAACTGTTCTCTGGCCACCGGTTATGTTCTCTCTGCTTTGCTTACTGATCCGTCCATTTGTACTTCATTTCCAACTTCACTGCTTTGATCCATTATACACTTACTAATAGACTTTCCACATGCTTCAGACATAGCTTTTACTTTGCTGACTGATTTACTTACATGATACCTAGAGTATATAAACTCCTGTAATACTCCGGTACTCCTTAGTTCGAATATCACCTTAATTCCTACTCATTCCTGCATCTCCGGACTTGAGTTTTGTCTCTTGTCAATCTCCGAGTCTTAGGATTGATTCCTTCCACTGTACCTCTGACTCTCACCTTAATTCCTGCTCATTCCTGCATCTCCAGACTTGAGCTTTGTCTCTCGTCAATCTCTGAGTCTTAGGATTGATTCCTTTCACTGTACCTCTGACTCTCACCTTAATTCCTGCTCATTCCTGTATCTCCGGACTTAAGCTTTGTCTCTTGTCAATCTCCGAGTCTTAGGATTGATTCCTTTGACTGTACCTCCGACTCTCATCTCAGTTCTCCTCATTCCTGCTTCTCTGGACTTGAGTCTGATCTCTTGTCCATCTCCGAGTCTTAGGGTTAAACCTTTAGACTATAAACTCCAGCTCTACCTTAGGGTAGTCTAACTCTGTTCCGTTTCTACTCCGGACTTGTCCGTAGTAGTCTTACTCTATTCGTCCCTAGCCTTCCAGAGTTCCGCTGAACTCCCCTGCGTCTGACCACCAGACTTACCTGGACTTCCGTCGGACTTCCCCTCTGCCTCTTGGAAACCAAGGGCACATACTCAGGTAAGGGGCGCAGCACACAAGCTGAAGCCGAAGCCCTTTGAGTTACCTTTCCCTTGAGCACGACCTTAACAGTAGGGATGTTCACAGGTGGTATTGGAGGTGCTTGGATCCGGTATATGACACCTACCTACTAACCTCCAACAATACAATCAGCCCACTCATGCAATATGTTAACAGCACGGGAAGATTTAAACCTATGTTTGGTGAGATATCAGTCACATAAATTGTACATGACTTAAGCACACTTCATATGTCAACATGAAACACATGCACATAAGCAACACATCAAGTAAATAACACTCTGAGACTGAAGGGAAAGATTAGCACTGGTTGCTCAGTCACTGTAGAAGAAGAGAGGTAAAAGGAGTACATGCTAGACAACAGGCACCAGGATTGAAGCCATGACTAAGCCAAGCCACACACAACACTTGATCGATACCCTCCTCAAACAACTCATTAACTACATCATTCCCTCTGTATGAAATCAGTGTTGGCCTTTGCCCAACAACATGCTGATGGAGTATACATATATCCACTCAACACAGATAAATCATCACAAATTTGTACAATAGTGTAGCGGGAGTAAGCCCCCCATGTATAGGATTATGTCCGACATAGGATCCTCGACCCCAAAGGACAATAAAATGGATATATATATATATATTAAAAAAGAAAGAAACTACGAAAAAATACATGAAAATGAAGTTATACTGGAGCCCACTGTTGCCCACAGTGAGCACGAACGTTTCGGCAACGTGCAGAAGCGGTCGGAGAGCGTTGCTTATGTAGCTTACCCAATTCGGTTTCACAGCCTCAAGGGATTTGGTGATTTGGGACAGTGTATTACTAAAACCGAGCCTATGAATAGTAGGTACGGCACGTAACAAACCACTATAGTAAGGCTTACTTATTGGGAAACCCAGGTGCCATTGAACAGTCTCCTCGATACAAGTCTCGATCATATGTATCCTCATCTTTCACGCCTGGATGCTCTCGATGACATCGAAGCTAGCAGATCCAATTCAGAGTCCTCCCCTATAACTCGCTACTAGTAACTCACTCGTCGTGCCATCAGCCATACTGCGCCGACGTGAAAGCACACTATTCAGAGCATATCCATATTTGCTACCACACCGGTGAGTCATGTGGTTAAATACAGGACACAAATTACTCATACTCACGCAGGTTTTCTTCAAAGTGCAGCTTTTGCAGTCGTCATTATGCCGGCACAAGTAACAAGTTTCACTGGTAGCGTCACTGGCAGCTACAGATACTGATGCTGTCAAAGCAGCAGCAACGGCGAGGATAAAGAAGAAACGCATTGTTTGTGAGGATGTGATATGGGATTCAATAAATCTGAAGGGGACAGTAGGAAGACGCCTTGCTTTTATATGCTGAATTTGTTCTTCATGGCGATGTAGGAAGAACCTATCTACCTGAAATCCCTTTTCGAACAGATGATATCTGCAATGCCAGTAGAACGCCACCTAAAATTGTACGTATTCAGTGACATTTGCACTGGAATGCGGGCTGACTTTACGAACGTGCACATTTGCAGTGTGCAGAGACGGTCAAGGAATCCACGACGTTTTCGCCGAAGTATTGGACTTACGAATTGTCGACCCTTTCCGTGTTCGATATGGTGCTATACTAGAGGTGACGACACGATTCCACAGTGGATTTTACGCCACGCAGGTGCAGCCCTGAACACGAGCGAACGCCGCGCCGATCCATGGTCCTCCGTTTCTCCAGAGGATTATGCGTTCTCCGCGCTGACCTGTCGCTCCTCAACCGAAGTGCAGAGCCTAAAGATGGTGTTTTTCTTACGTCCGCTGAGTCGACTGCGATTAATATTGGGGAACGACCAAGTAGTATGTGAAAATTCCTAGGACAGGTGACATCTTCAATTCTCTAATGAACCTGCATCTATCGTGTACGGCGAGAGCGGCCATCGTGCCGACAAAGATGAACCGGACGTCTCTGAGGATAACATAGCCCATCGCGTCCTGGATCTGTTGCACCATCACGATCTCATTCTATTGCGCCGTCACGCTCTTGAATTTGATATTCGTTGTCCTTGGATGACTTCAATGTGTCCGAACGGTTTGTCACAAGACTCAATAAGCTGCCTAACTCCACGCTGCGTGACGCGCTGAGAAAGATACATCCCGAAAGTACACCTGATATGAGCGGACGATCAAAAAACCGGTATGCTCGTGCGTTCTACTTTGTTTCTCAACTTACCTGCGTTCTTCTTGGCCTCGATGATGCATTGTTTGTGCAGCATTGTTCTTGACTTCGCGCCTTATATCATGCAAGGCTTGGAATCGACAGAACAACCTGAAGGATGATCTGAAAGACGTGATCCACATGCACAGAATCACTTTGCAACGTCTCACAACTTATTCTAATGCTTATCAAATCCTGTACTTACCCAGACTTGGAACCGCCCGATTTCACTGATAGTTCCAGTTCAGTGTCATTTTCTTTCTAATATTACATCCTGTACTTACCGTAACACGATTTGAATTGTCCACTTTGCTTGAATGAATCAAACGAGTTGGGGATGGGTACCGCCGCTAGTCGAGGAGCCTCGGCCTTGTCTGTCCGAAAACCCAAAAAGCTGTGCACCTCGGCTGCTTCCGCTTGGGTGCTGGGTGTCGACTGTGGACGTGCTTTTCGAGACGCAAAAAGATAACATATACATGTCTGTCCTTCTACGAAGAGCATATCGGCTGGCCGAGGAACGAGACCGAGCGGCGGTATGCTCCCTGCCCTGTGTCAGGGTGCACACTGGCAGTGTACGTGCTTATGCAACACATGAAGTTGAATTTCAAAAAATCAATAGGTACCAAGTGTAATCTCGATAAATTTTGCTTGAAGCTGGCATTATAATTATACCAATCGGAGTTGGGGACTTGGTGCCGGTCCACACAATATGAGTAGGTACATTTCCGCCACCCTGGAAGTTCCTTTTGGTTAAATATTTTAAAGGTGCTCTGCGCATGATCGCAATGGTTATAGTCTGATAGAAGATATAATGTGCAGGGATGAGTCGAAGTGTGAACAGGGGGACAGGGTACCTTCTATAAGCGAACGCAACATGAACGACCGCGTAATAATTGTTCGTTGGGGCAAATGCAGAAACGCTTCTCGACCGCGAGACTACCGCAGATGTTGAGGGGACACGGCTCAGAGAATATGTTTCCCTGTATGATCGGTCGGGTGTGGGAAGTGGTCCGAGTCGTCGGTCTCTGCCTATGAGAACACCTGCGTGGATGGTCATCTTGCACTGCGCGGCAGTGGACATGGAAAAAACAGACACGTCGAATGCGGTGTTCTTGCACACACGGAACCGCTGAGAGCCATGAGCTGCAAGAGATCTTTGTTTCTGTAACTATCTAGCGTTATAGCATTCTTATCTGGCAAAGTAAGAAAAGGCTCGCATCGCATGAGCGACGTGTAGCTCTTGTCGGAGTGTTGCGTCTGCGCAAGACTCAACACAAGTGGGTAGAGCCTTCGCGCGAAGCGTCGAGAGTTTCGCAGAAGTAGATGATACGGGTCAGCTCATCAAGGACAGTAATGTCAGGACAAAGGCAACGCACGGTTCTGAATACCGAAGGGACGCATCTTACCGTTGTTGGTAAAGGAGATGTGCATATTCCCCAAGTCTAAAATAACCTCTCTGAACCTCCACAAACATCGCGATGTATCCGATTACCTTGTTCTCCGTGTCAAATACAGTTACCTTAGTAGACGCATCACTGTCTCCCCCTCCCACAACTGCCGCAAGCTCACGCGTAGCAGATGATGTCTCTGGAACCGTCGAGGGTGATGAGATAACTATCACATAGTTACAGTTGGTTGTGGATGGATGATATGTACTGTGGAAGGCAAAGCATCAGCTCCCAGCACATAAGCTCGTACCAACAACCTACCTTCGTATGCATACGGGGGCTCCCTCCCCTGAGACCATACGCATACACTGCCTCGTCTCTCGTAGCACGACGTTCTCAGCAAGCCAATCCATCACCTACATCCGATGTCGTGCAGCAGGATGCTAGACCCTCCACTCCCTTTTCCGAACACGTGGCACGAGTATACCGAGTTCGTCGTCACAATGAACAGATACAAGTTGTGATTCAGGTATCGGTGTTAGTGGGAGGTTCTCGGGGCCGGTGATGGGTTCAGAGGAAGATTCATGGATGGTGCATGTCTTAGGGGAGATGTGGTAGGAGATTGTGTCTGATCCAACTACCTGTGAAGCAGCACCGTCCCGTTGGCCAATACGATGGCAAGGACAGTAGCGTAGAAGAAAGTGCAAAACAAGAGACCTAAATATCCAAGCTCACCAAATGAAACTCGAACACAGTGAACTACTCACTAGATAGGGCTTAGACTTATTGCAATGCTGAACCTTGGCAGATCTCAACAAAACTGGTTCATGGTTTCTCTTGTCCGTCTTCCCAAGGTCCCAAGTCGACAGCAAACTATCTCGTACCACGTCCTCCTCACTAATAGTCACCAACACACGAAGTATTCCTCTCCGCCGTGTGCGTTATCCGTTCTCTGACACTCGTGCGACTCAGCTCTCGATACAGAATCCCTGTTTAGAATGTGCACACAGCCATGAACATCCGCAATGAGCAACCCAGCACTGGAGGAGACGATGGTGGTAGTTTCTGAGGCGTTTTTGAAAATGTCGGGTGAGCTAGCAAGGTCGTGGTCAATGGACGTCCTTCGATGAGGGGGTACTCCCCTTCCAGATTATGTAGGTCAGATTCAGAATCAACGTATCCTTACCATCATACATTGATTCAAGTGGCTCTCACATTTCTCGGGCACCCACGCTACTCGAACAACATAGGTTCCTGCCTGGCGACCGTTCCACATGGCGACTCACTGTGTTGGCCTCAATTTACATTCGAGGTATGACCCATCCAAGTTTTCCTGCAAATTCTCATTGCCGGCAGCCACCAGCAACCTTGTTCGTCATCGAGACCATCTATTTCTTCTGAGAGGGTCGTTTCTTAAGCTGTAAGCCTATCACTGGCAGTATATTATCCATTGTGTTGTGTTCAGCTGACCGAGATATGAGTCCCACCATTGGGCACAATATTAATGTCACCTTATTATACTCTACACGCCCTCAGGCTATGCATGGTTTGTGATTATATTTTGCAAATAGTTTTCAAAGTCCGAGATAATTTATTCCGCATTGTTTTGCCTACGGATACTAGTCATCCGATATTCAGTAACTGCCCTCCCCAAACTATGATCGGAGCAGTATTCGGAAGCATTCTAGCTCAGTACAAATTGAAACTTTATCGATGTCGCTGTGGTTCAGGACTAGCTATGGACGGTATGGTATCCTTCACTGAAATTCGCCGTCTGTCAAATATGGCTAAAGGTGACCCTCTAGGAAATGCGGTGCGGGGGAACCGTCTAAACGATGCAGTCCTACCGCAATCATTGTTTCTGCGTAATTGATACTAGGCTGTTCACGGTTACGTGTGGACTTCGTACGGTCGACGTCCGCATCTCATACTGCCGTATACTGTATACGGTACGGTGAATAGCCCTAAATGATACTTCTCGTTTCTTAACAAACACGTCAAAGTGCAAAGTCTGGAGCTTAAGGCCACATCTCATTACTCCTGAGGTCCTCGGGAGTCCACAATTGTAATGGGTCTAGACTCCAGCTGGGCGCTCCCAGGCTCTTTCATCCGTGGTCCAGACCACCGGCGAGCAGTGATGAGGGACTTGTAGATACCGGCATTGGGCATAACGAACCAACCTGTCTTTGCTTCCGGTGTGTGCTATGTCCAGAAAGGATCACACCGCCTGATGCACTTACGTACCAGAGCAGAATAGTATTATTCCGGTACAATTACTCACTTCACTCTTCGCGAGTAATACACATGAAATGACACCTTAGAACGCCGGGAGAACTGCTATCGCGATGTTCTTGTGCCTTTTCATCATAGACTTTGCAACAGCTTTCAATCCTCCGGTACGATTTTAGCACGGCCTAGGCTGGTCTATTTTCTCGCAAGGGCGTCTTCGTTGCCTGAACTATGTGATTTACCCCGCTGACGTTATACACAGAGCTTTCCCTACAGCAACTGCACAACACGACAGCAGAAGCAATGGATATGCCTTCGCACATCCATCTCGAGATCCAGCCCCCGACCTGGACCATCAACATACTAATAAGCATAATCTTGCTGTAAAAGTTGTAACTTTGCTCGGGGTCTAGACTCCTTGGGCGCTTAGTCCAACAAATGAGTGCAGGGGTGTGATGAATGGTAACAAAACTTGTTTTGCCCCGCTTCTCTTATTGCTGCTTTGGCTTTCGGTTTTATTTTTCCTGTCTAGTTCTAGATCCATGGCCCACGAATGGTCTGGGCCAATGGGCCATTGTCGCGAATGTGGTGTATTTATCCATCAAATTCTTTCTGACATTCCGTCAGCGGGGGGAAACTGCGAATGTATGTATAATTTAACTACCTATGGGCTTTAATAAGTTCCCTCCGCAGCAGTTATTGGTCCCACACGCCATCGAGACATTCGGGAACTCTGTCTGGCTGCGGAAGTCATAGTTGCATTTCTCCTATCTGTATAAAAGTGTTCCAGACTTTTGGTTTCTTCACCCATTTCTTCATCTTCTGCGCGATGACGTTCCAGCGTAAAACTGTTACATCATCTCAAAACACGATTTTTCCTACTCCCCAGCTTATATCTCCTGCGCTTGCAAGAGACTTGGAGGACTGCAGGAAGACCTCTCTGAATCTAGTAAGTAGTCATGATGTTGAAATCCGCAGTTGCTTACTCTACCTCCTTCTAATAGCTCATGGCATTTCTAGCGTCAGTTCAATTGTGATGGTTGATTCCTGACGCTCCCACCAACAACGTGCTATCTCTGCAGCCTTCAGTCGATCACAGGATCTGGAGGCCTTACAGTGGCTACCCTCACGCTAATGCTATACACCATCAGTCTACACATCGCTACTAGCGTGGGCGCTTCTCATGTAAGGCGTTTCACGTCGTTCTTGCGCGCACAGCACCTAACACCAATCCCCACAGCAGCTCGGAGCGGTTATTTTTGGAATTTTGCATGTCATCCCAGCAGTTGGAATTTTTGCGGTGATGTCGGTGGAGTTGGCGTTTGCAGTCAAATCACCGGCAATGGCGATTTTAATCGTCATATTTTGTTTCCTTCCCACCATGGTTGCTATCTTTCAGTGCCTCCGCATGCGTTGCATGAAGGTAATCATGGATCAGCTCCCGATGGCCATCCCCGGGGACCTCCCGTCAGAAGAACCATCCATAGCGAGATTAGAGCTCACTATCTCTGCATAGTTCATTCCCCTTCCTTTCTTGATTTACCCCCTCCCCACCGGGAGGATCATACCCTCGATTACTTCTACGATCTGAACGACTCATACAAAGTAAATGCTTCAATAGTGATTTATAGATACATCCCTTGGCTATGTGAATAGTACATCTAACAAAACAGCATTATGTAGCATAACTTATCCTCTTCCACTAGTACCGATACACCAGTCGCTTACATATCCCACTCATCCCATATACCTTCCATCGGCGTGGTCGTCATCGGTGTCTGTGCAGAGCTGAATTCTGCGGTTTGAACAAGTTCTATTATCTTGTCACTGACTCCATCCTTGTCGTCCTTGGTCCCACGCATCGCCACGAGCAGCGTGTCATCGACCGGGTAAGATTTCAGGTTCGTGTGTAGCAATAGGCGAATGTCATTCCCTTCAATGACTTGGTCAAGCCTGCCCGTAGAGAGGCTCCGAATTTCAATGAACTCAGAGGAGAACAGCAGCACGTGAGACCCGCGATGGGCAAAAGACATAGCCTTCGTCTCCCAGCGGATAAACCCGCCTTTCCGAGAGGGAACGCCGTGCTTCGTGATGTAGCATCCGAGAGCTATGGAGGTACAATGAACGATAGTCACAATTCCAATGAAAAAGACTTACTGTCATAAACGACCAATATTTCGCCCGATTCGGTCCGAATTAAGCCGAGGGGCTTAGACTCCTCGCAGCGAGTCTTCAGGTTGGCCATGTCTGTGTTGGAAGTTGCACCGCTGAAGTCCGGGACAACCGAGACCATCTGTTTGGATGTGCTATGATGTTACATTAATAGAGCATACAGGACGAGTAATGAGCGGCATACTTGGTAGGATCAGCAATCACAATACCCTTCTCTGTGCTTATCGCAATTGTCTTGGCCAGTGGGGTAACAGAGTAGGCATCTTTTGGCACGTACAATGCCTGGATCGAAATATTGAGTATACGAAGCACTGATAATTATATCGACTCACTTCGCCGAACGGTCTAAATGATGATATAGGACCCTGAAAGCCTCCTCGTGACGGAGTGCGGCGAAGGTCAGAAAGGTTGCAGGCCTCCAATGCATGCACGGTAATTTGAAAGAATGATTTAAGAGCATAAACAACTGGTCAGAGATGTGAGTCCCCAGGTGCCATGTGAGTTAGGTTAAATCATACTGATTGTTCGCTGTTTTATGCGTCCTGCACAACAGAATAAGACGGTGCCATCTCCCCCTGCAATTTTCTCCAATGAAGCGTCCAAGCTACTTGGCGGGGCCTGATACATTGCGACTCTAGCGAGAAGATCCAAGGAATAGGCGAGCAGATAGCTCTCATGATGCACGATGAACTTATTGAATTCTTGTAACACTATGATCGAGGAAGGATTGCCGTACGACAATATCCTGCGGAAGTCTGGAGGCGAAGATCAGCGACACAGCAAGAATAATGTGTAAGCGATTCATACTGATATCGCCCTTTGAGCCAACATATATTCCAGTTGCGCAGCCGACCGCCATGAGCTTCTTTCCGCCGGCAGCAGCTAGACAAATTATCGACTGTGAACAATTGTCCACGAGAAAAGGGAACGAGGTCGCATACTAAAAGATACAGCATTGACAACCCTCCCTGATGCTTGAGATCCAAAGCCGCGGGAAGTGTGAGCTCCTGGTGACCGGAAAGTGCCATCATCAACAAGTTGCGGTGCAAACCACTAATCGCATGGTTGAATACGAGCATATCGTAATTATGGATGTACACACCTTGTTTGCATCTCGTCGCACATCATCTATTCCCTTGGCCTCAACAAGGGCATCCCGCCACTTCTGTCTCACCGACTCGGTCGGCGCGTACAGAGTATACCGCCGCACCAATTTGTCTGCGGAATGATAAACAGTGAATGGATATATAGATTTGTATTGCGCGCGTAAGCTGTCCAAGATCCCTCCTTCCTCAGACCGTTCCTTCCTACTTTCTGGCTGTGCTTCGAAGCTTCCTAGTTTGAGATATTCTAAGGGTATAGGCTACAGAAAAAAGTACACCCCAAATGTGAATGAAATCGGCGACAAGCGACTGGATGGCCTTACTCTAGACATAATGTAGCGCTTCATTATTCCTCCCGCCCCTTGCTCCTCTTTAGTGAGCAACACTGCGATTGATCGGTGATTTCAAGTCGAACGAGAGGCAAACAGAAGACTTACGATAGTTATCGAGTAGAGCAACGAATAGATCATTCCATGGATGCCAGTCCATTTCGGACTTGGACCTTCGTGCGAGGGGGCCAGAGTACACCAGTGACCGACTTTCGTCATACCAATCCAAATCCTGCACTCGATCAGCACAAGAACGAAAGGATGCTCACGTAACGTACAATTATTTCTCCCTTGGGCATCACTAAGCTTTCACAGACATTCCAATATTTTACTCTATTCTCTGCAGCTGCAATACCAGGTTGAGTGCTCTTGAGGAAGTCGCTCAAGATGCTTAACAGAAGCGGCAGGTCTTCAAGATCTGGATGGCCTGGCTCCGTGATCTTCTGAATATGCTCGAGGATCAGATTCAGGCGTGGGAGGCGAGTCACTGGTCGGGAAAGGAAGGTGATCATATCGCGCTTGCGCACCCGAGGATCTTGAGAACATCGTTGCATGAACGCTTGATAGTTTTTATTGCGACTAAGTTCAGTGCGGTGCCGCTCTTCTGCAAGTGGATAATGTTTGATGTAGGATTCGTACTCCCCTTGGAACTGAAAACAGGCTAAAAGACATTAAAGGTGAGCTATTGAGTATATTGCTCGCCAACTCACTTTCAAGAACAATGTCAGTCACGCTCTGTATTAGCGGATGCTGATCCAATTGGCGTTCAAAGAGCGCAGCCAGCATATGCTCATGGTGCACTAAGATCCGATCCAAATTCCAAAATACCTCTTGAACAAAGGGACGTAACTTGTCGGGAGCGATGACAGGGGGGTTGGCGAACTTCAAAGGCTCGATGAAAACCTGTGACAACATGTTAGCTGAATTCCAATTTCGCAGCAGCAGATATCACCTCCGTCACAAGTTTGAGATCTTCCACGTAGTTTCTTTCTGACTTGAAAACCTCGAACAGAACTGATTGCCGCTCGACCTCTTTTTTACCGAGTGCTTCCTGTGCCTCGTGAGGAACCAGTCTGTGCCATTCTTCATCCTTTTCTGCTAATTGACCGGCTTGAAATCGTCTTAAGCCCTCCTCGGATTGAAGGCTGTTTCTTATCGATGACTATTTCATTGAAAAAAATATCCCGGTACTCACGAAACATTGGATAGTTCCCGAGTCAGCTGATTTACTTGCGTGTCCCACTGTGGAGGGCATCAGAATACGTCATCGTTGGCGTGATATTTCACACCGTACATCGTCTTCCGGAAGGTAATCCATGGATGAAGCCGAGTCTGGTGTTAACGGGGTAAAGGGGGCACTAGTCGCATAGTCTCTACTCTGTGGCAGAGAGCCATGACCGTCATCAGACTTGGTGGGACGGTGGCGGGGTGAATTTGGGCGAAGGGTCGTTCTTTGAGAGGCGAATCGATGTATCTCCGGCTGAGGGAAAGATATAGCGGGGTGTACTGGTTCGTAGGCACTTCGAGCGCGACTGCGCGATCGTGGTTCACCTGGTCTGAGATTCGGATATTGGGCTGTAGGAGTACGATCCCATGGATTAGATAGGTCTCCGGATGGTGCACTGAGTTCAAATTCGTATGGGTATGCTTGTTGTGGGCTAGGGTTGACTGGAAGGACTCGCTCCAGGGGGGATCGTAACATATGGATGGGGTCGGTAATTATGCATAAGCAATGTGATCGCCGAACAACGTTAAGTGATTTGATCAAGTCCTACAAGGAAATTGTGAATTATAGATAAAACAAAGTCGAGTTTCAGAAGAAAATAACAGCAAGTTCTAATGCTGCACACCAAGCAAGGTTTCCCTATGTGAATGAAATTATATCACGTGACCGGTCACATAGAGGTTGTGTTCCGAAACCGGTGTCCGGGTCTACTCATAATTGTTCATCTTCCGGCTTAGAGATCACGATGGGATGAACCAATACGACCAGTCGTTATTCAATCATACAGTCTTCATACATAATGTACACGTCATACAAGATACCATGGAGTGAATGAAATCAGTAACATAAAAACGCTTTCAATAGTAGTGAGCATGTGTTAACCACCCACCGCCACTGCACTTCTTCGAACGACTCCCGCATTTCTTCCCCTTATCAAAACCCCTCCTTGTCTGCCTCCCAGAGCGCTTCCGCCCACCGCGCATCTTACACACCTCCCATTTCTCCCTCGACTCAGCCCAGATTTGCTCCATGTCCTCTGCGATCTCCTTGGCTTTCCCGCTGGCACGTGAAGCTCGGTTCACGAGAGCCTCCCCAGTGTCATAAAGCCATTTAGCCCCTTGATCCTTGAGCTCCCTTGCACGACGCTGCGCATGCTCATTACGGGCATTAAAAGCATCCCTGATGACCTCAAGGTCCGGAGCTCTTTGCTCAAATTGCGCTGTCGAATATTCGATGAGCGCATTGGTTTGGGCAATCATGACATGAGCTTGTCGGGAAATGGCTTGGACGAGGGAATCGAGAGCGTCGATAATATCTTGCATCTCAGCATTGACAGCAGCGAGAACAGCAGGCGCATATGCGTCCACGAATTTGGGCAGAGAGTCCTGCAGGAAACTCAAGCCAAGAGTAGAGGCTGTAAGTGCGGACGAAGACGCAGTTGGCACTGCCTCTTCCACATGAGGCTGTGAGGATGACATGCTAGGAATGACAGAGAGCGACTTGGTGCTTCCTTCCAAAGACACGAGGGAAGAAGTTGGACGGAGGATGACATCCTTGGAAAGCTTCAACTTCTCCGAAAAGGAAGACGCGCAGCGGAACCCCGATGTAGGGGTTTCCTTAGAGATAGAAACCGACGTAGAGTCTGGGTTGAACACTGACAGGGCGAAGTCTTTCAGAGAAGACTGGATCGAGATTGCTGTTGACTCAGTCTTTGCTGGAATCGATTCATATGAATGATTAATGACAGGGTGAAGGAGTGCCCAAAGGAATGGTGTTGAAGCGGCCGGTGCCATGGTGGTGACAGGGGTTGGGGTAACTATAGGCGTAGTACCACGGAATGTGGATCCTACCACGACGCCGAGCACAAGCGACACCATGGTAAATCTTGAACCCAAGAAATAGACATGGTGAGTTACAACAGTTGTCAATAACGCAAGGACGTACATCGTCAGAGTATGCGGCGAATTAATCGAGATCTTGACCGGTTTCTTCCTATCGCGAGATGAGATGCGATCGAAGGCGCGATACGCTCGATATGGATGAAGATTTTCAATCACATCGGCGTTCACAACGCATGGAGCAACTTCGTCGTTCAGTCGAAGGACCCTGTCACTAGGGACATTAAATAAGTCCCACTTCTCCTGCGCAGAATTGCGTATCGCATCCTCAGACTGTAGACCGTCTATAGTGCAAGGAACCGGAACAAGGACAGGAAGATACGATGTATGCTCCGGGAGCTGCAGAGGTGAAGATGGAAGGAAAACAATAGCCAAACTTGGGTGATCTGTGGAAAAATCGGCTATTGGCTACAGGGCGTTGCAATTAATCTTCAGGTGAAAAGGTGAATCAGACCTACATCTTCCCTGTCACTTTGAGTCGAGTTGGTCCGGTCGATAATTGTGACAACGCGAGGGTAAAACAGGCTCCGGTCCGTTCTACCCTCGATATTAAGTTGCCGAACAGCGCCGTTCATCTCCTCGACAGGTGTGGCAATGGTGAGACGAGCACCACGAACAGCTTTCTCGAGAAGTTTGGACACAAGGGACCATTTACGTGAATGATGGGACCCGTAGAGGAAAACATTCAGGTCAGAATTGAGTAAGGCGGGCACTGCATCATCAATGGTTATGGGCGCTGGAGAGCTCTCAGGCGTGTGAGACAAGTCTGGTGCCTCCGGTTCCGTGACATCGGAGTCTGGGTCAGCAAAAGTGACACCAGAGGAAAGTGATAATATGTCCTCGAAGGAAGTGTTGGAGAGTTCTTCATGCGAGCTGGTGATGGGATCTGGGAAGGATAGGCGTAAATCGCGCGATGAAGTAATCACTGTGGATGCGTGAACCGAGCTTGAACGAGAGGAGCTCAGAGTACTGATCATGCTCTGATCTAGACCCTCTTTAACTCGCTGCTCCTCTGTAGCATCGTCACCATCTTCGTCAGTCAGAGTAGTAAAGGAGCTTCGGTTGAAGGCGACTGGAGAGCTAGACGGGCGGACGACATCGGGTACAAGACCCTCGTCAGCACTGTCTTCAATTAAGCCTTCCCAAGCATCAACATCTCCGTCTCTTGAGCTTCCGTAGCTAATTGATGAGCGTCTTGACCTTGAACGGGAAGATGTTCGTCCTTGATCTGTCCCCCTGGACGAATAGATCGAGTCACTGTCAGACTCACGGCCACTAGCGACATCGAGCCACTCAGAGTCAGATAAGCTTTCTACTTCAGAAAGTGCCGAGCTGTCAGTTGGTTCATGTGTGTGTGCAGGCGAGTGCTTGGGTTGTATGGGATCCATGGTGATCGTTCAATTGAAAGGGGTGCAGGGCTTTTATAACGCCTGATTGGCTCTATTTGAGTGAAGTAGGCAGGCCACTCTCACGCAGCATGCGGCTGCGGGCTTACATACAAATCATATGGTTATCAAATTCCTCGTTCAAGTTGCCGATACTTAGTATTGCTTAGAGGCAAGCACCCCGGACTATGAGTCTGCTATGTAGCGCTGATAACTCTGCCAGGACGTATTGATTGCAATTTTCTTATGTCTGACTCAGTTGAGGACATTCTATCTTTTTGACACAGGCCCGGGTGAGTCATATGTTCTGTGATTCTGCTAGCGGCGGACACGTTGAATATGCATGGCGAAACACGTAGACGTGTCGTGGCTTGCATACTATAGGATCCGCAGTCTGGCATGTCTGGCACAAATCAGTCATTTACTTTGACTTGCCGTCAGATCTCCCAGGGGATGTCGTCGCCACTTCGTTCTCAAGCAATGAACTACGTGAGCAAGTGAAGAGCTCCCAATTTTTATCCAATGTATCGTTTCCTGATGCGATGCATTCTTGAACTGCAAATACTTCCAGGCGCAAAATGGTTGATTAGTTTTCAAGTTGAACGAAGCTCGCGGATGACGACTGTGAGTCTCTGGTCATTGCATGATATCAGCCATGCTGCGATCATCTATCAACCACAATTCCGCGGTTGCATCTTATTACATGCTTCCCGTGATAGGAAATCACGATTGCAGTTGGCGGGAGAATTTATGGTTACGAGCAAGTTTGGAGCTCACTTTTTCGCTGGAGGATCGTGCTGGAAACGCAACCCCGAAAACTGGGTTTCTTCGGGGACTCAAAATATGCGGAGATGTCGTGACTATTATTTTCATCCGATCTCAAGACAATGGCATGGAATGGGAGACGCGATTGTTGTACTTCAATACATGTACGCGCGCTGGGGTTGTTATTACTGGGCTCGATCGCGTGAGTCTAATACTTCCTCGGGCAAACGCTAACGGTTACTGTCAGTTTCAGTCTAATTCGTCATTTATGTTCTTCCCTGAGCATTTCGGGTTTCTCGCACCCAGTCAACCTCGAAATTTTATGTTGTAATTACCAAATATTGACCGCCTTGGTGAATTCGGGGAATAGAGGCTAACATTCCCCCTCCAGTGTCCTGGCTCAAGGATGAGCTTGCTGCCGTTTGCCCTGGGGGTTTCCACTTTTTTGGTCTTAATCACACATCAGAAACCCAGATGTTCATGTTTCGGGACATGATGAACTCAGGATCGTCGTTTTCTCCGACCTCGCACGCTAGCCAAGTCAAGGTTGGCAGCAGTGGATGCCGTGCAGTATGGAGGAGTGAATATGTCGAGGGCTGCACGTTGAAGAAGTTTTCCACTGCACGCATCATGTGTAGACAGGTGTTTTCAGACACCACAACGACTTTGATACCTTTATTCTCTGGCCTGCCGTTCAATCCACAAGATTGCCAGTTGCATGCATTCGACGAGGTCTCATGTCGGTCTTTCCTGGTTCGTCAGGGCAGATGTTTGCATTGGATTATTGAACAGACGTCTCTACTATTTTATTTGAGTCCATACTTATTACTCGCCGTGTTCTATTTACATGGCCCCCTGTGCAAATGACGAGAAGTTGGCTTATACGTAAGTCACGTGATGGGTTGGCAGTCATAAATTTACACTGCCACTATAATCGTGATCAGCTAGTCACAACACGGGGCATTGGCAAGGCTTGCAACGTTTGCTTTCGACCGTTTGCATTCTGGGACGACCTGCTCATCTTACAAAAATCTCTTGCTTTCATTCATTCTGCTCGTGTTCCAAACCAATTGACCGCGAGCATCCGGAGCGTGCCGTGTCTGTTAGGCGACGGCTACCGCAATGGAGGAAGAAATTCACCGTTATGTGGAGGCAATTCGTATCGCGTCAGAACCCTCGCAAGGTCATCTGCACCAGCAGGCCTTTGAGTACCTATCTAATCTCCGCCAAAATGCGAATGAAACGTGGCGACTGGCCTTGACAGCGTTCACGGACATGACCTCGGAGGGTCGTAAATACCCCGAATCAGTCAGGTTCTATTCTTTACGCTTGCTAGATGAGTTCTTTGACAATCGGTAAGTGCTTATGATTTTATCCAGTAGGAAAGGACTCCACTTGATCGTGTTGAGAATATTAATTATGACCACACCCCTTATTTTGCATAAATTGAAGTTTGGATGGCTCTGATCTGTCGCTCACATTACAGGTTTGAACCTCTTGATGAAGACTCATTTCGTACTCTGCAACAGTCCCTCGTATCTTATGTACAAACTGAATATGTCTATGGCTCGGCTGAATCTAATGCACCATGTATGAGCTCATCATACATCGATCCTTTTAGAAACATTCACAATGACTTGCAGATCTTCGCAACAAGTTTTCGCATACACTCACATTATTCTTCCTATGCACATATGTCGAACAGTGGGCAACATTCTTCACCGATCTTTTCTCTCTCATCCGTCTCCCGGAGTCTTCATCCCAGCCACAATTTAATCGCCACGTGTCACTTCTCCTTTTCCACATCATAACAGAAATATCTGGTGAAGTCGCAGACCAAACGATCAAGTCTGCGAGGACATTTAACCCCGTTCGGCATACACGAGACTCTCGCGTCAGGGATGCAGTTCGAGAGCGAGATGCACCGTTGATCAATGAAGCGGTATTGACGATCATTGTCGATAGCACGGAACGAATGGCAGCGCTCAGAAAAACGACGACATCTTCGCCGGAGCTTTCCGAGGCTTTAGAAATTGTCGATTGGGGCATCAGGACGTTTGGATCGTACGCAGGTATGTGATTAGTTGTGACATATGACTCCGCGCTGATAATGATGAAAGGGTGGATTGATATCAATCTGACTGTCACCCCAGTCACTATACCTCTCTTGTTTTCACTGCTCCCGGACCCTAATCTTGGCATTCGTCTTGCCACGTCAACGGCCTTGCTGCGCATTGTAGCAAAGGGTCTCAAGGAACCGGAAGACAAGCTGCAGCTCATCAAGGTATTGGCCCTCGGACAAGTTATTGACGTGCTCGAATCAAAAACACGCGCGGAACAAGTCGCCCGAGGATCCAACGAAGATGAAGGAGAAGAAGTCTTACCGAGAGGCACTCGGCCGTCTGCTGAATGTCCTTAGGCCTTGAGCTGTCAAAATTGACTGATGTAGTAAGTCTCCTTCAGAGTCTTTGGCACTTCGACAGACTTATCATTTTGCCCAGGAATCTGAAAAACCTGAGGTTGCGGCCGAAGCTGCGCGTCTATTGGAGCAGATTTTACCCGTCATGTTGCGATTTATGTCAGATAAATATGATGACACATGCTCGACAGTGTTTCCCTTGCTGCAGGCAGTCCTCGCAAGCGTGAGTCAATCTTTACCCTGACGAACCCTGCAGCGCAACTCATCGCTGATTCAGTACAAACGCGTCCGGAAAGTATCCACGGATTTACTTGAAGAATCGAAACGATCATTCCTTGTGTCTCTGCTCCAAGTCATTATGCAGAAGATGAAGTGGGATGACGAGGAAGATCCTAACGACTTGGACGACGATGATTATACTGCATTTGAAACGCTCCGCAAGGTTGCTTCATACATCACTTGCAGCTTCTAGTCCACGTTGACTTTCTTTACAGGACCTCAGATCGTCGATGGATGCCGTGTTCACGATTGACCAAGACCTTGTCACCAATGCGCTCAGAACACTGTCCGTACAGACCTTGTCCGCCTATCGCAGTGGGATATCGCTGAATTGGAATGACGCTGAACTAGCGGTCTATCTCGTGTACATCTTCGGCGAGATCGTTAAAAGTAAGGGTATATTTCCGTGGCTACTCAAATCCCTTTTCTCATAACTCAATTTCACAGTCGGAGGAAAGGGCCGCGCGGCCTTTTGCGTCGCTCCCCTCGTGCCAAAAGAGAAACGCCGCGAAGTAGATTATTCTGAATATCCACTGACCCCTCATGGGGAGATGCTACTGGCCCTGGTGCAGAGTGGTATATCTGCATTCCCTCACCGCTTAGTAGCCATGCAATTCTTCGAAACCGTGGCCCGTTATGGGGATTTCTTCAAGATCCGCAAAGAGTGCATTATGCCGACACTTGAGGCCATTGTTGATGCTCGGTAAGCACGAAGCGACATGCGGCGGTGTTCCGGTACTGACGTGTACTGGGTTAGAGGGCTTCATAATCCAGACAACACGGTTCGATCACGAACATATTATCTTTTCCATCGGTTCATCAAAGAAGGCAGAAACGACATTTCCGATGAACTTGCGGTCAACCTCGTGCAAGGCATCAGGGATTTGCTGACCATCCAAGTAGACTTACCGACTCTTGATAGTCCGGACGATGATCTCTTATCGGAGACGATAAAGAACCCTGGCTTGTTCGACTCACAGCTCTATTTGTTTGAGACTTTGGGCACGCTTATATCTTTGGTGTCGAAATCTCCTGATCAGCAAGCTAGCATGTTACTCTCCATTGTGACACCGCTGCTAGACGAGCTTTCCTCGAATTTACCAGCAGCACGAGGGGGGAAGGATGCCATTCCAATCCTTCGCATCCACCATAGTATCATGGCACTCGGCAATGTTGCGAAAGGATTTCCAGATTATCCTTCTCCAGTGCCAGAGGGATATTCTCTTCCATCATTAGACGTGTTTCGGCAGGTTGCGCAGGCTATTTTGGCATGTCTGGAGGCTATGAACATTTTCAAAGACGTTCGTGACGCAGTAAGTCGGCGTTTCGTTCTTGACACATCCGGGGCTGATTATCTGCAGACACGACATGCGTTTGCGCGAATCATTGCCACGACAGGCTCCAGTGTCACTCACTTAATCCCACCTTTGATGGCCAACCTTCTTGCACAGTTCGAACCCTCCGAACTCGTTGACTTCATGAACTTCATTGGGTTATTGATACACAAGCTTCAGGTGAGGATTGTGCTCTAGCTTGTACATTCATACCTGACTTTATGCCGACAGGGCGACCTTTTCAATGTTCTGGATGAGCTCATTGGACCTCTAAGCGCTCACATCACCCAGCTTCTCGTTCAACCTGTTACAGGCACTGACGACAGTGTTGCACATGCAGAAACTAAGCGTGCCTATCTGACGTTGTTGACCAACATCATGTCATCCGATCTTCATGACATTTTTATCTCTGATCGTAAGCTTCCCTGTGACTGCTGTGGGTTGGTCCTCACATTTGTATAGGCAACAAAGCCACTTTCGAACCCCTGTTAATCAGCATGAGTCGCTTGGCAGAGGATATCTTGGACTCGACCAGCCAGAAATCAGCTTTTGCATTCTTTGGCCGCTGTGTTCAGGTCTGGTGCCGACCAGCTACAGCAGGTGGCGGTCAAGCACCCCAGGGTGTACCAGGCTTTGAGCGATTCGTCTATGAGCGTCTCGTTCCCACAGCCTTCGTGGTGCTTTCATCACCCCAGTTTAATATCAAGGATGGGCAAATGATGGTTGTATGTACCAGTGAAGTGTTTGTCGCTAGTTTCATCTCATCTAACATCTGGTTTAGGTTCTACTGGAAATTGGCAATTTCCTTCAGATGGTCTGCAAAACTAGAGGGCAAGAAGCACAGGAATTCTTTTTGTCCGCGTTCCTTCCTTCACAAGGTTGGCCATCAGATACCGCCATGGAGTTCACGGGTAAACTTCGAGACCTTGATAATAAGGCTTTTCGGAAGTACTTTGCTGATTTCGTTCGTTCATCTCGATCGCAGGCATCCTCATAGCATTTCCGGGCAGTTTTTCTTTCTTGTCCAATTGTTACAATAATTACATCCGCATTTATCACAAGAATAAAAACCGTACATGCAGTTCTGAATTCATGGATACTACGGGAAAGTTGGTTGTGTGATGTTTGGCAACAGCTTCTGATTTCAATAGAGGCAAACATTACCGACTAGTTGGTCTTCCTTCTATGGTCTGCCTCGGGGAGACTACTGTGACATCATTACTACTTCTCGAATGATGGCTTCTAGTGGGTCACGAACCTTTGCATGGAGGGAATCTACTGAGCTAGTTGATTGTCAGCACGACGCACGGTGAAGACAAAAATCGTGCGTGTTACGTTCTGCCAGTCATGCATTCCTGATAACGAATCTTGATAGAAACCACCCCGCAAAGTAAGCGATCTGTGCGACGAAGGCTGCTGGCAGTTGATAAGCAATCTCAGCACGAATCAGAAGTATCATTGGATGAAACTTGGTCCCGCCTCTCGACGAACATCCGTGAAATCTACAACCAGAATGCATCAAACCTTTCATTTGAGGAGAACTATCGCTACGCCTACAATATGGTGCTGTACAAGAATGGTGCCGTCTTATACAAGGGGGTCTGCCAGCTGGTGGCGGAGAACATTGACAGGTTAGCACAAAGCGAAATCATTCCTGCTTTCCCCAGTGGCAGCAGCAAGGATCCTGTGCAGCAAAGCCAAGAAGGAGAGTCGCTACTGAGGGCTCTCAGACGTGTATGGGACGATCATACTGGGAATATGTCGAAGCTTCGAGATATTCTCAAGTACATGGTGAGCATTCAACCGTGGTGTTCATTTACAACTCACGCAGAAGCGTCCATAGGATCGCGTCTATACAAAGGCTAATGATGTCCCAGAAATATGGGACGCTGGCCTAGATCTCTTTTTGAAGCACATCATACGACCCCCAATACAGGACCACATCAGCTCCGCAGTGCTTAGCTTGATCCAAATTGAACGTGACGGATATGTCATCAGCCGCTCTGCGGTGAAGGAGTGCGTCGACGTCCTTCTGCAGCTGAGCATCGATCATGACGGCAAAACCGTCTACAAGCGAGATCTAGAACCAGCAGTGCTAACAGCAAGCGAAACCTTCTACTCCGCTGAAGGTAAACGTCTTCTGGAAACGTGTGATGCATCAGAGTATCTGCGAAGAGTACGTCTTCTATTCACTCAAATAATTCAGGTTACCCTTATGGTGTGCAGGTCGAGGAACGTCTCGATTCGGAACAAGCACGAACATATCATTACCTCTACTCCCACACTGGTGTTCCTCTCCGAAAGATTCTCGAGCGCCATTTATTGACACATAATCTTTCGACTGTCATTAGTATGCCCAATTCCGGCCTCGATGTCATGGTAGACCTCGATAAATTTGGCGACCTCAACCGTCTGTACCGTCTGTTTATCATGGTTCCTAGTGGAATGCCCACCTTAAAGAGGTCATTCAAGGATTCGATTTTACGGAGAGGAAGAGAGATCAATCTTGCTTCCACGAGTCTTGACACTGGCCAAGACATGGACGATGGGGATCTTAATGACGCTGAAATCACGAAAGGAAAAGACAAGGGTCAGGGTCGCGGTGCTACTGGGCTTCCAACATTGACACTGGCCCTCAAATGGGTACAGAATGTGCTCGATCTGAAGGATAAATTCGACTGCGTTTGGACGCAGGCATTCGAGAGTAACAGGGAGGTGGAGAGCTCATTAAATGAGGTCGGTGTTCTGTTCTGTCGTCCCTGTGTATCCTAACGAGGGTCACAAGGCATTCGAAGACTTTATCAATCTAAACGAGAAGGCACCAGAGTACATCTCGCTCTTTATCGATGAAAACCTTAAGAAGGGCCTCAAAGGCGTCAGTGATCCAACTCACAATTCTTGTGCTTGCTGATTCTGTTTAAAGAAAACCGATATGGAGGTCGATGCTGTCCTGGATAAGACCATCACGGTTTTCCGGTACATCACGGAGAAGGATGCTTTCGAACGATACTACAAGAATCATCTCGCCAAACGGCTGCTACTTGGCAGGTCGGTCTCCGATGACGCTGAAAGAGGCATGCTGGCGAAACTCAAAGTTGAGTGCGGGTACCAATTCACTCAAAAGCTGGAAGGCATGTTCCACGATATGAAGATATCCACTGATACCATGCAAGCCTACCGCAAGTACCTTGAAGGTGTCTCAGTAGGTGTCATGACTCCGCGTTTTTTGTGTTTATGTAATGGACTCTTAGGCACCTGAAGTGGAGATCTCTGTGACTGTGATGACGTCGACTTTCTGGCCGATGTCTCATTCTAGTGCATCTTGCATTTTCCCTGAAGTTTTAACCAGGGCTTGCAAGTCATTCGAGCATTTCTATTTTTCTCGCCACTCAGGACGACGCCTCGCATGGCAACCCTCACTCGGAAACGCCGACATCCGTGTTCAATTTAAGAACAGGAAGCACGATGTTAACGTGTCGACATTTGCACTCGTGATCTTGCTGCTTTTCGAGGATTTGACAGAGGATGAGTTCCTTACATACGAGGTTGGAGTCCTTACTAGCTTAAGATGCTCCGTTTCATCTGATGCTCCCATCAGGAACTAAAAACGGCTACTTCAATCCCAGATATCGAGCTTCAACGCCATCTACAATCCCTAGCCTGTGCGAAATTCAAGATCCTTAAGAAACATCCCCCCGGACGAGATGTTCATCCATCGGACTCGTTTTCCTTCAATAGTGATTTCACATGCCCAATGCAAAAGATCAAAATAAGCACGATATCCGCCAAGGTGGAAACCAACAAAGAGCGGAAAGAAACTCGCCATCGTATCGAAGAGGAAAGACACCATCAAATTGAGGTGAGGTTCACATCCACCCTCGTCATATTTCCTAGACTCTGACGACCACTGTCTCTTAGGCGTGCATTGTTCGCATCATGAAAGATAGAAAACACTTGACTCATAACGACCTCGTCAATGAAGTGACTCGACAACTTGCCTCTCGATTCCAGCCGAACCCTCAGAATATCAAGAAACGAATTGAAGGATTAATCGATGTGGGTACTGTTACTCGTTTACCTTACATGATTTTAATAATTTACATCCAACGCAGCGAGAGTATCTTGAACGCTGTGATGATCGCAAATCGTATAATTATCTTGTACGTGTTTGTCACCTGTCCATACGTGTTCCCATCTCACCATTGCTATTCAGGCATGAGCCATGAATTCACCATGTTCTGCAACTATTCTACGCGCCGTCATAAATAATGGTTCATGACAAATAATATGTGCAATTGCTGAGTGATGGGTCAACATTCAAATATTCTAGGTTGGCCTCAGCCTCTTCTGACTTCAGAGGCCAGGCGGAACAGTCAACACCATGACAGTCTCACTTGCGCGCATATCTTTGCATTTATAAATTCATTGCTACATACTACTACTTGACAAAGCAATACGCAGGCTCTGAAGGAAAACACGACCAAAGAGTAACCCTTGGAAAGGTGCCCTTCGGAGACTTTGGTCCTGGGTTAATTGATTTGAAGGTAACATCATGGGATTAAACCCATGAACATGCACGTCCTCGCAATCTACACCAAAACGTGATGCAATGCCCGCCTACGAGCATACTCATCACGATGGCTGCATGCCAAGGCACATGGAAAAACTAGCTGAAAAGTCTTCAGCACAATTGCACACCCCCAGGAAGTCTCAACTTACTGATGGCCAGCTTGAAAAGGCTGCCACAACTGCCGCAGACGAAGCAAACTCACTTCATCCATTATAAGCCCCAAGTCCACTGCAAAATTTATGAGATTTGCCAAAGATACCAACAATAGACCAACCTCGATGCAGACAAGGGGATACTCTGCCTGACTCATCTTCCAAAGACAATCCTGGCTACCAAACGCTATCCTAACACCCGGTCTTCCGTGGCGTAGGGACTAGCACTAAAACGACGGCTTTACAAGAACAAGTACTGAGTGAGACATTCAGTTAAAGTACAAAGAATACGACCAACCTCGTCCATGCCGAAGGGGTCCGGAACCGAAGAAAACCAAAACCGCATCCAGGCTCTCTTATATGCAGCGCGACCTTAGGGCAGGTCATGCACAGCACCGCAACGCTTGATTTGGCAGGTGATAATCTACTTTCACGCAAACTAACAAGCTCTCGGAAAAAGATAAATTACGACAAATTTGCCATTTATCCAAGAAATCTATAGCTCATCTCTATCGCGGTGACTTGATCCATAAAATGCCTCGGCGAGTTCTATGAAATGCAGTCAAGACCATGAACGATAGGGTTGGAAATCACTCACTTTGCCGAATATCTGAGCTGAGCTCAACAGGTAACACAACATTGTACTCTATAAAAAGGTCGCCGAAATTGTCTGTCTGATGCAGGGGCATCCCCTCGCCTTCTATAGTTTGAACATAACCTGCGATGAAGTTGAATACCACCCTGATAAATTAAGCGAATAAATGAGAGCAGCTTACTAGGTTGGGTCACTCCCTGGCGATTTATCTCGACGACGTGACCGTCGAGATGCGTGATATTACGTTGGAATCCGAGGAGTGCCTACAATTTAAGCAGGAACATAAGCTGTCGAAGAGGGACAATGTCAACAAAGCTTACCTCGTCAACGCCAATGGTCTCCCGCCAGTACAGGCTGCTCTCCTTCCGCGACCAGGCACCTTTGTCCTTCCTACTTCGCACTCTCAAAACAACGTCGCCAGCCTCCCAGTCTGGGTTCTCATCTCCCTCTCCCTCAAACACGACATCAAACCCTTCTGGTGTACCTGGTTGCAACTCCAGAGTATAGTGTTGTGTATGCTCGACCACCTTCTCTCCTTTACAGTGTGGACATAGTTTCTTGATGACTCTTCCCCGGCCACCGCAATCGTTACATGTCGACTGCGACTGTGCAAACATGCCGGGAAATATTTGCTGTTTGAAGGTTTTCACGCCGTGTCCACCACATCCTGAACAAGTATGGATGTCGCCGTCTGAAGCAGCGCCTGAGCCGCGACAGTGATCACAAAGTATCTTTTTCCTCATCGTAAACTGTTAAGGGTGAAGCGTCAATCCACTAGTGTAGCAACACGGAAGGTCAAGACAAACGTCAATATTGGCACCCATATACCTGCATAACTCATGAGTTAACCGTCGCAGAGACGTAAGGATACGAGCTTACATATCTGCGAGTGAAACCTCGAATTCAATGAGAGCAGTCTGTCCACGGCGCACTTGTTGCTGTGTATTGACTGCTTACTGATCAGCGCAAAGAGGCAGTGGCAAGGAATCACAAAACCCACAGGCACCACCGAAGACGTTGGAAAATATGTCGAAAGGATTGGCATGATGCTGTTGTCCACCTTCGTGCGCCCTCAATCCTTCCTAAACGAAAAAGGTGCGTGTTCATATCCATAATAATTTGTAGTGAGTCGATGATAGACTCACTTCACCATGCCTGTCATAAATTTGGCGTTTCTAAAATCATGAGTGGACATCAAGAAATACTTGAGAATTGTGCATACCGTGGAGTCTGAAAGGACTTCATATGCTGATGGAATACCATGAGGATACCATTCTATGGAAGTGTGTATAACTCGATTTACCATGAGCAATGTCAACGAACTTGTCCTCCGCCCCTGGATCTGTATTTTTGTCAGGGTGATACTTCCTGCTCAGGCGCTTGTACGCTTTGCGGATATCCTGCTCCGATGCATGTTTGGACACTGAAACCAGGTATATCAGTCAGACGGGCTAGTCCAAACCAGTTGGTACACGCCTTGGACTGACGCTCAAGAACTTTGTAGAGATCGGCTGCGCTAACAAGAACAGCAAAAAGCAGCCATAGAATGGCTACGTTTGACACCCAGTGCATTACGAACCAAGGTATTTAGGGAGAGGCGGGACTGAAGGCAGATGATTTGCAGCTGCCAGCAGGTCATATATTTTGCGGAACACGTATATCGCTCACTCACGTGACAAATAACCGACTTTCCTTTTCTAGTGTACCACTTCCAAGTTGCACTCAAATTTGGCTGCATTTGCTGTACGAAGCGTCCAAGAGCTTTGTCCAGCGGGTAGACTAATGCTGCGACGACGAGCACGAGCTGTTGCGCGCGATATTAACCGCACGTCTTCTCCACGAACCTACTCGCAAAACGTACCACAATATCATCCAAAAGTCAGAGGTCACCTGCATTCGTCTCGTACCTCCTGCAGTCTGCTGACCAGCATGTTCCAGCTATTCCATTTGCGTTTTCAAAAGAGGCTGCCATCAGACATGTTGGTTTAGCAGCTTCCGTAGGTTGCTTATTCCGCAACTTCCTTGGGTCGCTCGGTGCAAAGTATATCGGCGGAAACTTCCAGCCAATTCAACCCATCCGCATTCAACCAGTCTACTTTCCTGCTTGGTTCTTGGATTCAGAAGTCGAGTCATACATGAATGATGGGGATAGTGAGCGACAGGTATATTCAAGTCCTTCCTGCTACATTCATTTTACGCTGAGCCTTGCAGCGAACTGTCACCGCGTATTTTAATAACTGGTACACTAGTTCATTTATTAAGTTTCTCTGTAACTGATCATGTCCATATAGTTACTTACCGGGTGCGATATCTCTACAGCAGGCATACCAGCGAGGTTGATCACTTTCACAAGGCGCTGCATTTGACCTCCTCGGGAGGCTTGCTCTCCGAAATGACCAAGTCGAACCTAGTCTAGCTGTCCCATTTTCTCAGAGCCTTATCCATCAACACGGTTCTGACGTTGTATGTATGCCATACACTATCAATCCGCTCGACGTCATTAGTCGTGCACGGACCTCGTCCTTCACCTCTGATGAAGATGTGCGTTCTGAGCTACGGTTCATAAAAACCAATATAGTATGTCCTCTCCGATAATGTGTCCTTTTTTCCTTCTCACCCCAGGACAGGAAGCCACCTATCCCGTCCTAATTCCGCTTTACCTGGCGCAATTTCCAATGGTTCCGCCGTTTGAGTCTTCAACGTTCGTCATAGAGGCATACAGTCAACCCGTAAGTCTTTTAAGAATCGCGCTCGATACTGTTGACATCATCTTATGTACAAGGGCCGGTTTTTCATCCAAGTTGCTCAAACCCCCGAAGTATCAGAGGAGGACCGGTTCGACTTGGAGAAATACATCGGTTACGACTTCTTGTTTTTAGGCGATGCTCCATCATCCCATGCGGAGACCCGCGTCCTCGCTCCCGACTTCGATAAAAACGCATCTGCGAATGTTGCATCGTGGTTTGACAGGCTATTTAGCGAGCCTGGTGGTGCAGAGAAGCTGGTACATCCGGATGGGGCAGTAGGTGTTAACGCGCATATGGATGACCCCAGGGTACGTGAGTGGACTGCTGAGGAGGTCAACCCGGTTCGGCAGTGGATGAATCAGGGGCAAGCGATCGTGCAACTGAAAGATGTGGTCAAGGTTTGTTCTGAACACCAGTGTATACCTGTCGCGTGCTCATTCATAATTAGAATCTTACTTCCATCGAGAACCAGATGCAAAGTGGTGCTGTGGAGGTGACCCAATGGCCGCCGCCCCCAGAGTCAGAACCCAAGCAGGGAATAGAGATCGTCACTGCTGGCTTGGAGGCTTTCATTAAGTCAGAGCTCTCAAAGCTCGAAATGCTGGAGCAGACCCGTGCCGATACGGCGCCAGAGTGGTGGCGACAAAGAGAGGAGACCAAACATCAACCCGGCGGAAGCGAACCTATGTAGTACTTACGTATCGTCGATGTCCAACACGCAGATGTTAGCGCATCAGTCCTTGAGACTTTACGGATTCATAATTTACGGAGAAATAAAATCAAGTCCATTAAATAACGGAGGTATAGTACTAGTCAACCTTCCTTGCCCATTTTCTACCTGAAGGTGACGCGGTATGACGCGGTACAGGAGACTTTGGAGTAACGACAACATCAACTCTTCCCTGCCTCTCCGATGCCCAGTCTTCCTTTTCCTTCTCGCTGAGTGCTCCAATCTGCGTCTTTCCAAAGTCTTCTTTGTGGTCACTACCCCAGTACAACCACATCTGCGCACCGAGCACAATGTTGAGAAGGAGGGCAAGGGCAAAGCCAGCAGTGACGATGAGATCACCGACTTCGGTGGCGGTGGTGAACAAACGAGCAAGACAACCCGCGATTTGTGAAACGACAGCGAACGCAGAGAGCTGACCCGTGGAGCGGGCACGTGCGTTCTGCATGATTTGGGGGAGTTTGGAAAAGAGGGATAGTGGCAACGTGGCCATTTGCAGCAGAGACAGGATATCTTTAGGGAGAACATACAGCGTGACGACGGATGCGACGGAAGCTGCGCTGGCGATTGCCAGTCGTGGGCCAGTGGCCTGTACATTTCGAAGTGATGGAGGCGGGAAGTAGATGATTAGGAGAGTAATTATGGTATTCTGTATAGTAAGGAATAGATTCTCGCCGTATGTCGAGAATGGGAACTCATTTTGGTATGAGTATGCAGCCGTAATAGCATATGCGAGTGTTTCAAGAACGTATGCGGGTAAGGAGAGACCGCGAGCGGAGCGCCCGTTAAGAACTGGCATGTCATAAGCACCTAACGAGTTGAAGGCGCTCGACAGACTCACTCAGCATTAACTGGGGAACTTTCATGATAGAGCCTCCAACTACGATACCAATACCCAAGCCCTTGGAGAGCGAGTACTTGAGACAATTCACGTCCCCGACATTGAGGTTCTCGACCAGCGAGGAATAACATTTCTGCAACATATTAAGACTACCCCCGGCGACTGAAACTACAAAAACAACATACCTCACCAATTATTGAGATTCCAAGGTCTGATATAAATTTGGGCAAGTTTTGCGTAATTGCAGTCATGGTGAACAATTGAGGCGGTGGACAAGAGTCAAGCCTCACGAATAATCGCAGTTCGTTACACCTGTGGTGGCTATGCAGTTTCCTGTTTGAGCGACCGTAAAATTTCTGGTCTACAAGCCTCAAGGACCGTACATACCACCATGGCGGAATACGATCTATCAAAAACGATAATACCCTACCTGGATCGCCATCTGGCGTTCCCGTTGTTGGCTCATCTCGTCGAAACTTCGTTGTTCCCGGTCGAGCAGGTTCAAGCAGCGCAGTATGAACTTGCAAAGGGCACGAACATGCTGGATTACGCAGTCAGCTTGTTTGAGCAGCTGCACCCTGACGAGGAGATCCCTGAAGGTGCGTCATCATGTTGCAAGTTACATCAGTGTCGATTTATATGTGCCCGATCTTCCAGAGTTCTCGGGGAAGCGAGAGAAGGCTGTCTCAACAAATGAGCGCCTACAGCTGGAAGCTCAAGCCGTCCTTGATGTGATCGAGAACCCAGATGTTGCACAGGCACTGCGTCAAGATAAAAATCAGAATCTGCAGTACCTCAAAGATAACTACAACGTACGTTCTCGCCTACCGTTGACCGTTTGCAACATATTTACGTTTCATATAGCTCACCCTCGAACAAATCACTGCTTTATACAACTTTGGGCAGTTCCAATATACCTACGGCAACTACAGCGGTGCTGCAGACTATCTGTATCACTTCCGTGTACTTTCAACCGATAACGATCTCAACACTTCTGCCCACTGGGGTAAACTTGCTTCCGACATCCTCACTGGAAAATGGGAGACAGCTCTCGAAGAGTTGAATACCCTACGTGACGTCGTTGACTCACGCTCACCTTCAACACTCTTGACGGCATCTGCCGAGCCCGCAGCCCTTACGCAACTCCATTCACGGACATGGCTCGTTCACTGGTCTCTATTTGTTTACTTCAACCACCCTCAGGGTCGGACACTCCTCCTCGAGACCTTCCTCTCCCCCACTTACCTTAACACCATCCAAACTTCTTGTCCCTGGATCCTTCGATACATCGCCACCGCTGCCATCCTCTCTCGCAAGTCTGCTGCAGGTGGGACAGCTGCTTCTTCGCGTGTGAGACACTCGATACGCGAGATCGTCAAGGTCATCCAGACGGAAGAGTACCAATATCAGGATCCTGTTACATCGTTCCTGAAAGAGCTTTACGTCGAATTTGACTTTGAGGCCGCACAGCGGGAACTGACGCTTGCGGACCGTGTTGTCGGGGATGATTTCTTCCTTGGAGAGTTCAGAGAGGAGTTCCTCGATAATGCACGCTACCTGATTAGCGAGGCATACTGCCGTATACACCAACGCATCGATATTGGGTAAGTGAGGCATGTGTTTCACATTATTTTATTCTCAACCACGTGCTCAGCGACCTCTCGGAACGTCTTAATCTCTCACGAGATGAAGGCGAGAAGTGGATCGTCAACCTCATCCGCGAAACTCGTATGGGAGCGGAAGCGAAGATCGACCTCGAAAAGGTGCGGATCCCATTTCGGTGTCACTTAATAACGTCGTACTGGAGAGTTCATTCACTGATCGTCATCTTCTTTATAGAATGTCATCGAGATCCACCGCTCCCCATTGCCAGTATATCAATCTGTTATCGAGAAGACACGTGGTTTGGCGTTCCGGACGCAGGCTTTGGGTACTGGTATGCTCCACAGCCCGCAGCAGCCACAACAGACCCAGCCACAACCTGCTGTTGTTGAGGGAGCTCGGTGATCAGAGCTTATCTGTACTTGTACGTGCTTCATGGGTAGCTTCTCGCTACTCAAAAATCACCACTGTCGTATTCTTTGGCGACATCTTACGGTTGTAGATGTATCCTGTCTTCATACTTGCCCTGTTGTCCACTTGGTTTTGGTAGACATGTTCCGATCAATCTATCTATCAAGGTAAACTTGGAACGACTGCATACTCCGTATCGATATAACCAATCTATTTGTCTTTCCCGAGATGTGTGGCACTCCTCCAGCACCTGTATTTTGTCAGCACCGATATCATAGGGTGAGATAAGCAGGTGAACCCACAAGATCTCATAGCTTGTTGAGACGACGTGCTCTTGACCACCATATGCGACATTGCATCCCCCCTGTCAGGAACTCAGACATCATGAGATAGGTAGAATGAGAATACGCACAAGATGTTCTCCTGTCTTACCAGGAACCCAGGTCTGCCCCACGCGAGCCCGTGCATGATACAAATTCGTCCCATCCTCTTCATAACCCCCAGCAACAGGATACCGCCCTTGAGGGATACGACCTAGACTCGTACAGACCCATTCCATAGCATCAGGGTCAAATGGCAGAAGATCATACCGCCCCTGATGCTCTACCTCAGTGCCAGCGTATGGCACGCGGCAGGGAAACGGAAGATGAGGCGCGATCTTGCAGGGATGGACAGAGCTTTGGAAGATTGCAGATCCGATGAAGACTGGAGAAACGCCGTCTCCATCGTAGCATGGGGGTGCTCTGGTGGATCTGAGATCAGGGATGCGAGAGTTGAGCTGCAGCGGGATTCGGATGCCTGAGGGAGGCGGACGGGGGGTCGGGGTCATTGGAGTCGGATACGGCGGTGGTGGACCTCTGTCTGTCTTGTAGTCTTCTTCCATTGCGCTTGCAGGATATGAGTCCAGTCGATGTACTAGATAACGTCGCTGCGGGATTAAGTCGCGGTGAATAGTGTCTCCGTCACAGCACTGAATCAGCTGGGCGCTTGGGATTTAGGAAATTGGGTTGACACGCTGGCCGGCGCTCTGAGGCTCTGACGTATTGGCATTACATATTACAGTCTTGTCCGTAGATTAATATGTACAAGCGATCCGCTCGCCTGCGGACGGTGCGGCCTACTCGAATCTTTCTATCTACATATTGTAAGAAGGGTGTATACATCAGCCACATCCTCTCCCTCATTCGTGGATGACCTTTACAGCAGTAGTGAGGAATAAACTACGTTCCCCGTCTGTCTTTCTTCACTCGTTGCTGTAGCGCCAATGTACAGCCATTGTGCTCATTGCTGAGACGTAGAACATGGTCCTGCGAGAGCGCTGCTTTGAATTTCTCCCAAAGAGGCATGGCGGGATACAACAATACCGTGAAAAGAGCAGGAGGATGCCATGACAATTGAGAGAGAAAGGGTACGAAAACAGTGCAGCTACGGAGGAAAGGAGAACTGTTGACAGGGGCTCGATCACTTGAAACTGGATGCGGCCAAGATGGTGTAAGAACAGCGTCAGCAATAGAAACTCAAGTGGAACACACGCCCAAGTCAAAGGGGTCATGTGAAGCACGTACATGGCGGCTACGCGAATTGGTTCCGTGGGATCAAACGCCCCGTTCTTACAATAGTAGGCTAAATAGTAGGCTATTAGCAGCGAGGACTGTCCTCAGTCCCGCCTGACGGGCGGCGACCTTAGATCTCAGCTTGCCAGCCTTGCCTAATCGAATCTTGAATTCTTTCCAGCTGTCGATGGCACAAATTTTTGCCTGTGATGGGCGCTGGTAAAGGGGCAGTGAATATAAATTTAAAGGGGGTGAGTACAGGATGGGGGGAGGCAAGACCCGGCAAGTAAAATACTGGACTCATCTACATCTACCATCTATCTACATATCGTACATGTAAGGACGGAGCGTGTGGAAGCAATTCGTGTCGACACCATGTGCGCACCTGTAAAAAGACTGGACCAATAACATTGTATCAAAACAGCCGAGAAAAATACAAGAACTGGAAAACGGATATGACATGAAGACCCTCACATGATTTCACGAAGACCTGGAGAGCTTCAAGTTCAGACGAGGATGCCAAAGTGACAAGGTCATTGCAACTTACCGTAAGCTACAAATACGCTGAGACGATCTGTCGAGCATCCGGACCAGGAACCACCTGGACTATGCCACCGGCACAGGCGGGAGACTTCCTAATATGGTCTTGTACGACATCATTCCGTGCCATGATAAGTGTGCATCGCGAGCATCTGGACTGAATACCGAGATGCTTCGCGACGTGCCTCGGGATGCTTGCGATCTTCAGAGGTCCTGCCCTGGAGCACGAACTCCATCGGCACTCGACCTCTTTGACGTTGCACGCGACGCCGTGGTGTCGCCGGAGATGTGAGATAATCTCTTTGGGAGCGCCTTCAATAAACATAGCGCAAGGAGAATGTCCATCGTTCCAGGCACAACGATAGACTATGGGGGTGTCTTCGGCGGAGCAGCGCGCTTTCACAGCGGTGCTGGTCTCCACATCTATGATAAGGGCGTCGTGAGGGCTCGTAGAATGGCATGGACAGTTATGCAGAAAGCATCTGGGAGAACGCGACGCGTGAACAACGGGTCAAATGTCCATAAGTGAAGTCCTTTACCTGGATAATGAAGGATATTCCTGATGTGGAAATTCGGGTAGTAGGATGGGTGGTAAGAACGAACAGTCGGGGAAAGCGTTCATGGCTAGATACTACTGTGACCCTTGAGTGGAGAATAAGGCTTGAGAGATATGGGTCTCGGTGACATCCTCCTCTTTTGTATGCTCCATAGATTAAACCCTGTATCAGCTGCCAGCTGAAAACCTAACGAACGATTTGCCAAAAGTGCCTATGGAAAGCAACGTTTAGATCGCTCTGGGGTAAGCCTGTGGCTGCATTTTTAAAAATAATTACAAATCCGTACTATAGTGAAGGTGGGAATCCATCCGAACCTGAGCCAAGTTGCCAAATATCTGATTGGCGGGCAAGTGTGATAGACATCAGTCGGCTACTAAACCTTTGGCTTCCGTGACCAAAAGTTTAAATGGACACTGCGTCCATTTGGTTTGGAAGTAGCCAATCAGGTTTCCTGGGTAAATGAACCATTTGGTAAATGAACAGTGAGCGCTGCGTCCAGTTGGTTTGGAAGTAGCTAGTAAATGAACCATTTGGTAAATGAACAGTGAACGCTGCGTCCAGTTGGTTTGGAAGTAGCTAATCAGGTTTCCCGGGCAAACGGACAATACTTTTTATAAGTTTCCCGAACTTGAGCTTTTCAAGTATCTTATTGGCGGGCAAGTGTGATAGGATAGGGTCTACGAACACTGGGCGCCCATTGGTTGCATCGAGGACTGTCGGGAAACTTATAAAAAGTATTGTCCGTTTACCCAGGAAACCTGATTGGCTACTTCCAAACCAAATGGACGCAGCGTTCACTGTTCATTTACCAAATGGTTCATTTACCCAGGAAACCTGATTGGCTACTTCCAAACCAACTGGACGCAGTGTCCATTTAAACTTTTGGTCACGGAAGCCAAAGGTTTAGTAGCCGACTGATGTCTATCACACTTGCCCGCCAATCAGATATTTGGCAACTTGGCTCAGGTTCGGATGGATTCCCACCTTCACTATAGTACGGATTCGTAATTATTTTTAAAAATGAGGCCACAGGCTTACCCCAGAGCGATCTAAACGTTGCTTTCCATAGGCACTTTTGGCAAATCGTTCGTTAGGTTTTCAGCTGGCAGCTGATACAGGGTTTAATCTATGGAGCATACAAAAGAGGAGGATGTCACCGAGACCCATATCTCTCAAGCCTTATTCTCCACTCAAGGGTCACAGTAGTATCTAGCCATGAACGCTTTCCCCGACTGTTCGTTCTTACCACCCATCCTACTACCCGAATTTCCACATCAGGAATATCCTTCATTATCCAGGTAAAGGACTTCACTTATGGACATTTGACCCGTTGTTCACGCGTTACGTTCTCCCAGATGCTTTCTGCATGACTGTCCATGCCATTCTACGAGCCCTCACGACGCTCTTATCATAAATGTGGAGACCAGTACCGCTATGAATGCGCGCTGCTCCGCCGAAGATACCCCCATAGTCTATCGTTGTGCCTGGAACGATGAACATTCTCCTTGCGCTATGTTTATTGAAGGCGCTCCCAAAGAGATTCTCTCACATCTCCGGCGACACCACGGCGTCGCTTGCAACGTCAAAGAGGTCGAGTGCCGATGGAGTTCATGCTCCAGGGCAGGACCTCTGAAGATCGCAAGCATCCCGAGGCACGTCGCGAAGCATCTCGGCATTCAGTCCAGATGCTCGCGATGCACACTTATCATGGCACGGAATGATGTCGTACAAGACCATATTAGGAAGTCTCCCGCCTGTGCCGGTGGCATAGTCCAGGTGGTTCCTGGTCCGGATGCTCGACAGATCGTGTCAGCGTATTTGTAGCTTACGGTAAGTTGCAATGACCTGTCACTTTGGCATCCTCGTCTGAACTTGAAACTCTCCAGGTCTTCGTGAAATCATGAGAGGGTCTTCATGTCATATCCGTTTTCCAGTTCTTGTATTTTTCTCGGCTGTTTTGATACAATGTTATTGGTCTAGTCTTTTACCACCCCCTCCCCTTTATTCACGCCCAATCATGTACGAGCAAACTTCCCTATTTTCATGTAATCGCTTAGAAAAGTACGCACTTTTCGGAGGCTATATGAGTGCTCTCAAGGCTGAGAGTCCATCATCCTCCAGAGCTCAACTATGAATCTAGAACATTGCTACTCACAGTCATGTGACCCCCGTCATCGATGTTTTACCATTTGCTTTGTTGGTGGGGGAGCCAGTTCTTGGGACTCCCAATCAGCGGAAGACAGCGTCGGTATACTAGCAATCTGTTTCCGAGCGCCTGTCCTTAGCGGTGACGCTGGTACTTCGTGAGATTCATCGGAAGCGTTGTCACGGATCGATAGAGACGCCATGTTCCGATGGAGGAGTCTATGGCACGCAGTCAGCGAAGCAATGATTATGTAAGGGTGGCTGTACCTTGTTTCTCGACTGCGCGCACTGCTCCATATCTTGCATGCTTCCTTGAAGTTAGTCAAAATACCGGCCATATCATTGTAAAACTGTTAGAAAATCAACTTGATATCCACGAGACTGGGCTGCTGGTAACTCACCTTCAGCCCTTCGTCTAGATTCCGAATGATTTCTCTATAATGAGAATACGCGAAGTCAAGAAATTGAAGGGCATGTTCTCGATCCTTGACGGCAGGGTCTTCTTTCCTAGACTGAATGAAAGCGTCATTTGTGGACTTGGAGATTTTCAGGAATTAGTGGGAACGGAGCATTGACTAAAATGACCTTAATCGACGCAATAATCTCCACTTGTTTTTTCCGCCCCTCGGTCAGACCTTGGATAAATTTATCGTACTTGGCCAGTTCATTGTCTGAAACATCTTCAAACATAGCAGCGCTCATTTCTGTCCCGTGTTCTAACCTTGCCGCTGCCGTCAGCACCTTTGACCGTATGTCGTCGCTTTCCGCTCGTCTTTGGGCACGGACAACAAGGTCGTCTCGAGTGCGACGAATATCATCCAGAGACTCTAGTAAGCCACGCAGGGTGCGAGCGTGGATTTGAGTTTGACTAGTTGACACCGCCTTTCCTGCCATAGAGACTGTCGATGACGGCACCAAAGCTTCGAGCTCATCCTGTGCACTGGGGTTAGCATGTACTTATGCACAGTTGAGTCCTGTCTGCACCTCGTCGCGAGTAAGCTCGGTTATTTGATCTTCCCATTCCTCCCATTTTCTCCGCACGAGTTCGTCGCTTTCTGCTGCCTGAGTGAGGATGGACCGATACCGTTGTTGCTTCATGACAAGCTCTTGGTTCGCTTCATGAGATGGAGGGCGGTTCATTTGCATCTCTCTGCGTGCAGCTTCATCCTCAGAAGCCTCGCTGTCTAGAATGTCCATAGCCTAGAGATCCGTCCCATAAAAGATAATCTAGACGTATGCAGAAAAGACAATACCTCGTCGAGTATGGCGAGTACGTGTCGAGAGAGTCGCTGGACGTCGTCGATATAGACATCGATCTTTGTGGGCCCTTGCTCTAGACGTATTTCTTCAGCTTTCTTCAAGAGAGATGGGGGCAGCCCGACAGGACGTTCCAAGGCTTCCAATGATGACGGCAAGTTCAGAGATTGGAGCATCCTGCATTTGGTCAATTCGGGAATAGTGAAAAAGAAGCGCATCTGACTTATCGGCTTCATCGTTGAAATTCTGGGCTGGTTCAAGAATTTTCTCTTGAAGTAAATTTCCCTTGTTGTCATTGTATATATCTGAGTTGATCGATCAGCATGAGGAGTCATATCATCGCTTAACCTTGACTCACTGATAGCTTCCCGAGCACCCCATCCGAGCATCTCACCAAAGATTATGTTGTCATTTCCGATCACACTTTTGGGGTCTTGCAGCCCAGGTGGAATGATGCTCTGGACCATTGATACTTCTTGAATCGCCAGGATACCAGAAGGTGCGGGAACGTTCTGATGATATATCAGATCATTGTCTCTTTCGGCACGTGCGAGATTTTTCTGCACGGCGTCAAGTAATGACTGAAATGAGATGTCAAACACGGCGATTCCATAAGGCGCAGGACGGGAATGAACCTTGACATCTTCTAGGACTGCTTGAGCAACCCCAGCACGTTTACCGATGTTGAATCCCTTTTTAGCATCCGCTTCCGCAATCATTAGACGTTGTATCTCGTCACCGTACCTGTGAAAGTTTCAGAAAGGAAGGGACGCGTCATCTGTCACCAACCTGGAGGCCTCGAGCTCGTCGATACTTTTCCTGAATTGTGATGCTGCATTGAAATGATGTTGCTTTGTATCCAGGTGAGGAATCCAATTCTATTCGCTTAGGTCAATACACGCGGTAGAAGCCATGAGATTATGCTTACAGATGGTAAGGCATCACGGCTGTCCGCGGCGGCCAGGCGGATCGAAAGTAAGGAAGTGCTGTAGAGAGACGAAACTTTGGCCGCTAATTTTGCAATCAGGCCATTCTTGTAATGATCTAAGCCACTGATCAGATCTCTAGAATGTTTTAAGGGGAAATATTACCAGTGACGGCACGCTGCCAGACACATTCCTGGGCTTGAGCCAACATAAGCCATTCTAGACTTTTTACAAAATCTTCGGTCAGGTCGGAAGGCGTGTTTTCTGGGTCTACTAAGGGACCGAGTTTCGGTAGTGCTGACGTCGACAGGAAGGCCAAGACACCAGCGGCATTCTTCAGGTGCAGCATGAGGTAATTGTCATCTTCCAATCGCTTAACTTGCCTGATAATAAGCACTTGCACGCTTTAGGCCATCTTGACTGGATCTATCTTCGGAGGCGGCTAATTGGGAATATAGCGCTGCTATATTGAACAGGACTGAAGTCCGTTCAAATTCTATACTCCTCAGGGTCACGGGGAGGGTGGACAAGCTCGAAGAAAACGCATGTGCGTATGAAAATTCCAGATTGATCTAGGGTTGTCAGTACTGCGTAAAAAGAAGCATGAAGTTGACGACGAACGTCGGACGGTAATTTGGCTAGAATGAACACAAGTTGAGCGTGATAACTGCTTCTGGTCAGATTGCTCGTCGGGATGAGGTGGTGCACTCACTTTAACGCGGAGTTGACACGGTCAGCATGTAATACGCCCCCTGTGCCGACATCCCGCAGTGACTTCCATTGATTTATGTCACGAATATACGCATCCGGGTGATCTTCTGTATGATTTCGAATGTAATCGCGAGCGGCAGTAGGTATCGGGCACGAATACGTCTTCTTGAAAGGAATGCTGAGGTGGTTTGGCATAATGGATGCCCTATGTCCTCGTGGAGAAACTCTGAGGGATGGATTCGAAGAGATTCGAAGTCAATCAAAAGTCAATTGAATTATAGAGATCGTCACAAGTTCTAGTCAACGTGCTCTGATGCCCGTGTCTGTCAAGGGCTTGTGCAGTGTTGGCGGCTTGGTCGCGAATAACACGTGACAAGCAATACTTGCGGGGAACTTCCGAAATGGATATGTCCGAGCCTTCCTCACTACTCAGCGCTGCGGCTCGGCGAAAAAGCAGGAACGACTTCTTTTCAAGGTCTGACTACGGGAGACTAATACCCAACCAGGTACCAGCAACAAGGCAGCACAAGAACAACAGTGGTCTGATTCAGAAGTTCAAGTCCAGGCAGAATTAGCACTAGAACTCTTCGGAACTGCGCAGTGACTTCGCCGTTTCCTTTATCTTTACGACTCCATTGCGTCCCACTGTGACCGTTAATGCTTCGATCTTAGCTTCAGGCCCAGGTTCGCGTCTTATCTTAAATGAGTCAAGATTCTCAGCGATCATGGTCTCATTCGGCATCACCCCACTGATCAGAGCGTCGTATCACGGTTTATATGGATCTTATCGCACCACGTTTGCAGCTTGATGCAAGCGGTCACGCGAAATGATGAAGTTGTGTGATTCGTAATACTTCACATTTGGCACACATCGATTTAATAAGAGCAAGTTTTTATCTGACGCTTTATGCTTCTTTTTGAGCTGATATTATTGGCAGGTGCGGTCGTGCATCTTCAGTATGGGCTCTGAAGGTGGAATTCTACCGTTTCCCCAATTATTTCATTATTTCACTGACCCGAAAGGTTATAGATTATCGTGGCCTGGTTTGGTCCTGCGCTTCGGAGATGTATAGGTACCTTTGACCCCCTTTCTAGTCTTCAGGGAGCTCCAAATGTCTCGCCAAAATGCTCAACCCCACGAACGTCCTGAAAATGGCAGACGCGAAGAATTCATAAGTAGAAGTTAGTTGTCTATTCACTTTTCCTTGACTTTGTTGAGTATCGATAGAATCGAAATGGCTCTGTTGAAGTGCGCATTTGCGCAAACTTCTGGGTTGTGGGTTTCATCATTGGCGGCCTACAATTCGTTCGGATGATCAATTTGTTTTGGCCAAGTATCCAAATCTCTATTGATGCTTGTTTTAGCTCGCAGGCTGGGGATATGAAGTAGAATTTACCTCCCCAAGTGGGCAGCCACGACACGACTTTTTCAGGCCCACCGATGTTCGTTGCGGATGACTTAGGCATGTGGTGTGAGGGCATCTCACAGCATTATACTTTCCATTTCTGTCCATTGAAAGAGCCTTAGACTTCTTGTGCCCCCTACTATACATGTACCAGAACCTTCAATTCTCAAACCATTCATTGCAGCGATCAGAGCGGAAAATTGGCTAAGCCCAATACCTCAGAAAACCTGTTAGGCCATCACATGGCTACCATGAGTAAGGTGTCGGTCGGATATTCGGAGACGACTCTGGAGTCTGCACTGACATTTTGCGACCGCGTTCATGTTTGACATGCGGCCCAACAATGGAGGTGATTGGTTTAATTTAATGGGTAACACCAGGTGAAATTCGACTTTATTACCAGACTTTTTTTTAAAAAAAAAATACAGTTTATTGTCGTCTTGGGGCAACGCCCGATGTTGACAGTACCACAGACCTGACAGATTGGATCTTCCTTGTGCAGCCGAAAATCTTAAAAGAGGGTTCCGGACGCACAGTGACTTTACACAAAACGATGGTTCATCGTACCTATCGCAACTTCCTATCGAGCTCCTCGCCTCAGCCGCTTTAAGGGTGCTTTGCACATCCTACATCATCTTTCAAGTATGCGGCGGAAGAAAGCGAGTCTGCCTCTATTATCCACATGATAATATACATGGATACGTGCACACACATGGATACGTATACGACGCATGACGCGGCCCTAGCGCTGAGCAGTCACGTCAGTACTTCAGTACTTACGTCTCTGATCCTAAGCACTAGTACTAGTCAGTGTTGTTACTAACCCTGGACCGTTAAAAGGAGTTCATAGTACCCTGTTATCACTCGGACCTTACTCGGTTCCTACAATCTACATTAACAAAGGAGTGATGCATATGTGACCTGTTAGCATTCCTAAATAGATCGGCTCTCTATGTTTCAGAAAGCATGTTACCATTCGACTGACGTTATTTAGTAAAGGTTGGACCCCGCAAACTGTGTCGGAGAAAGGCCAAAGAAAGGCACGATTTTTATTTTTATTTTATTTTTTTCATTTATTATCGTCTTTATTGTCCTACTTGTCGAGCTCGCGGTCTTTGTGCGCAGCGTCCTCGACCTTTTTCTCCAATCCTAGTGCCCGTGAATGCCGCCATCTCTCTGCATCCTGCCTACAACCCTTGACATGAATCCTGCTCCTGCTCCTTCCTGCAGCCTGGCTAGGCCGTCGCCGCCGGTAATTTTTTTCGGAACAGCGCATCACGACCGGTAAACCAAAGACATGAAAATTTAAGTTGGTTCACAATTAAAATTTTATGATATGTAAAGAACAGAATACTGTCAAGGAAAGGCTACACCACACACCCAATTTCTGGAAGACTGTATGGGAGAGGGTGGGACACGAGGATGAGGAAGCTAAATTGGTGTATGGGGAAGTGCTGTCCAAAGGAATACGCTCAATCATGAGCGTCGGTGCGGTGACTCCAGTCGAGGTCTATCCGTCGGTACTGATGTCCGTAGGCTGTAGAAAGTGAAAGCGCGCGGAGGGGTTTGAGGCAGCAGCGGTGGTTTCTGTTGGAGGCGTCAGAGCTGGTATTGGTCGGGTAGCTCGGCGCTGGACGTTTAAGGGAGTGATGCGAACGTGGCAGAACAGCGCAGAATGGGTATGCGCGAGGGCGGCGAACTTGGACTTAAGAATGACGAGGAAATATGCTTACCGAGCGGTGGTTGAGGTCTTTGCCACTGATATAATTGATGCGTTCAGGGACTTGTGTTTCCCACCCTATTGGGAGCCGATCTACTTCAGAATGCTAGTAACAGGGCACACTCATCAATTAACTACCATTTATGTAACCCCGTTGACCCCACATCTATCTTTGAACTCGTCTTGAGACAGTGCACACCATACTTTTTCTGGTATTTATGACTCTCGGAGATGCGGGCTGGTAGTCCTCTCCACCAATGACAGCGCTCGCTTAAGGTTGACGAAAGCTAGGGAAAGCTTCAAATTGTCAACGTAAAGGGAGGCTCTCTCAGGTGCAGTTACTTCGCGGTTAATTCCAGGCGGGACACCATCTATAACCTATTTGGTTATAACCCGGGTTACTAGCAGCACTGGTACTAATCGTCGGAGTTCGACAAACCATTACAAATAAGGCAATTATTCACTCAGCGTTTGCTCAGCGTTAACTGACCCATGCAGCTAAGAGCCTCACCAGCTGGCAAAGTAGAAAAAGAAAAACGGAAGGACTAGTAAGACTGCGAAAAGGGTCATAAGACTGGGAAAGCCTGAGTCATACTGGATCATGGTTGTGGCTGACCATGATGCAGGATCCAGGTCACAGTCTTGAGTGGTATCGACGTACCACGTGGAGTGGCTGTCAATGGCTGTGTACGTTGGCTTTCGCTTCGCAAAGATGCATGGATGTAGTGTTGGGAAGATGCGTGTTGGGCGTTCTTGCAAAACGGTGACACTCGACAAATGCGGTGGAGTATCCGAAACACGCGCACCCGAAACAACACCATGAAGTTGGTAGGGCCGCCATCAGTGTTTGAACCTGTCGAAAAACTATCGTTAAACGATCCCTGACATTCCCTGTTTGGTATAATTTCAGGTGAACTGAATTGATTTCTATTGAGATCTAACACTAAAACTACGTGAAATTTCAGCCGCTGTTGCTGACATTTTCCCTGACAGATCGGTGAAACAAAGAGTACATACTTGCCGGCATGTCCAGCTGTCTGGATCCAGGGATTTCAAAATTCCCGCCGGATCACGAATCTAGTTAGTGGGGCCTTGCAAACTCTTAATTGCCGACCTCGTGGAGTGGAACGAAGTGCACCCCGACTGGCTTGGTCCGCATCGCTTCAAGTCTACCGAAGTATACATAATTTCCACTTCATTTCGTTTCGGTTCACCTCAAGGCTGGCAAATACTAATCTACACCAATACCGCATTTTTGTCGAAGGAATCATCTAGTACGAATATAGTAATTAGCAACTAAAGTAAATACATCGGCAAAAGGTAAATCCACGCGTCCAGTACAAGAAACCTACGCTGAGACTATCTGCCGAGCTCCTAAGGCAGGAACCAGCTGGACCGCAGCGTCAGCACAGCCAGGAAGCCTTCTAATATGGGCTCGAACGACGTCATCACGAGCCATGACAAGTTCACACCCCGTGCACCTGAAGTGGATACCCAGATGTTTCAAGATGTGCCTCGAGATACTCCCCATCTTCAAAGGTCCGTCTGCCGAACATGAACTCCAACGGCATTCGAGATTCTCGTTGGCATTGTGCGAGATACCATGGTGTTGTCGGAGATGGGAGAGAATGTCTATGGGTGTAGCTTCAATGAACAAGCCGCAAGGAGAATGTTCGCTGTCCCAGGTACACTGATAGACTAGGATCTCTACCGCAGCGTGGCGAGCTTTAACGGCAGTGCTAGCCTCAACGTTTATGACGACGGCATCCGGGGGGCTCGTAGAATCGCATGGGCAGTGGGGCAAGGGACATCTGGGAGAACCGCATGTGAATATTGGGATAAATGTCCACAAGACAGTCCCTTACCTGGAGAACATCATGGTGAGATGAATACTGTAGCGGGGGGAGGGGTTTAGATGGATGAAATTGACATATCGAGTTCAGTTTATATTACTTCGAGTATCGGGGCAGCAATTACTTAGCACGGGCGCTGCAAGCATGCATGACGTAAGAGGGGGGGCTCATCATGGCATATACACGGAGGTTCAAGAAATTAAAGCCCCGTTGAATATCACTGCAGAGATTGAAGAAAGAGCAACGTCCTTGGGTTGGCTCATATTGTTTCTTGGGCCGATTTTGAGCTAAGCCTAGTGCGATTTAACTTTGCGTAATTAGATGTCTCGTGATAGTCAGAGCAGCTAGATTGAGTTCATGGTTCGTCACAGAAGGTCAGGCCGTCGGCGGAAAAGTTCAAAGGGCTCACATTTTCCAGCGCGTGGTGGCGTCATTCAGTAAGACCGCCGGCAAAGTGAAATCACAGCGGTCATGATTCGGCTGCCAACATGATAATGAGTAGCCTGAGACCAAGGTTATTGATATGCACTTATGTAATGAATCAAGGGCATCACTTACTTGGCATGTAGGACTCCAAGTGTAGTGTAGACCTAAGACGAGTCAGGTCGATCAAGAGATGACGATACGGCCTTTCCCATCTCGTGTTTCCTGGAATATCTTTTAGAACGTCCTTTTAATGGCGCTTGACCCTAGATTTATAATTGTCATAAGGGTTTACCGGCATGCCTGCCCCCAGCAACGACCCTGTGGCTCTCCCGCAGCACGATTGCATGCTACCTGCGATGAAGGCAGCGCGGCGTCATCGCGGTGAGAGGACTGACATACATGACAACCCCTCATTGGAGAGAAAGACACTGCAAAGCTGCACCAGAAAGTCACATGAGAACTCGTTTCAAACAAACCATACACAGTGTACGCAACAATAAATTTGTGTGGCTCGCAGAGGCATCCCATAATGTGGTCGCGGAAGCCAAGCGAGTATAAAGAAAGCGTTTATAATTAACAACGGTCATGTATTTTTTGTCACAATCGCCGTGTTGTAAATCGTCATGAAGGTATGAGGGTCGGCGAAAGAACTTTAATTCCAGTGTTAGCACGGCGCACTGTCAACATTAACGCCCCAAAACACAAGAAGACACTGCTCCGGTTCACTCGAATGCAATAATACGTCCACCGATCATTGATTGATCACAGGGGGAGTTTCCTCATGTCGATGGCAAAGAACATCCTGCGAGTCCACTCCGCTGAGCGGCATGTCACCAGCGGGATGTGCCCAAGAACCGTCTGCGTATGGTATACGAGGAGAACCTGCCAATTTCCGCACACCTCGAGTGACGAAGCACAGCGGTAATCGAACAATCCTTGACGGTCGACGGATGACGTTTGGGTTCCAGACCATTTGGATGAGCCGAAAAAAAGTTCCCGCCAGGAGAAAAAAAAGTTCCTGGCCGGAAGTCAGTGCGGCTGCGCGTGGCTAGCTGCACGCAATGTTTACAACTTTTGGTTTGATCGAGGGAAAGAAAGCGGAAGTGAAATTCAGTTTGACGCCAGACTCATCGGGTGACTGAGGAGACTATGGTCAAGGCTTGAACGCTCATCACCGTCATAATCAGGTGAGGCCCTTCTGTACGGTATGAGCAGTATTTTGGGTGCAATACAGATGACCTACCTCTGTTAAGATCTGATGCGAAAGATGGGAAACGTGTTGTTCTAAATCAACACAAGATGTGAAACAGGTTATGAACATTGTACGACCTACAAACCTCGAGGCACTAGTACTGTCGTACACCACGTTGTTGTGTATAGTACAACAAGGGCTGATCACGATGTTCAGTCTCTTTCTGCTTAGTCAAGTCTGAATGCCCCCGGACACCTATGTAACTAGTGCCGCTGCCAATTGTTACTCTCTTAATTTACCAAGCCAGTGAAAGTTACTAGTTAATATTTTAATGGTTGTGAAACCCGTTTGACAAGGTATGTGTAATCTGCGAGGGCCGAATGGTCTACTTTGGGCCTGCAAAAGAGGCGCGCCGGTGTTTCACGGACATGGGTTATAAACCCTGCCAAAGACGACATCTGACTCATTTCCTTCTTTCTTGTAAGTACGCGACGCTGTAATTACCCTCATCATAACCTGAGATTTCCCAGTCACTGATCCAGATACAAGCACTCTGTTTGAAGGGACAATACCCAGAACGGTTGAGGAGATGGTAGGTTACTTTGTTTGCGTCCTCGCTAGGCCAAGCTAACCGTCAGTTGACCGTTCACTATTGCGACATCTATGTGGGCAAACCGGATGCCAGTCAGGGCGGTAATAGTCTGCCGTGTTCAAACAACCGCCCGCCACGACTCGTTATGTAGTAGGCATATGGCCAAGCCTCTACTAAGCTGACCACTTCGCCCTGCGCAGGTTCTGTCACGTGGTATTTCCCTTCTCGGGCAGTCGCTCTACCACCCCGAACGTCTGTTTGCTGTGTTGACTGTGATCCTATTATTACTGTACATCATCCTTCCTTTCAACCTTCATGCCTTGTCGAATGGAAGCACCTAGCGCTATGTATCAATGGTGTTACTAGCACATGATTTGTTGGGTTGAACTCCATTGCCATCGAGTCTTTGTTCTTTTGGTTAACTAATGTATCTTGACTAGATCTATCTTCGGAGGCAGCTAATTGAGAATATAGCACTACTATGTTGAACAAGACTGAAGCCCGCTCAAACTCAATACTCCTCAGGGTCACAGGCAGGGAGGACGGGCTCGAAGTAAACGTATGTGCGTATGAAAATTCCAGATTGATCTGGGGTTGTCAGTGCTGCGTAAGAAGAAACACGAAATTGGCAACTGACGTCGGACAATAATTTGGCTAGAGTGAATACGAGTTGAGTGTGATAGCTGCTTCTGGTCAGATTATTCGTCGGGATGAGGTGGCGGACGCGGAGTCGATACGGTCAGCACAGTGCCGATATCCCGCAACGACTTTCACTCAGTCGTAAGGAGCAATCCTTGCTACCCAAAACGATAAGGAAAGGTCATAGCACTACAAAGTCACCGGACGTCCCACAGTCATTGATCGAGCTGAGCGAGACATTGAATATGGAAGCTTTCCCACATGAAATCCAAATTTGATTGATGTTACGAATATATTCATCTGCCAGTGGGTGATCTGAGAGGCAGTAGGTACGGGCATGAATACGTCTTGAACGGAATGCCGAGTTGGTTTGGCATTCTGAAAGAAAGGATGCCCTATGGAGACTCGGGAGACCCTGAGGGGATCAACTACCTCACGGTGTTGGTGGATTGAACGTAGATCGAGTTCTCGTCGCGATTGGCACGTGACCAACGCATGCCGTGTTCCTGGCAAGTAAGTATCTCTTCGACTCGGGCCAGATGGGCACTAGCTCAACAAGACAGTACGAGACCAACAGTGGTCTGAATTTCAAGTCCAAGCAAGCATATTGGCACTGAACCCCTTTCAAACCTTGCAGTGGAAGTCACCAATTCCACAATATTAAGATCCTTGTTACACGTTGGCCTCCCGGTGGATCGGCCAGCACTGCGCTCTCGAGGAGAAGGAGGTCTTGGCTGTTCGTGGTAGTGGTGTTAGTTCAATACGTGTGTCTGTTGTCGTGACCCTTGGCACCGCTGGGCTTCTGCCACCTCTCGCTCTGCTCCTGACTCTGCTCTGCTCGCCTCTCCTGTTCCTGTCTGCTCCTTCCTGATCTGACCTGCTGGCACGTCCCGCCGGAACGCCCCGTTACACCGGATCAACAGGCTACGGATTGTCGTGACCTGGTTTGATCCAGCGCTTCAAGGGCCGTATATGGACCTTTGACCCCCCTGGTCTCCAGAGAGCTCTCGAACCGCAGAATAAATGTCTCGCCAACATGATGAACTTTATGAACGTCCTGAGCAAGGCGGTGTTGAAGAATTTGTAAGTATAAGATAGCTTTCTGTCCATTTAATCTTAACTTTATTGACTATCGGTAGAATCAAAACGACGCTGTTGAAGTGCGCATCCGTGCAAACTTCTGGGCAGTAGGCTTCGTAATCGGCGGCCTACAGTTTTTTTTCGTATGGTCAGTTCGTTTTAACTTTTGGCCCGATATCCAAATTTATATTGACATCTGTTTTGGCTTGCAGGGTGGGATATGGAGTGGAGTTTTCATCTCCAAGTGAGCAACGGCAACGCGACATCTTCGGACCCATGGATGTTCGTCGCGCATGACTTGAGTATGTAACGTGAGGGCATGTCACAGCCGTAGACCTTTCCTACGCCATGCCTACTGTACATGTACCCTGAGCCTTTCTCGAATCATTCATCGCTAGCGATCAGAGCGGAATCGTGATATGATTGGTCAAGGTATAGACCGATATCTCGGACAACGGGTCATCGCATGTACCGTCTTGAGTAAGGTGTCGGTGGAGTATTCGTCGTCGTCGATGCGGCTCTGCACGGACATTGCCCAGAATCGCCAATCTCAATATCCGTTTTCCCCGCAAGATGAGTCTCCCCTAACGACATGTTGCCTTACCACACCACTGATCGGCTTAATAAAAGGGTAAAACTTAACCTTGTCACAGCCTGCCAATCTTCTTTGTGCAACCGAAATGTTGAACCTTAAAGGAGGATTCCGGGTACAGCGCTTTACGCAAAATGATGTGTTCACCATACCTATTGCAACTTGCTGTTGAGCCCCTCACCTCACTGACCTCAAGGGCGCTTCGCACATGACACTCATCTCAAACACGAGGTGGAAGAGAACAAGTCCACCTCCACTGTCCTATACATGAATACGCACAGGTATATACGTACACGATACATATGCATGATGCATGATGCGGATCCAGCCATGCGCCTAGGCAGTTCGAAGTTAATGTTAGTACTTTACGTAGTAATTATAGTATGTGTATAGTAATTAGCGACTAAAGCACATCGTTGGCTAAAAGTTAGATCCACGTGTCCAGTACAAAAAACTTACGTCGACACTATTTGCTGAGCTCCTGGGCCAGGAACCAGCTCGACCACAGCGTCAGCACAATCAGAAAGGCCTCTAATGTGGGCTCGAACCACATCCTCACGAGCCATAAGTTCACATCGTGAGCACCTGAACTGGATACCCAGGTGCCTCGAGACATGCCTCGCAATACTACCCATCTTCAAAGGTCTGCCCACCGAACACGAACTCCAAAGGCACTTGAGGTCTTCATCGGCTTTTTGCACGATACCATGACGTTCTCGGAGATGGGAGATGACGTCTCTGGAAGTACCTTCAATGTACATTCCGCAGGGAGAATGTTCGGCGTCCCAGTCGCAGTGATACACTATGGTTTCTACCGCAGCATCGAGCGCTTTAACGGCAGTGCTTGGATCAACGTCTATGACGAGGGCGTCCTGCGGGCTCGCGGAATCGCATGGGCAGTGAGGCAAGAAGCATCTAGAGAATGATACGTGAATGTCGGGATAGACGTCCGCAAGACAGTTCCTTTACCTGGAGAACATCATGGTTAGATGAGTGCTGAGACGGGAGACTTTAGGTAGAACCGATGTGTCGAACTCAATTTATATCGAGACAGCAAATACTTCGTGGGAGGGTCACACTGTGCGCAGTGGATGGCGTAATGGAGGAGGCTAATCGGCACATGTTCACGGAAGTTCAAGAGAGCCAGATTCCGATTAATACCGCTGCAGAGGTCGTGAAAACATCGATCATTATTCGTCTACTCACAGAGTTCTAGTAGGCCTAGTTTTGCCTTGTGTAATTAAAATCGGGTGTCCGATGGCACCCAGATCTGAGCGCATGCTGCGTGAAAGAAGATCACATAGTAGATGGAAAAGTTGGAAGGGGTACTTGATATTTCACGTAGCACCGGTGGCGTTCGATAATCCAAGATCTGCCAAAGATGAGGATGAGTACTGGCCAAGCTTACCGTGACCCGGATCTGATACGTAGTTATGTAATGAAGCATGATGGATCAAACGTGGCGCGATTTCTTATTTGGCATCTAAAATTCCGATTCCAGTATACCTGAGGTCAAGAGACAGCGGCGATCATCCTTCCCCGGCTCATTTTCCCCCTGGTATCTGTTTTAGAAGGTGCCATCAGGTAATGGCTCTTGACCCTAGACTTACAATTGTCGTAGTTGGTGACGATTTTCTCTATTCCACAGGATTTCCCTATCCCTGCTCCAGGAACCAGTAACGACCTGTGGCTTTTCGGCGGGGTCATTGTTTGTCACCCGGAGATGAAGGCAGCGCGTTATCATCGCAGTGACGGGACTGGTATGGTCCATTCATATTCAATGTCATCCCCTCATTGGAGAGTTACGAAAAACACCTGACGAAAGCATACTAGAAAGTAATATGAGAACTCCTATCACAAAGAGGATCATGTCACAGTACACGCAACAATGATTGTGTGGATATGCGCTATGATCGCAGAAATGAAGCGAGTTAAAAGAAAGAGTTGATATTTAAGTATCAGACAACTTGAAGTATACCGTAAATATTTGTTTGTCACAAGCTGATTTGCGATCAATAGGGTCAGCGAAAGGACATTTACTTCCAGTGTTAGCACAGCGCCACGTCCGAGCCGATACTAACGTCCGCGAACACCAGATTGTGACACTGCTCCGGTTCACTCGAACACATCATTACGCCTGCCAAATTGCCGAGAGTGGATTGACCACGAGGGTCGGAGTTCCTCAGTGATGATGACAAATGACATCCTGTGGGCTGGCAGTGTGTTACCCGCGGGATGTGCCCGATTGACTCAGGCAGGGCAAGAACTGTTCCCGTATGGTACGCCAGGTAAACCTGCCTATTTCCACGCACGTCGAGTGACGTCGTAGGCGCGGCCGTAATCAAACAATCCTAAGCGATCGATGAATGACGTGTGGGTTGCGAACGATTTTAATGAACTGAAGAATGTTAAGTGTGGCTGCGCATTGTTACTAGTTAGAAGCCCATAACTTTTTAGAGCTTGTGAATTGATGGAAGGAAAGAGAACGGCAGTGGACTTGAGATTGACGCCAGGCTCATCGCGCAACCGAGGAAATTATGATCACGGCTCAACTCCCAGTAACGGTCGGACATGGGGTATTCCGCGCATCACGCAATAATGACGTTGTGTAGCTCGGAGGAATATCGTCGTGGAAGCCAAACGAGTATAAAGAAAGCGTTGGCATAGTCGCCTTGCAACGTCCTGTTTTGTAAAAATCGTCATAGATGTGCGATGGCCAGAAAAAAAGATCTTCAGTAAAAGTATGTCACAGTTGTGTGCCAAAATTGCAACGTGTTTTGTAAATCGTATGTAGAGGGTCAGCGAAACCACTTTCACTTCCGGTGCTAGCCTGTATTGGCATCCGCGAACACCAGAACACACTGCTCTGATTGACTCGAACGCATCAATACGTTTACCGGTTCTTGATTGACCACGAGGGGAGTTCCTCATATTGGTGGCAAATGATATCCTGTGTATCCGCTTCCCTGAGCGCGTGTCAGCAATGGGATGTGCCCCGAAATCATGTGGTATGACCCATTCGTGGTCGAAGAATGACCTTTTAGTTGCAGACCGCAGACCGTTTTAATAAACGGAAGAATGTTCTCGCCGGAGATCCTGCGTTTCCGTGGTGCAGCTGCGGCTGCGCGGTGCTAGAATTAGAGCTTATGAGTTGATCGAGGGAGAAATCGGCAGTGGGATTAAGTTTGATGCCAGACTCGTTGCGCACTAAGGAGATTCTGATCAAGGCTCGACATTCAATTTGGAGCGTGAATCAGATGATCAGGCAAGCGTCTGTGTAAGGCACTGAGCGATATTTTAGGTGCGACACAGATGGCATACCTCTGTCAAGGTCTGATGCGAAACCTGTTGTTCTAAATCAGTAAAAGATGTATGAAACGTTGTAGGACCAACAAACCTCGAGGCACTGTCGTGCACGTTGTAGAGGTCGGCACTGGCTGGTCGATTATTTTAGTAATTTTGCGCCACCTAGAAGATATTCTCAGCGTTTTGTTGGTCTTGCCACAGCTGCAGTTGTATTGCGCGCCGCATTGGCGGTATCTCTTCGTCTCCCCTCATTGCCTTCTTCCCCGCTTTTTCTTTCTTTTGTTGATACCCACAAATTTTCGATATCCAACAGGCTTTTTTTTTTGTTGCCAGGCTGCGCCGGTGATAGCTCAGGAAATCTATTAGGAAACCTCTGGCTTTTCCATCACAACACCCTCTAGTGGGTAGACTTCAAAGTCTATCCACGTCCTCGCTTCACGATTCAAGATCAACCCCCTTTTCCTCAACTTATCATGTCTTATGTCGATCAACCAAACTCCCCTGGCGCTGCTATGGGGAGGAGGCTCACGAACAGGAACACCAACCGCTATAGCGTGACCGCCCTTTTCAGCATGGCAGCAGAGCAGGATGTGGAAGTGGAGGATGATCTTGCTAGAGGTGCGTCGCAGCCATCGTATCTTACAAGTTCGTATTTCGAACGGCTCGCAAACAGCACAAAAACGCCTTCGTGACCTCAAAGGCAAGATATCCGCCCAGTCCAAGAAAAACTTTGTGCTCGAACGTGATGTCCGTTACCTCGACTCTCGCATCGCTCTCCTTATTCAGAATCGTATGGCCGCTGATGAGGTCCGTTCTCTCGTGCTATGTTGGATTGTACATTTCGGCTCACCTACATGGATTAGCAACGTGAAGTGGAACGGACGCTGGAGGAAGTGGATCCAACCGAAGGCCATTACCCCGACGATCGAAAATTGCAACAGTACTCCAACCTTTTCTTCCTTCTCCAGTCCGAACCCCGTCACATCGCTGCACTATGCCGACTTGTCAGCTTGTCAGAGATCGACACTCTCTTGCAGACGGTGATGTTCACTCTGTATGGAAACCAATACGAGAGTCGCGAAGAGCATCTTCTTTTAACGATGTTCCAGTCAGTGTTGTCCGCGCAGTTTGAAACAGCAACCGAATTTGGGTCGCTACTGCGTGCTAACACTCCCGTGTCGCGGATGATGACTACTTATACCCGACGAGGTCCTGGGCAAAGTTACCTCAAGGGGGTGCTGGCAGAACGCATCAATAGCTTGATTGAACACAAAGACTTGAACCTTGAGATCAATCCTGTCAAGGTGAGCCATGGCGGGTGCCGAGAGGTATGCCAACATCCCTGACGAGTACACAGGTGTACGAGCAAATGATAAATCAAATAGAAGAAGAAACAGGTACACTACCACCTAACCTACCTCGTGGAGTTCCGCCAGAGGTCGCCGCCGAGAATGCCGATGTTCAGGCTATCATTGCACCACGGCTTACAATGCTAATGGAAATCGCGAATAGCTTCCTCGTAACCATAATAGAAAGTATGGAAAGTGTGCCTTATGGTATTCGATGGATCTGCAAACAGATCCGAAGTTTGACCCGGGTCCGTTCGCTTGCATCCTCCCCTTCATTTAATGCTAATTCTCCGGTGTGTCACAGCGAAAGTACCCCGAGGCAACCGATTACGCTATTTGCTCATTGATAGGAGGCTTCTTCTTCCTACGATTCATCAACCCTGCTATTGTCACTCCCCAAGCATATATGCTCGTCGAAGGCGTCCCGGCTAAACACCCTCGCCGGACACTGACGCTGGTATGTAACCATTTTAGGGCTTCCGTTTTTCATCGTCGTAATTTCCATTATTAGATTGCGAAGATGCTGCAAAACCTTGCAAACAAGCCCTCGTATGCGAAGGAGATCTACATGATCACGCTGAACCCCTTTGTAGAAAACAATAAAGCGCGAATCAACCAATTCCTCAATAACCTCTGCGAAGTCGGGGATTTCTATGACACTCTTGAAGTACGTTCGAACATGCCAAATGCGTCGATGCCAGCTAACGTTTTGTCCTAGATGGACCAGTACATGGCTCTATCCAAGAAAGACCTGATGATCCACATTACCATGAACGAGTTATACAACACCCACTCTTTAATCCTACAGCACGTCGAAACTCTCGTAAGTATACCTCAATTATTGTCCTACTGGTTCCTGACGCGGCTGTGCGCCAGTCCCCAAACGACAAGCAACATTTACGTATATTGACTGATGAACTCGGACCCGCTCCATCACAAGTTCCACGCAAGGAGAACCGTGCCATCGAGCTGAATCTGTACAGCCGCTGGGAAACGCCTGTACAGGATATCCAGAGTGCTCTGATGGATTCGGTGTCAACGAGCGACATGCTGTACATGGAAACCAAGTCTATTCTTGTACAGCTCATCCGTTCCATACCGCACGCCGCCGAAAAGCGGCCGTACAACCTGGCTGCAATTGCTGAACGGGCGGCTACGACGAAGGATGCAATGCTCGTACGCAAAGGCATTAAAGTCAAGGAAATGCTTCGTGAATTGGAGGAGCAAAAGATCATCGAGGCGACGGATGGCTATAAGCTCATGCAGGATGAGGTTGCTGCTGAGCTCGCTCACCTTGGCAATTTGCGGGAGAAGGTGGTATTAGAAACGAAGTCGTTGGAAGCGGTCTACAAAACAATCTGCGACCATAACGCTTACTTGCGCTCTCAACTTGAGCAATACAAGGCATACCTCCAGAACGTTCGTCTGACCGCGTCGAAGGACAAGGGCAGCACGACTGGAGTGGGTGTCGTGACGGTTGGAGGCAAAGAGAGGAAACCGTCGAAATCTGCGGTTCTTGGCCCTTATCGCTTTACGCATGCACAACTCGAGAAGGAGGGGATCATCGTGGAAAGCAATGTTCCGGATAACCGGTACGTTGTTCCTCGGTCGCTTGATATGGCGTTCTGAGGTGCTTTTAGTCGACCTAACATCTACTTCAATATCACATCACCCACGCCGGGGACATTCATCATTTCATTGCACTACAAGGGTCGGGAGAAAGCCATTCTTGAAATGGATCTCAAGATTGACGACCTATTGGAGAAGGTTAGTTCCTCCTTCCAGATACACCATACCGATGCTCACATTGTCAACAGCAAAAAGACAACAAACACTTGCTGGATTTAGAGTACGTTCAGTTGAACGTACCGAAAGTCCTAGCGCTACTGAAAAAGGTGTTTGCCAAGCGGTGACATGATGGTTCGATTCTACCTATCTTTAAAACATTCATCTTTATATGTTCTATCCATTCCTGTGATACCACCTGTGACGCTCATTACAGTACCCCCCCTAGTTTCTCTTTTACTCTCGTCTATATGGCTTCTTCGTGTCACCACTCCGTGACTCTTTCAATTTCTTTCGGATGTATCACTTCGTGTAGTTATGTGTATGTCTGAACCACTGTTGTTCTATTCTGTAGACTTTGGTTTCGAAGGCTAAACATGTGACGTCAAAACAATTGTGCGTGAGGTTTATAACGGTATGGATAATCGATTCTAGGAGAATCAAAGATCAGGTTATCGTACCCGAGACCTCGTTCTTGGTTCTACTACATCGGCGTATGAATAACAGCAACCTGTACTTGAGCGGTGAAACATCTTGCGGAGTACTGTAACTATAGTCCGGACTCAACATAAGGACTTGGCCACCAATACTGCTATGAGAAGACTAGAAGCTTCTAAGTCAGTGCTACTAAAGAGAAAAAAGACGCAACCCACCTGGGGCCACTGCTTTCAAATGAGCTATGACCGTGACGCCACCATGAAGGGTCCTTGAGAGAGGCATCTCCAGCAGCATACTCGCTAAATCTTCCCAATTGCATATGTCATAAACTGCCCCGATTTTGAATGGGTCAAACTCGGCCTTCTCATTGTCCGATGGCATCTCCAGCCTTAATCCGACGACGGGACGACCCAAAGCAAGAGAGCAGCTGTTGATGATCAACTCGAAGTTGTCGAGCGCGCTACAGCAAACACATATGGAACTGCCTGGTAGAGAAATTAAGATCCGTTTGTCGCGTCTAGACTCTAGCTGCGAAATAGGAATGGGTCCTGGGTCTGCCTGCCATGATGGTCGGGGAGAGACGTTGGCAAGTAGGCAGCAGGCGTTTCATATTCCGAGTCCCGATAGTCTAAGTGTTGTCGGCATGCCGCCGGGCCTGATCCAGCCTTTCTCATCATTTCGTTATTCCTTTCTTCGGCCCTCCTTCCCACTTTTTTGGACTTTGAGTGCCCGAATGTCACTGTCGTAGACTCATCGGTACCTTGAAGAGCGCATAATGATTTGGTTTGCGACGGTTATTCTATTCCTTAGCTTTGACCCGCAGTTCAAAAATGCTCTCGCGGCTACCTTGAATCTTCCAAGTACATCCTTGCAGGGTGGTCCTGGACCTGCTATGCTTGCTGGACAGGCGTCAAATTCAACTGCACTCAACGCCTTTGGAATCTCACCGGTATCCCTCGCCAGCGATGGGTGAGTTTGCATCCCAAATATTCCTATGTTTTACTGGACCATGGCGCTAGGACATACTACGTTGTTCTCCAGGTTGGCCAAATCAGCTTCCGTGCTGCGCTCGACACAGGTATGAAACGTGCTTCTTTGACAAATTCCATGTAAAATCGTGTTACAGGTTCTGCAGATTTCTGGCTTACTTCGACGGAGTGCACTACCAGCACATGCACGTCTGTGCCAAGATACCCTCTCACTTATGCTAGTCCCACTTTTGTGTCCATCAACAATAATAAGACCACTTTCAACGTTGACTACGCTGATGGGACCGGTATGCGATGATCCGCTCATCCCACTCCGATGCTGATGGTAGCAAGGTGCATCTGGGTTCGTTGCTAGAGAGACTGCAGAGGTTGCAAATGTGACGGTCGCAGATCAGGCATTCGGTAAGCCTCGTCTTCAGTCTCGAAACATTCTACGTTTACATCTCTACAGGCGTTGTGACAAATTCTAATATTACGCTGGTCGACGAGGTCAGCGGTATCCTCGGCTTAGGGTTTCCAAGACAGTCAGAGATATCTACGAGCGCTACGAACGGTATGTTATCCGATGCGCAGCGTTGTGGGCGCAGCCTCACAGATTTGGTTCTCCTTGTGCATGTTCTAGCCACGCCGTTTTTTTCGACCTTGGCTCAGCAAGGCATACTGGACTATCCACTTTTTGGACTAAGTCTTACGAGAAACGCTACTGGAACGCTTACCCTCGGTTAGTCTCCGCCGGGTGCCTGACTTACATACGATGCTCATGTCCTTGTGTTGAACAGGGGCTATTGATGTATCTGTCGCGCAAAACCTCAGCCAGGTCGTATGGAATGAGGTCGTGCCGTTCTCTCCGGTTGGTACGCAAACCAATACATCTGGTTACTTCTACTGGGCGATCCCTCTGAGCAGTTTCAGCGGTAAGGCATTCGATGTTGCATTCATGATGTGAAATGATATTGACTTCTTGCAAGGTCAATGTGACTCAGTACACTCCCCAACCAACCTACCCTGGCCCAACTGGCAATACGTCGGTTGCTCTTTTGGATGTGTAAGTGATCGATGACATATCTACATGTGTACTTAGGTCTCTGCCACAGCGGCACTCCAGGACTGTATGGCCCATATCAAGATGTCAGCTCCCGAGTTTCTTGTCAAATGGCTCGTTTTCATGTTCTTCTAGGTAATACGACTGTACAGTTCGTTTCCCAGTAGCCGCCTAGTTGACGACAGTAAGTTATAACATTATCGTGATTCTGCTCGAGTTGACAAAGTGGCGGCAAAGGCGGTCAATGGGTCATCCCTTGCGATTCTTCAGCAACCATGTCCTTCAGCTTTGGGTGACTAGCGGTTGATTAAATAAGTCATGTACGCCGCTAAAACCTATCTTCCAGGGAAGGAAATTCGTTTGTTTTGGAACCTACCGATTACATCATTGGCCCAGCTGAGGGGAACCCGGACCTCTGTCTATCTTGGCCTAAAGCTTCACCTCCCAGTGCCGATGGAGTCGACTGGTTATTAGGTACGATAATCTACGGTATAATTCCTGTTGCTCAATATTACTGACTGGTTTACTTGTCCAGGAACCCCATTTTTGCGGACTGTCTACTCAATATGGAGGTATGTTTAACTCCTTGATATCTTTTCAGACAAATTTCATCAGCTGTTTATGCAGTTACGGCATCGACTACCAGGAACCCCCGATGATTGGTCTATATCCCCGCAACAATGCCTCAGCACCTGTACAACCTTATGCGGTCGTCCAATCCTCCCTTTCGTCCGAGTCTGCGACAGTTGCTACCACCCTACCTAACTATCCCCTCTCTACACCCTCCTACACGACGCCTTCATACGCATTTAATACTTCAGTCCCAGCAGTCTATGGCGAGATCGTACAATCAGAGCTCGCGACGAGCACATACAGTCCCCTCATAGGAACACTAGCCGTTAACGCCACCGCCCTCCCTCAGGTATCTGGTGCATACACCTTACTTGTTACGAATTCGAACGGTGCAGTGGTGACGTCGACATATCACGTCTCACAACCGTCAGTTGCACTGGGCGTACCCCCTGGGTGGAGTAGTGCTGCTGCCTCTCTGAGCGTTCCTGGGGCGGGGCTGGCTATTTCGATGGTGATCGCTCTTGTCGCTGGCACATGGATTCTATAAGGATTTTTGCATATATCATTTGTTTTGCAACGTCGCTTTGTACTCTGGTGTTACACCGTGGACGCCGATTTCTTGCCGCGCACAGACTATGTACTGTTCTGACTATTCATTACATCCCTTTCTTGGACATTACAGACTCTTCATAGCGTAGTACTTCTTTGTCTCATCTTGAACTTTGTCTGTTGTAGATAGCAAAATCTAATCCTTGTCACAACAGATATTGATACGATCGGGTATATTAGTGTGGCAGTCTAAGTCTTGGTGCTCATGAATCTCTGCCTACCCAGAGAGAATCTCCCCTGGGAGTACTGCACACAGAACAGGCGAGGTGTCGTGGCTCGTTGGCTCTGTATGACGATATCAAATGAATTCCATCGATCTGAAACTCATCACGGAAGGAAACGCACAATGTACATACAAGGCAGTTCCAACCACCCGGCTTATCTTCTGTCTTATCAGGTCTTGGAGCACTGGAAGTCTGTAATTTCTTAGTTACGGATACCTCGTCATCATCCACACGCCGATGCTTGCCGGGTCGGGTCGATGAACCGGGCTCTGCATTGGTAAACTGAGCAGCTCCGGGGATTTTGATTTTGTGAATGTTGTATGAATCCCCGGTAGTTCCTCCGGGGAGTTTGAAGTCCTCTGAAAAATCATATTTTTCTGCCTTCATTTCGTCGAGTTCTTGTCCTCCGACAGATTCAAGCATGGTTCTTCGACGGTCTTGGTCTGTTTCCAGTGATCCATAATAAGACTCGCTTTCTGAATCTGTTGTAGGTTCAATCTTCAGGCGCGAAGAGGATGCTGACGCTGAAGAGGCAAATGCGGCTGAAACGGAATACAAATATAATTCATCTGATGGAGTTGAACGGGAGGAAAATGACAAACCTTTGAGGGTCTGCATACGTCCCTCAGCAGCAAGTGCACGTTTTTCCCGTGCACGTTTACTAACCAACCATGAGTTCTCAACTTCTCAGCCATTGGAAACGTGAAACACTCACCTTCCGGCTTTCTTCCTAAATCCCGTGCCCGCTTCTTTCTTCTCGCCGATTGCACCCTCGTTCAGTGCCTTTCCCCCTGAGCCGAATGCATTAGCATTGGTGATCCTGGATCCGGCCTTACGTTTCTTTTCGGATTGGACACCAGTGTGCACAGAGGGCCCGTTAAATTTTGTAGTCCTTTTACGTCGTTGGTAAGAAGCAGGTCGGGCGCGTGAATGAGCTCCGCCACACTATTCACACTATCTAAGAGGCATAGATGAGAAAATGGAGGATGACTGACCATGTATTCAGGAAGGTCGCCCATTCCGATGCCTTTGCCAGCTATTGTCGCGGAATCTGCCAATCTGGTCCCGGAGGACCAATAGCCTGTAGACATGTGAGGCATATGGAAGAAAGGCTGCGTTGTGGTGCGTACCGTCGCCGTAATAGCCTTTGTTTTGCAGGGCACGGACGTCATTGCGCAGCTGTCGCCACAGGGCTTGGAAAGCAGGCCCATGATTCATGTGCTATGTCGCGTGTCAGGGTATCGAATAGTTGCAAATGGGATATGGCTGACCTTTATGTGGGCGAGCTAACGCGAGAAACGCGTCTAGTGTCAATGAGTCTGTCATACAAGTCGCGAAGGGATACTCACTTCATGGCACAATGTGCTCATGAGCCAGTGAATGGGCACAAATGAGCCGCTAGCAGACTTCAAAACCAGTTCTGTATCAATACCATCAGTAGAACTCTTGAGGACGTTCCGAACGTGGCTAGTGCGCGTACCAATGGTCTCTCCATTGCTCCAATTCCGCCCGGCAAACACTCGGTTGTACTCGTACTAGACAGTCTTGACGTAGTATTCCCAGCCTAGTGACACTAGAAGCACTCGGATACGCACCTCCTCGAGACTGTTCACGGTGAAACCGTGCTCCTTCATGACGGGTCTCACCTGCGCGGCCAGCGCCCGCATAAGCTGCCGAGCGTCGTCCTCGAGAGTGGCATCGACCATAGGCAGAACTGAGACAAAGTTGATGTGCGGATTCGGGTTAGCTTCGCGCTCGTTGATGCGGACGTGGACCATGATGCGTGCCCAAGTACTTGCCAATATTGTAGTGGATGAATATCAGGAGGCGTTTTACTTATAAGGTACATAGCACAAATAAATAGTTTGTCGCAGTTTGGATCATGACCACCACGACGTTACCCAAGAGATCACATTCTCTATTACCCCGCCGACTTCCGACTCGATTATGCTCTGCTGGTCTTCCTTTCGAAGCTCTTCTTGTAGCTCCACACGAACGTACGCAAGTCTGTTCAGTTCACGGATGCTGTTCAGTCGCTCCATTTCCTGAGTTCTGGCGTTGTCCTCTTCTAGGCGACGCAACCGCTGCTCCTTCTGTTCCTGTTCGACGGCCAATTTTTCCCTTTCTTTTCTCTCCATCTCTAGCTGTTCTTGCAGAGCGTCTACAACACGTCCTTGCTCCTGGTGCCTCTCCTCTATCGCACTGATCCGAGCCTCTAGCCTCTCCTTGGCGGCTTTGAACTCTGCCTCAAGCCGCTCCTTGTTGCCTTGTAACTTCAATATCTGCTCGTGCTTACTCTGAATCTCATCCTTAAGTTCCTCCTTCGTTTCTTGGTCCTTGTCTCGGATCGCCGCCTCCATATCTCTGCGCAACTGAGCCACTACTTCTTCGTGATACTCTCTCTGCTCATTCAGAACTCGTGTCAGCTCAAATCCTGCAGAGGTCTGTACGATATTCTTCTGCTCGTTGACCAGCTCCTTTTGAATGAGCAGCGTGGCAGGTTGGTTATGAATCAGGTATCGTAGAATGCGGTGCGTCGATTCTCGCGTGCCCTCATGTCTCAACATCCGCGCACCCTTGTTCAGGACAGCTTTGAAGAAATTAGTCTCTAACTCCTTCTCCCTCATCTCCCCGATGTCAGGAGCGACTTCACTCCACATGTTCGTTACTATCAACACGTTTCGCAGCGTGGACTCCCCACAGAGCTCTCGGAACATCTTGAAATTTCGTTTATTTGTTCCTCCCATCCGGAAATCTGATATGCGGTGCATGTATACGATGCCAGCAAGTTTGGCACCATGTTCATATCTGTATCGTTTAGATCAGACCAGGAAAATGCATGATAACGGATGACAGACGTCTGTGAGAGGTATGCTCCTATCATTGCTAAGATGTCCGTATCACTACGGCTGGTATCATCGAAGCCGGGAGTGTCGATCAACGTGACTTGCCGGCCGTTGAGCTCAAAAGGTTTCGTTGCTTGCACCTCACTGGTGCAACTTTCGAGACCCTTTCCGACTGCAAAGTCAGACCCGCTGGCTTCATTAATGACTGAGAGCGGTCGTCATTAGCGGTTTCCTTTGATAATTTTTCGCTTTCGCTGACGCACATGTCGTCTTGCCGCTTCCAGAGGGCCCCATGATGCTGCAAATATAAGGTCAAGAAGAGATCCGAGGGATATAGTCGGTGCATACGCTATTCTGATGCTCAGTGCCTTAGTCATGATTAATGTATGGAGGTAAGACAGAGGAGGGCTATTGCGCATCCAAGACAACCACCTTGTCTGGCTTATGAACCTTCTGAAACATCGTCCTCACCGAATCCATGCTGCAGTCGAGACACCGCCGGATCAATATGGCACGTGCTATAGAAGCGTGATGAGGGGGAAAAGGCCGAGCTTCGATGGGCTTTCTCTCTAACATTGAGATGTTGAAGACCATGTCATGAGCTCGAGTATGTAGCTGTTGCTCGAAATTATGTTTGCATTCGGTCAACATTCGGTGCTGCAGTTCTGTACTCAACTGCTTCGAGTCCCACGTAGTACAGTTATTGTGATTCCAACATGTACCATCAGGTGCTGCTCTCACTGTCACGTTCATTCATATAGGTCAATGTACAGCGGGTTTAAAACCTGTCTCGAAGATGCTTGAAGTAAGACCTTTGTCTTATATCTGTGTGGGTATTTATACTTGTGTGCCAATTGACTTGCTGTCGCAGGCGGCGCCAACCTGCGAGGGTCTATTACCACAGCCGTCCAACGATGTCATCCTTGTGAATCAGGCCTCAGGTTCAGATCTTGATTCTCCAGGTCGTGTGAGTTATTATGGTGCAAAAGACGAAATGTTGCTGCTGTCCTTGGGTCCGTTGATGTCGCAGGGAACCACCCGTGGCGAAGCAGTTGTTTGACATGCGTTTGGGGTGTTTCGCAACCGCAGAAGTCTACATCTATTCCATTCGTGTCTATCAGCACAAAGCCATCATTGAAAGCCTGCTGTGGGAGGATGCATCGTTGACCGATAGGATGCCCAAGTTGAACGCGAAGGCCTAATGTCTTCAAGGGGGTAACCTCCAAGAGCATGCCGTTCCACTTCTGCACGCGAATTAATATATTTGCATTTTTGTCTATAATATCACAGACCTGGATGCGATGGGTGGGAGACCGGACATGATTTGCTAGTGTGCATGTAGCGCAGTACAGCTGCATGTCATCAAAATCCTGACATCTGAATTGTCCAGGATCAGTGCAACAGCCGCCTGGACTGCACTACACCAAACCTCCTATGGTCCAAACCATGTGTAATACGATATATTGACTTCAAATATACTATACCTGACAGCTTCAGGTGACTGTAAGTCATCATACCTGTCTATGTACTAAAAACTCGAAAATTAGTGTGCAACTGTAAGATTGAGCATTGTACATTGATGCAAGAAAGCTAGAATCACTGCATATACATATGTACACCATTACACACTTGACCTATTATACTTGAAGACTGTCAAGTATAGTATATTTGAAGTCAATATATCATATTACACATAGTTTGGACCATAGGCTAGGTTTGGTGTAGTGCAGTATGACATGTTTTTATGTTTCTCTATATGTTTTCGCAAATTTTCCCACGCAGTTCCTATGTTATATTGCTTCTACAACACTTAGCTCATGGCTCTACATCCTGCGCTTGTAGTTCTAGTATTTCAGCAGTGTCTCTTGTTGAAGTCCGGATCGAAGTCCGAGCAGGAGATGTCAGAGTGAGACATTACGAGTGCTAGCCAACTGCGCAACCTACAACGAAGTGACGTCGGTCCGAGAATCTAATAAGTGACTGTCTATTTCCTATGTTACACTTTATTACTTATCACTATGCTAACCACCTTAAAACTACGAGTTGTCAGGAACATCTCAGTCCCCGCTTTACGTTACAACTAGAGCTAACATACCCATAGATATATTTTCTTATCAGGTACTACTATAGTGGTACTACCCGGTGAGTCCGTTTCCCGAGACTGAGATATATATTTTCTTATCAGCTCCCGTATCTAAGCCTCTCATCGCGAGATCTCTCACATATTACAACTGTCTGATTATAATATATCATGTTTGATCTGTGCAGAAGAGCTTATCAGTGAAAATAGGAGATACACGGTATCTAATATCTAATATATGTAAGGACGAAACGTTTGATCCCGCGGAACCAATTCGCGTGACTCTCCTGTCTGTGCTCCACATGAGCTCCACACGCTGTCCGATTTGCTTGAGCACTCGCTATCGTTGTGCGCTCGGCAGTCTCCTATTTGCGTGGGCGGTTCGCTCATCTGCGTGTCTCTACTCCTCCTTTTGCAATTGCACGTCACCGAGCTCCACATGCGATCGCACGTTTCTCTCCTAACTGTATTCCTCTGCTTTTACCACCATGGCGTCTGCATGCTCATTTCACAGCGTCGTTGGTATTCAAAATGCTACTCGTTATGCTTTGGAGTAGCATTTTGAATCGCAGAGTTGTCGAAGTTCAGATTCCTCATACCGGAGAGATACATTGCTTGCCTCGGATCACGTTCACCTTCAATCCAGCACGTTCAAGCTGGACTGTAATTCGCAAACAGTTTCCTCTGCGACCTGCTTATGCGATGACATTCAACGGATGTCAAGGGCTAACGCTAGAGAAAGCTGTGCTTGACTTGCGCACAGATTCGTAAACGTTGTATACAGACATCTCTTATTGTGATTGACGATGGAAAACGCCCGAAGGTGTAAGGAACGCTTGTATATCATTAATCTGCAGTATCTACGACTGATCCTGGCTGGGAAAAGGCATAATAGGCATGCTACTACAGATAGATAACTGTTCTGGATAATTTAAAAGGATATAAGTATCACAAAATGCGAAAATCATCTGTGGTGTACCAGGGGGAGACATTAGCCTGTATAGAAGGTTACTGTCAGTCTAGTGGTGCGGCTAACTGATTTATATACTCTAGATATACATAGTAATAAGCCCCCTACATTTCCTGAGGGCCAAAGTCCCAGAGAAAAAATTCCCAGGGGGGTGTATCAGCTGGAGGAGGTAGTGATACTAAACAGCAGGGACTGGTCCTACTGCTTAGCACTTCTGATATGTTATATATACTATATATTAGATGCTAGGTACCATATCTACTTGATGATATACCAATTTCCGAAAAAATGCGAACCAATTTAAGTTGCTAGGGGGGTAAACTATAGATCTTGATATAGAGCACTACAGAGGGTGAAACAAGCGGCAAAATGGCAATGAATATATGTTAGATGTGCTTAGGAATCATCCCCTTACCATCCTACAGCGCTATACCTGCAGGAAAAGTATTCCCAGGGATTGAACCAGCAGGAGGAGGGGGTTTTACTACACAACACAGCCGCAGAGAATATCGGTGGAATGTGATGTATCAATCGTTGAAGCAGCACTCCAATGGTACTAATGTATGACAAACCGCTGATGTATCAGTCCACATTTTCCATCTTAGCGCATTCATGTATCGCCATCTTGTGACAGCTACCGTATCATTAATGTATCATTCTCACAACATGGACTCCCGTGGTGGGGGAGTCAGTCACAAGTCAACTCGCAATGCAATACAGGTATTTTGCAATGACCGTGATATTCTAGATTGTGTTGCTCCGATAGTAGTAATGCAGCCTCCGAGGAAGACGAAGAAGTGTCCGAGGAAGATGAAGAAGGTGAACTCCCGTTCGAGGAAAACGAAGAAGGTGGACCGTCCGAGTCTGCCATTGATGAAGGAGTTGAATCAGAGATGGACGAGTATGGTTATGGTGCACTAGATCAGGAAGAGGACAACACTGACAACGAAGCTGATGATCGAGATGATGGCAGCGACGACGAAGACGACGAAGTTGATGATGACCTGGGACCTGAGGATGGAGAAGACGAGAACGACGAGGAGCTCGAGGGGTATGGAGAACTTTGATTCATTTGTATTCATGCAGCGACTCTGAGAAAAATAGTCAACAGTCAAGCAATAATTCCTTGCATACATACGAGTAGTTCACATGACTGGTGTAATACACACGTGCGTCCTGCCAGGCCATACCAGATAGCTATAAGGCTGTCGACATCCGTACAAGTGAGCACAATGCTGGTGTATAATGATAAGACTCGCGCCAGTCTGGTGTTCCATTGCAAGTCTACCGCCATGTCATACCTGACCAATATTAGTCGTACGTGATCATGTAAGTATTGCAAGCTCTCACCTGACCATACACGTTTTAGTTTTATTGATGCTTCGCAAGGCGATAAGCATATTACTGCACGCCAAATTGCCAATAGCCTTGCTTCACAAGGTAACGAAGTTATGGTCGGACCGTCTGTATGAGCAAAGTTCTCAAAATATTGGGTGGCGATCTGCTGGCATTGTAGATATAATATGTTCGAAAGGGGTTTTCGGGTATAGATCCTTCCTATATCTCCATGAAGAACAACATTCAGCACATAAAAGCAAGCCGTCTTCCTACTGTCTCGTTCAGATTCATTCGATCCCATATCACACACTCACAGACAATGCGTTTCTCCGTTATCCTCGCCGTTGCTGCTGCTTTGACAGCACAAATATCTGCCAGTGACGCTGACAGCGAGGGCTGTCCTATCGTTTGCTGGCATACTCGTGATTGCAGCACCCACTGCACTTTTTACCCGCAGTACACATGCGTGAGTATGAGTAGTTTGCGTCCTGGATTTAACCACACGACTCACCGGCTTGGTAGTTCCTCTTTTTTTGCGTCGGCTACTAAGTGTGGCAGTGAGTCGTGTTTCTGCTTTCACATCGGTGCGGTTGTTGATGGCAAGACGCGTGAATTACTAGTAGTTTGTTGCGGAGTTGATAAACATGCTTCCTTCTGAACGAATTTGACTTCCGCTCGAGTAAAGAAGATCTTGGAATAGAGGAAATCTCAAGTACTTGAATGCTTAGGATATGACCAAAGTACTTACGACACAGTTTTGTAGTCTCGTTATCAGCACCCTATTGAATAGTGGTATATATAGAAAATCGTCGTTGTCAATTTGCGAAAGCTCAAGATCCAGAAATGGCACTTGTGGGAGTAGTATGTCATGAAAGTCGATGCGAGTTACAAGGGAGGATTCGGATCCGCTAACTTCGATGTCCTGGGAACTCAAGAGCGTCCAGACGCGAAAGAAGTGCATACATATAGCAGACTTATAGTGTATGTCTGAGACGGAATGAAGAGAGAAAATGACCGCTCAACACTGACGAGGCAGGCGTTAAGAACGTTGAAGAATGTGAGTATGAGTAGTTTGCTTTGCATCCTGGATTCGTTTCTCAAATACTCACCACTTGTGCCCTGTAATACAAATAGCCCCGGGCTGGTACAAAGTTCTGCAATACTTCTAGTCCTTCGGAAGAGACGGGGTGGCGTACGATAGTCCAGAAAGAGTTGTGGCTAGTTATTTCCGAAACGGGTAGATAGGCCCCTATAGTGGGAGCGCCACTACTGAAGTTATCATTCATTAACTGGAGTTGCCGCAATGCTCTCTTGACGTCAATGATGGAGATGCGGGTGAGACGTATCATTCAACAATAAATGTATCTAATGGGCTCCCGAACGAGACTTGGAGCTGTAAGAGCAAAAGATGGCAGCAAAGGATTGCGTCAAATTCCCTTTCCGGGAGCTTGATGGGAGTCCCCTTCTCTTGCGCCTTATATATTGGATGACGCAACTTCAATCGAGTTTAATTTTTCCTTTACACAAATCTAATTGGCCGATACTTTAGACTTCTCCACGTGCGGGCCTACCCAGGGTCTATCCCATTGCCATTGTGGCACGCGCTCCGGGCGCTCTCGGCAGGACGCACATACTGAGCAATCTCTGTCTGAGCGGAGATTCTTTCCTTTTCTTAGTGCGCGCGGGCAATTAGGAGGTCATCGCCTCTTCTCATTTGCCTGTCGTCGCACTAGGTATGTAGACGGACGATTTTCCTATTTACCTCTTCTCACTTGCCTGTCGTCACTCTACCTGTTTCTTTTCGTCACCCTCCCTTAGTGTTTTCCCTGCCCTTGACTTATTTCACGCAGCTTATTTCACGCGCGTTCGCGCATCCTAGGCCTCGATTTATCTCTATCTACGTGACGGTCTTCACTGCTTTGTCCTTAGCTAGTTCGTCTATTCATCGGATTTCCCCGGACTCGCGTCCGGGAAAATCCTCTTGCTGGCTAATCCTCGTAGCCTGCGCTTCCGCGAGGCAAAGTGAGACCAATTAGCCACGACTACAACCACTACTCATAGAAACAGGAGACTCGAACAAACACTTACATCCCTAACAAGCATTGTTGGTAACGGTCGCAGATCAGGCATTCGGTAAGCCTCGTCTTCAGTCTCGGAACCTTCTACGTTTACATCTCTGCAGGCGTTGTGACAAATTCTAATATTACGCTGGTCGACGAGGTCAGCGGTATCCTCGGCTTAGGGTTTCAGAGACAGTCAGAGATATCTGCGAGCGCCACGAACGGTATGTTATTCGGTGCGCAGCCTCACAGATTTAGTCCTCCCTGTGCATGTTCTAGCCACGTCGTTTTGTTCGACCTTGGCTCAGCAAGGCATACTGGAATATCCACTTTTTGGGCTAAGTCTTACGAGAAACGCTACTGGAACGCTTACCCTTGGGCAGTCTCCACCGGGTGCCTGACTTACATACGATACTCATGTCGTTGTGTTGAACAGGGGCTATTGATGTATCTGTCGCGCAAAACCTCAGCCAGGTCGTGCCGTTCTCTCCGGTTTGTACGCAAACCAATACATCTGGCTACTTCTACTGGGCGATCCCTCTGAGCAGTTTCGCGGTAAGGCATTTGAACTCGCATTCATGATGTGGAATGATATTGACCTCTTGCAATGTCAATGTAACTTAGTACACTCCCCAACCAACCTACCCTTGTCCAACTGGCAATACGTTCTATTGGATGTGTAAGTGATCGATGACGTATCTATATGTGTACTTAGGTCTCTGCCACAGCGGCACTCCAGGACTGTATGGCCCATATCAAGATGTCAGCTCCCGAGTTTCTTGTCAAATGACTCGTTTTCATGTTCTTCCAGGTAATACGACTGTACATTTCGTTTCTCAGTAGCCGCATAGTTGACGACAGTAAGTTATAGTATTATCGTTGATACTGCTCGAGTTGACAAAGTGGCGGCAAAGGCGGCCAATGGGTCATCCCTTGCGATTTTGGTGTTACACCGTGTGGACGCCAATTTCTTGCCGCGCACAGACTATGTACTGTTCTGACTATTCGTTACGTCCCTTTCTCGGACATTACAAACTCTTCATAGCGTAGTACTTTGTCTGTGGTAGATAGCAAAATCTAATCCTTGTCACAACAGATTCCCGCTACGTAAGTAGTGGGTTTTTCCGTGCCATGGCCGTTTGGACCTCATTGACCAAATTTTTTGGTGAAAAACGCATTTCACTTCAAAATGGTGATTCGTTCACATGATCATATGACATTCTTTCTAATCCACATGTGTGGTCTGTGCGTATTATGTAGATCTTCCTTATTGTCGCCTACTATGTCTTTTGTCTGTCACAAAGTCCTTGGATCTTTTGCTGATGTTCCTGCTCTTATTCGTGTCAACAGTGCGAGTTCTGATTCCACCGTGTCCTTGCCTTTCCTGCACAATTGCAATGTGCCGCATTCTGTTTTCACACATAATGGGGTGGTTGTGGAGTCTAGTTCTGGTCCGGCACGTGTTCCTACATTGATGGTTGGTATAATTCTTGGCAGACCTTTCGCTCCATTTATCTGAATGGGTGCGACGTTGAACTTGGTCATGATTGGCTTTCATTTGTGAATGCGAGGTTCGATGGCTCTCGCTTTCTTCGACCTTCGGAGATGGATTTAGCGCAGCTTTCTGTTGGTCATACTTGGAATGTTCAGCCTGGAGGTGTGTGTTTTTCTAAATCATGTTGATATAGCTGAATTAATTTTTTAGACGATCTGTTTACTTGTTCATCCGCTATTCAAGCAGAATCATGTTTAGCTACCCAAGCGGGTTCATTGTCTGTTACCCAAGCGGGTTCATCATCTGTCACCCAAGCGGGTGTATCCTCATCAAATGATAATGGTCATGATGTGGATAATTTTTTTGATGGATATGAAAAATTATGAAGACCAGCTCTGAGTGCATTGGCGACCGCTCATGGACTTTCGGTACCTGCAAATTTGTCTATCGAAGAACTTAGAGAGATGATCTCTCATCATGTTGGTACTGGACTTTGTTCTTCTTCTTCACAAGCATTCGAAGGGTGTGGTTCACTGCGTGAACAATTAGGCATCGATTGTAAAGACGAAGGAGAGGTGCTTTCTGGCAGAATCGCATTTTTGACAGTTGTGTTGAATAATATGAAGCAACGTCCTTTAGAACGACTACTAAAAGCAAACGGAGTTGGATTTGAACCTGGATTAAAAACGGGACAACTACGTCACACATTGAAAAACATATCCAGTCCCTATGAAAAGCGAAGTCGAAATCCTCCAATAAAAATCAGACAGAAGCTCAACAGAATGATTGCAAAAATCATCATCAACAACTTTGTCGTGAATGGCCCCAGATTCTGTCGTCGGAATTGAAGCGTCATTTAGTGCAGATGTTTAGAGATGAAACTTCTTCTGAAAATCTGGCCATGTTTATGTGAGCGTCCTGCGCTGAAAGTGTCTTATGTTCGGAACATACATTACTATCTCTGGATGATTTTGATTCATCTCTTTTGTGCAGACCTGACCGACAAAATGATCAGCATATGTCAGATGATTATTTTGACAGAGACTGTCCTCTTCCTCGAATTCTGTTTGCAGATTTGAATAATCCGCTTAGTGATTTACTGCTTGAACTGTCTGGAGTGAAACCATGTAGTGATGGAAAATATCAACTATCTCTCTGCAGTGTATGCCACAAGAAGCTTGTGAAGGGAAAATGACCTGCTCTCAGTCTCGTGAACCGCACTTTTTTAGGAGACGTACCTGATGAATTGAAGGATTTGACGGTTATTGAGGAAGCTATGATTGCTCATTGTTGTGTGAAGTGCTGGATCATTCAGCTCAAGGAAGAAAACCAAAACCTGCAACTTTCAACTAATCAGTGCGGAATGAAAGGCCATATAATTATTTACCCTCAGCGTCCGGAAGGTATTGCTGCTATCTTGCCTCCAGCAGTCAATGACATTATCACTCTGATCTGTGTCATATTTGTTGGTTCAAATCCGCCGTCTCAAGCATGGCTTCAGGAAAAGGCCAAACCTTTAATAGCGCGAAGAGAAAAAGTGCGTGCCGCATTAGTTTGGTTAAAGAAACACAATTGGTTGTACAAGGACATTACCATTGATCACGCTGTATTAGATTCGATGGAAGAGGAGACATTGATGCCCTTTCATGTGGATCATATTCTACCTAATGATGTGCGTGAATCCTTGACCTCGAGATATGATGCAGACGAAGTGGTTCAATTAGAAGACTCACTCAATTGGTGTCACATTCTGTCGAATCTCAATCAATTTTTGAGAGTTTTGTGGTCACTGATGTCGATGGTCATGTGTCTGCGAATGAGTTGCGAGCAGTGGCAGTTCGTCATATAAAGAATAAGGGTGGTGGATATGTCCAAATCCCTCATGACCCTGAACATGTTAATGATTTTTTTCAGCCAGATCTGTTCCCAATGATCTATCCTACCTTATTTCTGTATGGTTTAGGAGGATTCGAAGATCACTTACGTTCCGAACCTTTGTCTATCAAGAGACATGTCAAACACTTGTTTAACCTGGCTGATCGTCACTTTCAGGAACATTATTCCTTTTTGTTCACTGCATTTAACATTTTACAATGACGGAAAATTCTGCTACATACCTCTTTAAAGGTAAAGTGAGACACCTTCCCGTCCATAGCTACTAACCTTGCCGCTGTATCACCATGGGCTGTGCATTGTGTCACAGAACACGTGGCTCGAGGGGATATAGTTTCTGCGAACAACAAGGATGAGAAAAGTGTTTTGTGCTTGATGAAGGAAGTACAAGTGATAACTTCAAATGTGCCAGGTTCTGCACATGCGAGAGCAAACATGCGAAATGAAATTCGTGGTTTAATGTGTGATTGAGGCTTACTGAGTTTCTATATCATGATCAACCCAGCAGACGTATAAAATCCTCTTGTTAAATTTCTCGCTGGCAATGAAATAGATATTGACAATCTCTTACCAGAACAAGTGCCGAATTTCCATGATCAATCCATTCTCATCACTCGAAATCCTGCTATTGCAGCCAAGTTCTTCAATATCTATATGAAAACATTCATTAAATGCCTTCTGCGATTTGAAGGAAAAGGTGTGGACCTTAATGAGGGAGTACTTGGCGTTGTTAGTGTGTATTATGGGTGTGTTGAGGCTCAAGGCCGAGGAACATTGCATTGCCATATGATGATATGGTTGGAAGGAGGTCTGAACCCTAACAAAATTAAAGACTGCATATTAAAAAACGACGAACAAAATTTTAAAGAACAACTTCTCCGATATCTAGAAGACACCATCACTACTTGCATTCTGGAATATCCAGAGGGAGATTTGTCTATGCATCTAGACAAAGGTCCCCATCCTTGTTCTACCCGAGGAGTCAATTTTCGGAATGTTGAAGATAACACACTGCAGATGATGTGTGAAAAAGACATGCATTTTCTTGCTAAAAATGTCAGACTCACCGACATTCAAAAACATGTTGGAAATACTGGAAAGGCCCACCAGAACTGAAGGAATGTCGTGTTGATCTAGATGAGAAAAATGTGCATCCGATAAGCTTCATGGATCCAGACATGGGCGAGATTACTTTGAAGTGTTTAGATGGTCTCGTGAACCATTTCAACGCGACAATACTGGAAGCTGTGAGATGCAACATGGATATAAAGTTCATTGGGTCTGGACCAGCTGCGAAAGCAATACTGTATTATATCACCGACTACATAACTAAATCTCAATTGAAGACTCACGTTGCATTAGCTGCTATGGAAACTGCAATACACAAACTAGAAGAGTACAATCCAAATGATGAATGCACACTACGAGCTAAGAAAATGCTGCAAAAATGTGTGCATTCAATGATTTCTCATCAGTAACTGTCTGCTCAACAAGTTTGTTCATACCTCATGGATTTTGAGGACCATTTCACAAGTCATGAATACCGTAATCTATATTGGACGAATTTTGAGAACTTTGTAGAAGAATGCAATCTGAGCCCCGAGTGCAACCAGCCATCAGATACCATGAAAGTGACTGACAACAATGAAAACGATACAGAAAAGACAATGGATTCAGCTGACAAGGATTCAGATCTGCAGCAAAAAAATGTCGAAGGATCCCTAGACGACGATGAGATCTATGTTGAACAACTTCAAAATGACAAAATTCGGATCGACAGTGATAACTTTGGGAATCTCGTACCGAAAGCTGCTCAAGTTATGGACTACCTTCACAGAGACAAGAAGTTTAACAACATATGTGTATGGGATTTCGTGGCTCAGGTAGACAAAGTGAAAAACAACAGGAAAAGTAAGAAATTGCAGGCTGATGACATAGACAGTGATGATGATGATGACGACGAAGATGATCTTGAAGAAGCCATGAATAATAATGAATTCAACAAAAACTTGCACATTGAAGAATCACCAATGACACTGGCAGAAACACGTCAACCTCTTCCAAAACAAGATATCCCTCAATCTCATTCAAAAACTCGGCCTTTTGGAGAGCTACAAGCTGGACACTATGAATTGTGAACTCATTTTTTGCAAGTAAGACGGCAGGAAAATCAACGCATACCTGTACCCATGGGACCTCGCATGCCTCATCGAGATCAAGCACCCGTATATCCTAAATATTGTCGCTTGATGCTCATTCTTTTTAAACCTTGGAGATCTGTCTCTGATCTTAAGCGAGGTACTCAGTCATGGACTGAAGCATTTAACATCTTCCAGCGCACATGTTCGAACACCATGACTTCGATCTTGAACAATATGCAGATATTGCATGAATGTAAAGACAGCCGTGACGACCATTTTGCAAACCGTCAACTTCGTCATAAATGAGCAGGGATATCTACCGAAATAATTAGCCACAGTGGTGCTTCTCATGAAGATGACATCTTTGCAGAAAATACAGACGAGGACATACTCACGCACTTAGAATCCATGGACTCCTGTCGTTCTATACGTCAATCCATGATGAACGACAACTTAATTTGTTGCTTACATCACATGGATGCATGCTGGTTTTTCGAAACTCTCTCACATGCTTCATTCCCAGATGATCCTATGCATAATGAAGCAGAGAATATTCAGACTGCAGAAGAGAACATTCAAGATACCTCACAAGAGAACAATTGGTGTGACTGTTATGAAACAAGACAGATGAAATGGAAGAAAAAACAAGTCATTGATGATTCTACTAAATCATGTCCACCTGCCAACAAAAACATGCCATTGATGACAATTGAAACACTTCAATCGAGACCATTTGAATCACATGAGATCCTTGTTCCTGATATTCAAAGCCATACTCACCCGATAGATCCATATCGTGATGTCAAAAGTTCACATGTTGCCAAAGAATGGACCTTAAACGACGATCAGGCCCGAGCATTCAAAATAATAGCAGAACATAGTCGTCTGAACAATTCTGAGCCATTAAGGATGTTTATTGGAGGATCAGCAGGAACAGGGAAGTCAAGAGTCATCAATGCTTTGAAAGATTTCTTCGTTAGATGAAACCAAGCATGACGGTTCAGACTTGCCTCGTATATGGGAGTAGCCACTCGAAATATTTCTGGTATGACTCTACATGCATCTCTTCTGTTAAATCAAAGATGTTCGTCAAATGCAAATACCCAGACAAAACGGGACCTCACTGTGATGTGGGAAGGAATCAATTACTTATTCATAGATGAGGTGTCCATGATTAGCTGCGACTTTCTAACTAAGATTCACAATGCACTAGTAGATGCAAAGGGGAATACTGCACCTTTTGGAGGAATTAACGTCATTTTTGCAGGAGACTTTGCCCAACTTTCTCCTGTAAGCAGAAAACAATTGTACGCTCATCTCAATACTCGACACTGTGGAACAACACAAGGTCAGAAGAATATATTTGGAAAATTGCTTTGGCTCTCTGTAAAAACCGTTGTACTATTAAAAACGGTGATGCATCAATCAGGTACTGAGAACGTACAATTCGTTGAATTTCTTTCATGACTCCGTCAAGGCAAATGTACGCAAGACAATTACTGACTTTTGCAATCCAGAATAATCACCGCTGGCGCTAGTCAGAAAAACAACTGCGAATGGAAAGATGCTCCTATCATTGTGTGTGATAATGAAAGTAAAAACAAACTGAATATCAGAATGACGATGGCATTCGCACAAAGGACTGGACGCACCCTGCATTGGTACTACTGTACGGATAAACATCGAGGCAAGATACTACGTGACAAGGCTCTTGTGAAAAACTACAGTGTTTAAATTCCAGAAAAACAAACATGCACCTTGGTAAGATTCTGTTGGTTATTGAAATGCCAATTCTTGTCTCCCAAAACTTTGACATTGAAGGCGGAATTGTCAATGAGAGTACTTAAAAAAGTTAGATACTCACTCAATGATGAAGGTCAACGAGTCTTGAGATCCTGCATTGTAGAAATCAATCATTCTTCAGATGAAGCGCTCCCAAATTTGTCCCCACACCAAATCCCAATAATCGAAGACTCCATAGAGCTCAAATTCACCCATCCAAACTCCAAGAAGACATGTCGAATCATGCGGACACAAGTACCAGTCCTTCCAGGCTTTGTGATTACCACTCATAAATCGCAAGGACAGACACTTGAAAAAATCATTGTTGATCTCGGTTCTAAATGGTGTCGAGGCGCCGAAAAGCCGTATGTAATGGTTTCGTGTGCAACATCTTTACAGAGTTTATTTGTTCTTCGCCCTTTCAATTACAACATAATATGCTCTCACCCTTCACAGGACGTCTGACAGGAAATGCTTCAATTAGATGTACTAGATCTCAATACCATCTTAAACACACCATACACGAGTGAAGAACAACAACAGCAAGCACGGAAAAAATTTCCTACCTTGTCCATGTCTATCACAGAAGATGAACCATGTGCTCAAGAACACCCAGCCGACACATTAGAAAACCTACAAGAGGCTATCGCATTCATCAAAAACACAGCAGGCACCCAAGCCAGGATAACACAACCATCCTTTCATCGAAAGAAAAGAAAGCACGTTGAAATTGACGAGAGTGAAGCAAGTGCACAGGTACCTCAACCTGCGCACATTCCTCCACAATGTACTAAATGTCGTAGGACGTCCTGATTGCTGACAAACTCAATATTTGTCAGTGACAGCACAAGCATTTGACAATGATGCATTGTAATGTGTGTCATACCCTTGTAATCTTTAACTCTGTTTATTTAAAGGCAGGTTCAGTACACTTGGAACCCCTAACTCCATAACTCAATCCACCACCATGTCATCACCCAATATCGAAGTGAAATGTTTTTCACAACGCGTTGCCGATGGTATATACGACCATGTTGCTGATGCTGTAACAAATCTTGGGAAGGACGGCTTAGGTGAGGCCGATTTTGGCATTGATTGGACCACCACTGTGCAAGACAACTACAGTGGGACCAACTGGTCTTATGTCAACACAAAGGACGGTCATCCATTCAGAACCAACATTGTTGGCCAAATCACTACTTCAGCGTGCGGCACCAAACATTCCACCAAAGGCACACACTTCACAAAAAAGGTATGTCTGACCTTTGCTACTGTATCAACATGATCTGACACTTGAAATGAGAACATGGCACTGAGTGACTCAGACACCGTCAAATGGAAATGGGCGCTTTCCAAACCCACACTCAGCTCGCCAAATCTAACCAACATTTGGGAGAATCAGCTAACATCCATCGAAGACTGGATCACCAAGGAAAAAAAGAGAGCAGTGACAGTCAGTTCTAAACAAAATGCTGCGACAAAAACTAATCAACTCCACAGGGTTCGAAAATAAACACGTGCATTGCCAAAAGCTCGAAAGACCTCCAATACGTGGACCTGATCATGTTGACATTGCAATGCATCTATGAGGTAAGCAATGAAACTACATATTCTACTTTGACAAAAACTTACCGCCTCTCACAGAAGCCAGAAGGCAACAACACTAATCAGGATATCACACCTCGATGAACAAAGCAGAAAAACGCGAACGAAGACAGCATGGCAGGACAGCAAAGCACGATGGCGTCCACGAGCTCCATAGTGAGCTCAAACACGACCTTGGACGTGCCGACACCTACTGCGGATAAAGGTATTCATGATCCTCACGCTCCTGCAGAAAAGCCACTCATTTGAGAATAGTCAGTCCAGGAGCATTATACGACCCAAGAATCCCACCTGACTACCGCAGGATGTATTTTCAGCTGCGACAGAACAAACTGAAGCAGCTGAATATCTATGAAACGGCTGAAAACGGTCTCAAACTCATACCTATGCACGAAACTTACTCGAAATTGAGACCAGGAATGCTCGTACTTGCCGTCTGCGATGCTCATGTATACAATATGGTACAGAACAGCCAGCTGACCAGGGTGCATACAAAACAGCGTCGTACGAAAAAAATACTAACGAACCCTTTCAGACTTTCCAACTCAGGATGCAAGCCATGAAGGTCCTCAATCCTTCAGATGAACCTGTCGAAGAACGCTTGATCCCCATCCTTTCCACAACCTCCGTTGAAATGTCTAAAGACGACTCTGCCATCGCTGGGTTCTCTACATTTGATGTCGCCATCAGCCCCGCCAAAAAAACGAAGCAAAATGGACAAAAGCACAGAGGAGGGAAAGGTAAAGAGAAGTTGGACTGACCATCTCTTCCTTTCATGACTCGAAGAAAACACCCAAAAAAACGACCTCTAGTGATCCACATTGACTTGAACCTTTTCACCATCCGCTTGTATTTGTCGCCTGCATCTTACGGTTGCGAATCGTCTGCATTAATCTTGACTTGTGCTTGCACTGGCCTCTGTCTCGTTGTAACACTTGCCTTCATCTCACGTCTGATCTAGGTTGCGACTCGTTGAGTTTGATCTTAGCTTGTACTTATATTTGAGTTGGGTTTATCTCTTTGTGACTTGTCTGCATTGATCTTGACTGATTGTACTTATATTTATAGCATGTAGCACTCGCCTTCATCTCAGTTTTGCGATCTTGACTTGTACTTATATTTGTAGCACTTAAAGTCTGGGTTGGATTGATCTTGTAGCTGTAGCACTTAGTGATGTGCATGGCCCGGCTTGAGGCCCTGGGCTGACCCAAGCCGGGCCCAAATAAGCTGGGCCCAGCCCAGGCCTAAGTCATGGCCTGAGGAAGGCTTGGGCCTGGGCTTGGGTTTCAAAAAGCCTGAGCTGCGGCTTTGGCATGTTCTCACTGGAGGTACATTTCCCGACTCTATTTTTGTCTTTCTAAGCTTCTGACTCCCATCACCTTTATCAGCTTCGACTCGAATCGCCTTTATCAGCTTCGACCTTCGACTCGAATGGTCCACATGTCACAGTGAGTTGCTATGCTTGTGCTTCGGTTGGTCAACATTACTCACATTGCAGTCAAAAAGCCTGCACTGTCCAACATATCCAGCAATCTATCCTCTTTCAAGGCCTTATTTCTTGTCTGTTGCTACGAAAAAGCCATGGTGAGTCGCCAGCACTATGTCCTGTGCTTTGTGAGCTTGACATAACTCACTCAAACCCAGATCTCAGTTGCGCAAATCAATATTTTTGGTAAATTGCGCACCCAGTACTATCTTTCAATCAATTTATGTTGGTATCAATGGTATGTGTCCCTCTAACATCCCTACCTGCTACCCACCCATGACAAACCCAAATGCCAAGCACCGTGTTGAACGTCCCATACACAAAACAAAACCTACAGCCGCCCTTCTTCAGCATGCCGAGAAGGCAGCACTGCCATCCCAAACCAAGGCGATTAATGAGTTCCACGCTGCGGAGGCTGCTAAACGTGCTGCTGAACATACCTCCACTTCATCCCCTACCGAAACCACACAATCTCCATCCACCTCTCCCATACCATCAGCGCCGTCTGCTGTTAACACCCAAAAAAGGGTTCACCCTGAAGACTCTGACAGGGAATCTAGTGATGACGAGCATGAAAACACACGTACTAATCCCAAGCCTCGAAAGCAGCACAAATCAGCTGCTGTTCCAACTGAACCAGAATTGGTTGATGCTGACGGTATTCTAATCGACATCGATGTTCAATCTCTCACGGAACCAGTGCCGACGTGAGAAGCCAAAACTGCTGACATTGATGCGTTCTTTGGTGCTACCTTTGATCATGCAGGGGCCAATGGGAAGGTGAAAAAGCACAGGAAGTGCAAAACGTGCCCGTAAGTCTGCTCACTTGTAGTAATACACGCTGATGCATGCTCAATAGGAAAGCATGTATTCTTGTTAATGAAATATCTACCCTCCATCGTCATGCTGAGGCAAAGTTCTCTGGCAAATATCGGAAATGGGCCAAAGAACATTTGTTCGAGTTGATGCTTCCTGGTGATGTCAAGGCCCGCAAGGATGATGTGGCACAGCAGAGCATTGACGCGCATCTGACTGAGTGGAAGCTTGCTGAGCGAGTAGTTTCATACTCAGATAAGTCGTTCAAACAGGCTGCAATTGAGTGGCTTGTGGCCACTGACCAGGTGCTACATCTCTCTTCCTATGGAATTGAATTGATGTCTCTTTGTGTAGCCAATTCAAACACTTGAGCATCCAAAGTTCAAGGAAATGATTGATGTTGCTGCTTGAGCAACCAACGGTGTCAAAATTCCAGGCAGGAAGGCAACTTGTGTGGAGATAATGAGAACATTCAAAACTCATCTTACGGGGCTCAGGAACACACTCAATGTAAGTAATATTTATGATATTGCTCTATCTACTCAACTAATGTAGACCAATGTAGGGCGCGACTGTTAAGGGCGCCATCAATACTACCTGTGACGCATGGCAGGCCGAAAATACTGACGGTTACTTTGCTGTCACAGGATATTGGATTGAAGAGAAGATTACCATGCAATGGGAACTCGAAAGTGTGCTGCTCAGATTCACTCAAGTCAATAATGCCCACACAGGCAAGCGTCTTGGTGGTGCTTTGTTTAAAATCCTCAATCGTGTTGGTGTCATGCACAAGGTAAGTTTGGTTTACTGCAAGTATATTTAGTAGCCTTATAAATCACTCTAGCTTGGACATGTCACTTGCGACAACGCCGCAAACAATGGTACCACCCTACAGCAATTTGCAAGGCTATATGAGGCTAAGTACGACGAGGAGTTTCCCTGGCACCAGCGGAAAATAAAGTACGTGCTTATGATCATTTCTTATTTAATGAAATCACTCATGTGACAATCTCAATAGCTGCCTAGCTCATGTTATCAATATTGCGACACAGACCTTGATCAGCTCGTACAGCAAGTCCCCTCATTACAACCTGCATGACCCAAAAGCTCACGAGCCATCCAATCAAGACGAAATCGGCCTCGTTCGTAGCATCTGCATTAAGGAACATTCATCTGCAAAGCGAAAGGAATTGTACTGGAATGTTCAAACCAAGGGAGGTGTGTCCCAGCCAACGCAGCTGTTAATCGACATGAAGGTTTGGTGGTCCTCGACTTATATTATGCTCAACCGTGCAGAGATGAATAAGGAACATGTCGACACTTTCATATATGAGATGGGTCGTCAAGAGCGTGATTTGGTTAGACACGCGAAGATTGACTTTCTGCAGCTGTCAGAAGTTGAATGGATGCATGTTGGGCAGTTTGCCGATCTTCTCTCAGTATGTTAATTTCTATTTATTTGAAGTTCACTACTTATCTAGGTTTTACAGTACGCTGATGTGGCCCAACAAGCTTTCTCATCCAAATGAGGTTCAACCTTACACTTGGCAATTCCGGCACTTGAAACTCTCTATAAGGCTTGGTCATCACATGCAGAAAGGTCAAAGTATGCGCAGTTCACTCCCGCACTCAAACATGCCGCAGCAAAAATGGATGAGTATTATGAGAAGACAACGCACTCTGCTGCATATGTATTGTCAATGTGTATGTTGTTTATTTTTTCATGAATGACTGCAAGTCTGACATTTGCACTTCAGTACTCAACCCCACAGGGAAAATGGCATATTTCAAGAAACATTGGCCAGAGGACCTGCATGATGACGTGCTTTCTACTGTGGAGACAGTGGTGAGTCATATTTTTTTTGTCGGTGTCAAGTTAATCTAAATGTGCTACTACTAGTTTAAAGCCCGTTATCTTGAGTTGAACCGAGTGACATCATCGACATCACAGCACGCAACTAAGCCAAGCAGAGCTGGCACTCTCAAGAAGTTAATTCGCAAAGTCCTCAGTGACTCCAAGGATGATTCGTCAACCAACCCAGTGCCTACTTCAACTGGTGACCCAACAAGACCATGGAGGGCTGAATTTTTGGCCTACCTCGAGACGGTTGAAGCAGCTCTGTCATCTGGCATGTCTACCATTCAATGGTGGGGTGTATGTATTTTTTCGCTACTCAAAAATTTCACGCTAATAATAATCTTGCTTAAGATCAATGCGCAGAGGTACCCTGTTTGGGCATCACTTGCACGGGATTATCTGTCTGTCATGTCGTCATCGGTCTCGAGTGAGCAGATGTTCTCACAAGGTGGCATCACCATCACCAAACGATGCAACCGGCTTAAGGCTGACATTGTCGAAGCACTCCAGTGTGTGAAATGTGCACTATGACACGATCTTCTGTTCCGGGAGCCTGAACCATTGTCTCTTGTTGAGTTAGAGTACCTGGACGACAATGATGAAGAAGTGGAAGCGGATGCAGAGACTGGTGACATTGTGGATGAAGAAGGTTGGGACATTTTACTTTTGGGTGATGATGATGAGGACGTGTTGGATGTTGAGATGGACATTTAGACACATTGTAATCATGCTATTGCTTGTCACTACTAGCCTACACTAATGCTAAAGTAGTCTCAAGCATCTGTTTGCTTATAAAAGCTGTGGCCTGGTTGGGCCCAAGCCCCGGCTTTGGGCCAGCTTGGGCTCACGGCCTAGGCTCAGAATTTTGTGAGCCTAAAGCCCCTCAAAGCCGAGCCTAAGCTGGGGCTTTGAGCCTAAGCCGGGCCAGAACATCACTAGTAGCACTTGTGAAAAAATTGATTTACGCTATGGCTCCAAAAAAGCGACTGTAGCGGGCCCTGCCGCGTGTGGCCTTATGCGTTATATTGATATGATCGGGTATACTAGTGTGGCAGTCTAAGTCTTGGTGCTCATGAATCTCTGCCTACCCAGAGAGAATCTCCCCTGGGAGCACTGTACACAAAACAGGCGAGGTGTTGTGGCTCGTTGGCTCTGTATGACAATATCAAATGAATTCCATCGATCTGAAACTCATTGCGAAGGAAACACACAATGTACACACAAGGCAGTTCCAACCACCAGGCTTATCTTCTGTCTTATTCCCGCTAACTTAGTTAGTGGGTTTTACAGGGTGAACTGGATTTCCACTAATTTTTCACTTTTATTGAATCGGGGTCGAAAATCTCATTTGCGGTGCTGTGGTGGTGTCCTCGACCTTTCTCAGCTCCCCTAGTAAAGGTGTGATCGATCGATGCACAAATAAAGACCATGTTGGTGTTTCGCCCTCCTTTCATGCTCAACGCTTTATCCTCGCCATGCAATCGTTCATCGGTCACTTCCCGGTTTCAGTGTCTTTCGATGGCGCACTTTTGAACACCCTAGTGTCAGTGGGTGTTGGTATTTCATTTGGCTGTCCGGTCGTCAGTTCTACGTTCACGGCTGTTCTGACAACAACCTATGAGGGACGGCCCCTAAGCACTGACGTGTTATTTGAGGTGGCCGCGGTGCTGCACGATGATGTGGTCATCGGTTCAGATTGGTTAGCTGCTTGGAGACAAGTAGGCCGTTTTGATCGTCAAGTGGCATGGCATTCCTCACGGCTCCTGGAAGTCGGTGAGTCTTCAAGATCCAAAAGGATATTCGCATACACTGGCTTCTTTAGAATTCTCGCCTCAGTTAGAGTCCTCTGCAGCCCTTGAAGTTTATCCTCATTCGGGAGGTGTTTTAAACCATTCGTCCCACGACAGGATTGTGCATGAATTTCGTTCTTGTTCTCCATCTTTGCTTTCTGCGAATGCAGGTCCTATTGAAAGTTCTTCAGAGGCAGGCGTAGTTTTGGCTTCATGTGCTCATTCAGAGTCCATTCTGCGTGATGTTGTTCTGGGCTCCTGTATTTTGGGAGTGCGTGCTTCGATTTTTGCTCCTGATTATTCTTCTTTGCATCATCAATGTAACCTTCATGGTTTGGAATGCGCACTACCTTCTCATATTTCCACTTTATGGGGCCTGTTAGTCATTCACATTCTCATGGGTGAGTGTGCGACAGGTGAACATCAACCTGGTCATGCGGACGATATTGCATGTCAACATATTCATTCAGGGTTTCTGTTAGCACATGAAATCACTGCCTATGTTATTGACAAACTGCTAACAGCTCCACCTGATGTTATGATGGTTGATAAGCTGTGCGCGGTAGCCGATGCTACTGGCCTTGAAGAAGCCCATACTTCCAGTTCACTGCATTGGTCTCGACACAAGTCGGTTAGTATCATCGAGACAAAGCACTTCATGCTCGCACTTCGAAAACAATATTGACTCTTTTTACTAGTTCCAAGCATCTCTCAAGAGGCGCGTTGCAAGCTATTGCTCTGTGCCACTCGTTGTCTTCAGAAGGGAATCACGATGTGTTGTTGGATAGGATTTTGGATCATGTGTCGAAAGGTCTGTGTGTCATGCACACAGAAAATGCCAGAGGTACTTGCAAAGACGTCATTGCTCAACATTGTGATCCTTCGTTAACTAGCAATCCTTCAAAAGATGGTAACTCCGGCCAAGATGTGATTTACCAGGCGCAGTTGACCTTGTTGGAATTTGCGCAGAAGAACAGTACACGGAAATCTCTAATTCGCTTGTTACATGTTCATAGCATTGAATTTGATCTGGATGATAGCCTGGGTCAAGGATCACTCTGAGATGCAATCAGAAGACGACCATGGAGGTATTGATCCAGACACTGACGAGGAAAAAGACCTTCATAAGAAGCCTGCAAAAGTCAAGGGTAAGTGAAACATCAGCAAATCCCCGAGTTCCTTCTCGTCCCTTATATTACTTAAGTTATTGATATTGTGGGTCTCGGAGGAGGTACGTCTTACCTTGCCCTATGTGCCGCATTACATTGCAGCACCTCCTACGAAGGAAAATTGTCTGTACAGAGTCTTCTGCTCACACAGAACACTGACATATGCATTGACAGTGGAGTATGCTGACCTTGCGATCATCGACATTTCGAAAGCCGTCACTGAAGAAAGTCGCGCAGGGCTCGCAATTGAATTAAGGGAGGCCCTCCTCAACAATGGGTTCTTCTATGTCATTAACCATGGGTATTCGAAAGCCCAAGTGAGCCAATTCTCTCATACCATGCAGATTTTTCAATCATACCTCGACCCAGACAGCTCGCATGTTTGACATTGCAGACGTACCCTTCTCAGCCATCACTGATGAGGAGAAGTAAACTTATGTTTCAACATGGAGAGAAACTGGGTCAGTCCAAGGATATACATTACTGCAGTACACGGTACGTAGCAGTTGTGCGTTTTATTCATGCAAATCAATTGAATTCAGGATATCGACAGTAGAGTGCGTGACCAGCTTGAACAATACTCCACATCAGGAAAACTCTCCTGGGCTAAATTTGTGTAATCTTGAAAGTTCATATAATTTTTCTTAATCACTCATATTTAGAAACAAAGTTGATAACAATGTAGCGGCAATATGAAATTGTTTTGCAACAGAAGAGAATTAGTGAGTATTAACTGAATATCGAGAAAGTATGTCTATCAATGTATGAGTTGACCCAAAACATGTTACAGTCCTCGAGAACGGTCTCGCTCGTCCATTCTCGTGGAGCCAAGTCTCCAAACTTCGGAATAAGGTGGATACTACGCATGATATCCACAGTCCATTGAGAGCGAGAGTGTTCAGAGGCGTCACCTTCAGCTTCAAAGTAAGCAGAGTAGTCAAACTGAGAGTAAGAGCGGTCAGAACCTTCAGCTTCAAACTAACCAAACTAACCAAAGAAATTGGCAAACCTTGGGATGCCCTGACTCAGGTGCGAAATTTTCGGTGGTTTCATTGACTGGATTTGGGTTTGTTTGGGAGCGTGAATTCCTGTAGAGTGCTTGACATCGGGAGTCACGGCTCTTTGCAAGATGCTGGCTAAGGCCAGTGACAGTGAAATTGTTACGGCCACATGCTGGGCATGTCTGGAGGCTCATACTAAAGAAAACGAGTGAATAAGTGGGTGAAAGCAGAAGAGGGTAAGCCTGAGGTAATCGTTTGAGAGTGCTAACCCACCTAGTAAAGTCAAGTCAGGGACAGACTGTGTCCGAGATGCGTGTGGCTGTACTACAAAATTTAGTGGCCTCCATTCCGAAACTCAAAATTATTTTACTCTTACCTCCATCACACTCCCTACCAGTCTCTGTCAATCACACTCCCTACCAGTCCCCAACAATCACACTCCCTGGCAGTCCGAATTTTCCGCTCTCTACTTTTTTTTTTAGTAATTCAAGTCCCAACTGAACGAGTTAAAATGACTGCACCTCAGAGTAAGTGCCTGTAAAGACAAGCACAGACACTGTCTCAAAGGACCTCCATAGAGTTGGAAACACTGGCACGTGGTGCAAAAACGAGGGCTTTGGAGAATGCAGGTGAGTGAGAGACTCTGGTGCCGACCGCTTATCTGCTGCTGATAGGAAATGAGCGACAGAGGTGAGAACTGTTGAATTTAAATAAGTTTTTTTTATCACTGTCCTTGATGCATTAGACTCCGACCTGGGGTGATGTTGGACGCAATCAAAGAACATCTTCAAGTAGATGAGCTGTATGCTTTACAGCTCGGTGCCTTGGTGAGTTGATTCAGTTGCAGCGCTTACCCAGGATATTTCTAATTGTCCTTAATTTATCTGAGGTGGATGCACGCATCCCAATAATGCGCTGCGAGCTGAAAGACGACGCTTGCACAAACATCGATGGCTACTTCCGCCTTGGGCACAAGGACTTCGCAAAGGCGAAAACATTGACAGAAAAGCTAGTTTACATCTATGCTATGAAGTTCGATGTGAGTCCTTTACACTTTCTCTGGCTGTCGCTGATAGTTGTACCTCTTTTTCATGTCAACAATAATGCCACACCCATCAGGAACAGGCCCTACCAGGGTGAACTCCTCATATTGTTGATATCTAACCACACAGGATACAGGCAGAAAGATACATCCATATGGCTAATAATCCTAAAAGTCCAATACATCCTTAGGTCTAGTTATCCACTCTAGAATACATCCGTTCTGTCTAGTTATCCACTCTAGAATATATCCATTCTGTATAGTTATCGATCAGCCAACCTACCGAACTTCTCAGTGCTCTCGGAAGGGTGGCCGTCCATCCCCGGTGAACATATTATTTTATTTTATATATCTTGCAATCTTGTTTTGTCGTCAGCAATCTCGCGATCTCTCCAGGTACCATATCACTAGGTACCATATCACTATTTAGGTTCTGAGATCAAGAAGCGCATCAATTAACATTTCACAATCACGGTACAATCACGGTACAGAAATGCTATTATTCTTCGGGTCCCTCGATATACTCACAAGGAGGCGCATCCAAAGAGACCCCTTCGACATCGTCAGCAGTTGAATCATCCAAATTTGAGGCCACAAGTTGCGGGACTCTCTTCCAATGTTCCGCAAAAGCTGCTAATAAAGCTCGTCGGATGTGAGCCTGGCGGCGAGCATACACAATCACGCCCTCCTTTTCCTTGGGTTGTTCAACAGTCGGTAGGGTTGCACACGACTCCCAGTAGTCTCCCTGCCATGTGAGAAAGGCTAGAATACGTCGCATTTCTTCTAATAAGAGCTGGACTTCCTCCAACCACCTATTACGATGTGCTCGGGCTTTGCACCATTCGACACGAAGCGCTGATGTAGTTCAGCATACGACAACAAAAAAGCGAGATCAAACAACTTACAGTCTTGGAGTCCCTCACTGTCATCAGAAGAAATTCTGTGAGTTAACCAAATCCACGACATAATTGCCGTGCCTTAAGTCTGTTGTCCGAAGTCCCCTTGTCTGTTGTCCGAAGTCCCCTATTGGTCTGAGATGTGCCTTCTTCAGAGGCTGCAATTTGTGCTCCCATCCTGTCCGATCAAGGTGACAAGCTAAGGAGAGAAGTGCCTCACGAGCACTTGTATACTTAGCATGGCTCAGCATAAGACGTTCCTCAACTACATCCATAGTTTTGCGTGCGCGGGTGTTGGGCCCTTGTCCACGTAGATGCTGGACCTTGAACTGATACAGCTGACGGCGCAGTCGAATATGCGAACGACACTCGTTCAGAGAATCAGTAGCTTGGGCAAAATGTAGGGACCATTCTGTTTCCAGGAGTGTCTTGTTGCATGGCACGGTATCACATATCTCGGAAGGCAGAAGCAATTGAAAGTCTTCTGCCTTTCCAGAGGTAAGATCTGGGACTGGACAGCCGCTGTCATCACTGTTGATGCCAGTTGGGAGGATTGCAGAGATTCGGAGGTTTGGAATCATTGGCATGTAGAGTTTTTGAATGTCGGTCCACGCGTCTAGGTGACGTTGCAGTACATTCCTTCGAGTTAAGACCTTAGTCCTCTGGATATCGGTTGCGTGCTGACCGAGCGTGAAGGAATCAACACGCAAACGGCGTCTAAGATAATTCAGTAGCGCTCTACAAGAGATTTGAAAAATGACTTACTGGGCATCTTCGAGGTCAATTCCAGTGCTAATGAGAACACTGCAGGTAACCTCGCTGTGGAGTGATATTGCTGACCCATCTTCCAACTCGTTTGCGTCCCGTTGTGCTAACTCTAACCGCACAGATGCCTGGGTCATTGCTGTGTAGTTGTGAGCAATAGCTCAGCATCATGAAGAACAACTCACCGCCAACTCTGGGCTGGAATGGATTACACTGCGAGCAGTCCATCTCCCAGGCTTCAATCTCTGTCCTCCATGCAGCGAGGGAAGCGGCTCCTACTTCAGAGTCATTGATAGAGCTCTCAAGTTCCCAGAGAGCAAGACGGTGCTCCTTCTCAGCGACGATGGCTTCCGTTATTTTTCATAGCATAGTTTTACCTTTTAAAGATGAGACTGGTCAGTACAATAATGTCAACATACTACACCAACACTCACCGAGAGCCGTAATCTTCTTCCAGTTCCAATCAGAGAACTGGTCGTTGAGTGTGTCGCGTTGGGCTCCAGGACCCATTTCCTTTGTACTGCCAGCCACGCGATTGATGTTTGCCCATCCACGCTCAGGTGCTTCTCCGTCAGTCCGTCCTACCCCTGGAGTCCAATTGAATGAGAATTGAGTCTGGCAGGATTCGATGTGTGCAGCGATATGGAACTTCGGCACAAAAAAATTAATGGTCTTGCCTTCTCAATTGAACTGAAGATGAGGTGGTAGCGTGGGCAAGCGATCCCACAATTTTTTGTGCCACTGGCATGCGATATCGTACGAAAAGTTGATTGTCGACAGGGTAGAGAATCTGGCGAGAGCAGAGAAAACAAGATAGTCCATATTCAAGTATCTATGATGATGTGAGTTATACAGACAGCGTGTACCCGATGATTCAACTTACTTTTCGCCTTTCTGTAAGTCACCAACGCCATTAGCTAACTTCATATCGTGGCGTGCACAATCCACGGTGCCCACGCCAGTCGCAGCAAGTCCCCTTGATGACTTCGTATCCGCGAGATTAACTGCATTATGGCTAACACAGTTACTTTTCTGTCAGGTGTAGAATAGTTGTCAGACTCAAAGAAGGAGAATAAAAGATATCTAAGAGCGCACCTCTTGAAGAGTTTCACCATTGGTGCGCAGGTACCGCTTATATTTGCTCTCTTCGACGAAATAGCCCCATCCTTTGCTAAGGCCAGGATCTCGTCGATCGGTCGACACCATCCAGCACTTGAGTCGAAAGTTGGCGTCTATAGCAAGAAAAAGTGCGTACTTCCATCTAGCTATTCATCAGTGAATTCATTGCGTTGTGATAAGGGAACGTGCGCACTGCTGATTTGGAGATGAAGTTTCCCAATTAGTAGGAAGGTTTTTCCCTACATGCGGGCAGGCAGGGCAGAGAACAGCCAGATCTCTGTCTTCAGTGGAATCTATTCCTGCAGGATGGTGGCCACGACCTGAACGTTTGAGCGCTTTGATGTTTCTCCACTCACGGACTATCCTTAGAAACACTGAATAGCGATCCTGACCTTCTGCGTAAGCATATTTGAATATATGATATCACAGAATACACCTACATGAATTGGCATGATTCCTGTGTTGTCAGTCCACCGCGCCAAGCTATGATAGAATTCAAAGGCGGATACCTTAGACTCGAAGGAAAGTATGTGAAAGAACTCCAAGACAGCAAATGTTGCCGCTGTTCTTGGGTCAGTCACTGTGGCAGGGAACAAGCGCGCACGGAGTAGTTGTTTGAAATGCAAAACTTCATGCTCACATCCGCAAAAATCGAGTCCTGTTGAATGCACACCATGGACATCAATAATCACGAAATTATTGCCAAATGCAGGCGATGGTTTGCGACAAGTGGTACCGGGGGGGTGTCCAAGTTGGATGCGCAGGCCCATAGATTTCAATGAAACAGGGTGGAAAAACCCACTCCTCCATTCCTATTTCTCATTAATATTATAATTGGAGAACAAAAGGAACATGCACCTTAATTCTATGGAGCGGGGAGTTAAGGTGCGATTTAACGGTGCATGACCGACATGAAAGATTGACAGAGAAACAATCCTGACACCGAAACACGGCATCCGCTGCACCACACACACATGGGGTGTCTGAATCCTCGCCTCTTCCCTCAAGTCGTAGAAATTCAGTCATGTACGTCTGACGTTCGTCCAGCCAAAGGGAGACGGGATCGTCCTACAAACAATCAACGACAGCATCATCTTTGTAACACCGGAGACTTACTCCTGCAGTTCTCCCACGTCCCTTTTTGGCCATTGGTGTCTCAGCGTCGTCCACCTCATATGCAGGGTCAAAGTGTTCCATCTCGTTCCAAGGATCATCTTCAGTGGGCATGGTAGGGTTATCGGCAGGCACAGTGTGAAAAGTTTCGTCCTCCTTCTCAGGCAGGCTGGCAGGAATGTAAGAAGTTCAAAGTGCAAGTTGGCCGCTAGGCTGCAAACTGAATATGCGATGCCTGTCAACATGATTTGAGGACTGATTGGTGTCGGGCAGTGTATGTCTGACGAGTTTTGGACGTTTAGAAGGACGGCCAGTGCGTCCAGACTGTGACATGGCTAGTGCTGCCTCTCTAAGCATCAACACATCAAATTTGACTACTAGGGTAGATTAGTGATACATCTAGTGGCACATATGCCAACATACATACCATATGCGCTGTTGGCAAATCCTAGAAGCTTGTTAAGAAGCACAAACGATGTATCGCCATGGACAATTGAAACTGACCTAAAATACCAGAGCAATGCAACTCTGCTTGTGCATTCCTCCCATAATCACAGATAACGGTATGTAGTATGAGCTGTATACCGATATTCAGGCCAGAGCTCATAGTGGTTCCTAGATGTCCAAGAGGTGGCAGCCCACACAGGAACAGCATGCATGGCTGATGCCCCACTTGACCAAATGGCAAGTGATCAGGTTTGATGCTGAACCTGCGTACTTGATGCTGATTCATAAGGAGTGGCTGGAGAATTGGCCTGAGGAAGATGCTGTGTGGCCTGGTCGTCCTATAGAGCAGAACACGTTGAGTGAAGACAAGAAGTCGGAGCTGTGTGTAGCCGAAAAGGAACGTAAATATGTGAGTTGTCAATACTATTCATAGCCTCTCAGAGTTATAATGACTGCGCACCTGATACAGACCCTAAAATCCTGGCTGACCTGGGCATGGCTTAATCCAAGATGCGCTTGTTCTATGTACAGGTGCTCATGGTGCATATTCCCTGTGCCAGATTTATCGGACTTTATTTGTGCTCGTCTTATTGCTATAGATCAAGAGTGACATGTACATATGATATTTACAATATAGTCTGTCTGCTACCAACGAAGCCGGTGTAAATTTAAGCTTGTGAAATAACAATAACTTAATGAAGCCGGTGTAAATTTAAGCTTGTAAAATAACAATAACTTAGAGACTTTGCGGTCAGCACATACAGTAAAAGACCTATAAAAGTCCAACGACACATGAACCAAAAATGGCGTACATGATCATTAACCTTTCTCAACCAAATTCCAAACTCCCCTTACAAATATACATACTGTTTGCACCACAATCACTACACTAGATCTGCCGACATGGGCAGACCAAAGCTTTACAAAACTGCCGAAGAGCTCCGGGAAGCAAAACGAATGCACAGACAAGCATACTATGCACGGTGCAAATTTATTTTGATACTGGAGGCTTTAACTCATTTCACACCAGAAACAAGAACACAATTAGTACAAAAATGAAAGCAAGATATCATGCCCAGGCTAGCACATCTTCCACCATGTAGGTCTTCCTTTTATCTCTGAAATATACACAATTGAACTGCCAGCATTCAGGAACAGCTCAGACCAATCATCCCCAGATCAAAAACACACTGTGTATGCTCAGCACTCATCTCTCACATCTCTTGCAATCTACTGACAAACACTCGGACGTACAGGAAAAAAAATCGCCTCTTAACCTACTTAGGTGCTTCACCTCACAACACACTTGACGCACTGTATACCGAGTATCTGGAGACGCGCTGCTCAGACAACATCCGCGATGTAATGGGCATTGTTCAGGAGATTTTATGGGAGCTCAAAGAGATCAAAGAGACTATGTCAAGAGCGAGAATTACGGGCCGAAGGTATAGTAATGCGCAGGACAACTCTAAACAGGCTGCAGAGGTACTGTCGGCCCTCGAGGATTTATTCTCCTGTGTGATGGTCGAGGACATGGATCTAAGACAATGGTATGCACATAAACACTTCCTGTTTCAGAGTCTTTAGGAGATCTCTGCGTATTTACTAGTACTTTCAATTTTGACACGAAGCTTAGTATATTGTGTAGCTGTATGATACTATCATAGTGTCCATGCATGGGACATTGGTCTCAATTTTACACTACATTTCAATATTCATTTCGCTTACTGCAACCTAAACGCCCAGTCTTGTCGATCAGCGCGTCAATTAACGTTAATGTATGTATCTAATTGATCTCATTGTATGCCGAGATGACTTAATGTTGAAATCATGAAAATAGATGGCGCCTTGTAAATGGACAACATCCGAGCAGGAGGTGTGGCTTGAACCGTGGTACCAAAAGTTCGCCGAAAAGCAGAGTGACAAGAGTAGAAACCACAAAAACTTCTTCACGGACCTTTATGAAAAATGGTTCGAGGAATTTCCGGAGCCTCGACCAAATCATATCACCAAATTGGGGCCGTTAACACTGGAAGAACACAACAACGCAACTGACATACGAAAAGCTGTAAGTTTCATTGAAATTGTCACCGACAACACTAAGAATGTTCGATAGAAATTACATACGTGATTTAAAAATAATTTCAGCGGTTCAAAGGTGGGGCGACAGGCAAAAGCCAATGCCAACGACGTCTTTGATGCTGTGGTGCGGAAAATAACTGAATGTGAAAAACCTACACAAATGCTTCAGGAACACGAAGCATACTCCAAGTTGTACTATGCTGATCATGTTCAGAAATCCATCCAAGAGACGCTGAAGGTCGCACAAGCAACACAATCACTCACCAATGGTCAGCGAGTAGCGCTTGTGAAAAAAGAGACTGCTGCTCTGTATGCAGGTGAGTCCGAGGATATCAAGGCTAAGGTGAAGGAGTATATCCACGCACAGAAGGAAGAGCGTGGTAAGGAAAAAGCTGAGCCTTGGAGTGATGAAGATCAGCAGCAGTACATCCTGCTCAAGTTCACTGCATAGTAGTATCACCTAACACGAACAAAGGAATCTTACCAAACTGGCCACCGTCGCAAATCAATTCCTAAAAGGCCTCGCTGATGCGACCGGCCTATCCTTCAGCCTTCTTGTTGGGGGTCCATCTGTCGAGCTAGGTGGAATGATTGATGTCTGGAGGTATGTTCTACATTAGAAACTCAAAAACTCGAGAGCCAAAATGACACTCACCTGGGCAGCTTCCACGTCGGGATGACGAAGCTGGGCAACAATTTTAGCCAGGCTTACCCTAAGTTCAAGAGTGAGATAGTGGGCCCGTTCCGAGACTATCTGTATCGTGTGTATCGTAAGTGTTATTTCTTATCAGACACCTTGGACAAAAAGGCTTACCGTTTTGCTAACAGCGGAGGCTGCAGCACTCAAAGACCGGAAGATGGGGGGAGCAAGCAGCTCCAGTTCATTGTGGGGAGACAGCTTGAATCAACCGTCATATCCTGTGTCAGATATGATGGACGAGCTGTCCAACCAGGATACATCTTTGTCAGGCACATTTCGATTACCGGATCTATCCGAGTTTCCTTCTTCGTCAAATGGCCCGGATTTATCCAAGTTTCTGCCTTCATCAAATGGCCCTGGGTCTCCTACACCCTTCAGCTCTCACAATGTTCTCTCTGGCGACAATCAACAAGACTGGCCGCTGTCTGATGACCTCGACGACTTCCTCGAGACATTGGCCCAGAACCTGCCAATGTCGGCTGTTGACCACTTGATGTCACACGTTCCTCCTTCGCTTGAGGTGCCTTTCATTCCTGCGGTTCCGGCCGCAGCTGAAACACTCTGCAATCCCCTTCCTGCAGCTGAAACACTCTGCCATCCCCTTCCACCAGTTTCTCCCCGTTCTGTCCATGGTGTTTCTATTTCCACACCTGAGCCGTTTGATGGTGTGCCCTCAGCCAACTCACTTCCTAGTGGATTCACACACCCAACTGCACACCTCCCCGGAAACGCAGAGGAGCCCAACAGCGACAGGCCAGATGCACACCCTGCATCTTCAGTGGCAGAAGACCCTACAGAGGACTCGTGCCCTTCATCCATCCTGACCCGCACTCCCCCTTCAGCAGACTCATGCTCTCCATCCATCCCGACCCGCACTTCCTCTTCGGCAGACTCGTGCCCTCCATCCATCCCATCCCACACTTCCCCTTCGGCAAACATTGCGAATGAGGCTCAAGAAAACGAGGTTCAAACAGAGGCTCAAGCGGACGAGGGGAATGACAGCGGCGGACCCCGTAGAACAAGGTGCGCGCACATCCCATCTACACGCAACACCATCACCAACTCGATCGGCAACTCATTGAACCTGGCTTCAAAACACAGCCATGGTACTGATTCATCCACTCGTGTGGGCCAGCAAACAAAGTAAGTCTCTTCTTGTTTTTTAAACCTCTTGTGCTCATTATCTTGCACAGAAGACCAAGGGTGTGAGCTATACCGTCTGCTCAGTTTTTCCCATATTGGCTTTCTTGCGTCTGTTTTTTGTCGCTTTCATTTCCCTTCCATACTGCTTATTTTCATGTGGTGTTAATGTTGACGCGAAACCGTGTTTGAAATTTACAAGTACTAGTACTAATGCAAAAATGCTATTGAATTGCTATGGTTCTAGAAGACAATCTGTCGTGTATGGTGCCAACTGACTATAGAGACCAGCACTAAAGTAGTGAATGGGGAAGGCATCAACTCTGAGCTTGTGCGCACATGGACCTTGCCCGCTCTCGCATTATCTCAAGCAGTACCTTGCGCAGTCCCGAGTATTGCACAACTGGATAAAGGTTGATATTGAAGCTTCGCCGGTACTGATTTTGAACGGACTGCCTCACTATCTACATACCGAGCCACATCGTCGTGTGATCGCAGCGAGCTCAAAGTACTGCCCAAAGTATTACAAATTTTGAGAACTGGTAAGACAAAAAATCTTAAGACTCACAGATTTAGACAACATTGTGACGTGTTGGAGAATATTTTGGTGGGCGGACGCCAAAGAGCTGGAGGTAAGGAGTCATGAAACTCGTTCTCACGGTTGAAAAACACTTTGGAGAACAGCAAAGTCCCAGTGCAGTGAGCGTGTCAGCTGTATTGCTTCTTGACAACATTGTGACGTGTTGGAGAATATTTTGGTGGGCGGACGCCAAAGAGCTGGAGGTAAGGAGTCATGAAACTCATTCTCACGGTTGAAAAACACTTTGGAGAACAGCAAAGTCCCAGTGCAGTGAGCGTGTCAGCCGTATTGCTTCTTGACAGGTACAAGAAGCGATCCCATCGTCAGATCCAATCGCTGTTTGCTGATCCCATCAAGGAGAATGAGGGAGACGGGGCAACGGCAGGGTATAAACGGGGGTGAACTGCCAAATATCCATATGGAGCATTCAACCCCCCGTAAAACAGTGATTTATAAGCAAAGGAAGCCGGCAGCGCGATTCTCACGTAGGATATATCCTGGATACATCCGGTTGGATAGTGGATGACAATAGAAGAGTATGTATCGGACTTTTAGGACTATAGTCCACTTAGGATACATCTATATAACATCATCGGCTGCTAACCAGCTCTTTCATAGCTCAAGGGCCGTTGGCGTGAAATTCGCGTCACACTTTGTCGAAATTGCCAAGAACAAGTCGAAGCGTCCCGAAATTCCGATACCCTTCCTCGCACTGGTGGCAACAGCGGTAGTGTGCTTGTCTTTACTCTGTGAATATGCTGCTCAACTTTTCATAGGTTTATTCCGCTCTTTTATGGAAGTCGCTTGGTTCTCCAGGGAAGTTCAACTTCTCTGGAAACCAATTCAGCGAAGTTTACAGCTACCACGTCAAGTCCCTCGAACAGCTGAAGCACGACGCACCTGGAAAGTTCCATTATATGATGGCAGATATTTACAAGGCTGCACAGTGAGTGTTCTTAGTCCTCGATGCTCATTACTGACTTGTCACTTGGCTTACAGTAAGTTGAAACGCAATGGCGCTACTGGGGATCACATCGAGCTGAACGCCTTCGAACTGCTTGACCTTGAGGGTATGGAGGAAGACTAGTGACGGGAATCTGTTCTTTCGGTGTACCTATGTGATTCAAAGATTGTCGAGACTCGCGGCATTGATTGATATGTCTCTATTCCAGTCATTACTAGCTATTACATACCCTTTTCTAATCAAAAACTAATTTGTTCATGTAATGCTGTCTGATGGCGGGGAAATTGGTGAACATTGTATGCCGAAATTTGAATGGATGGTCTCTCGAATGCTCGACAAATTAGTCAAATAGCTAATGGTTAGAAACATTTCTGTCAAAGTTTCTTGGGGTAACATAATCTATGCGATCCTTGAAATCAGTTGCTTTTTGAGTAATCCGTCAATAATTATCGATAATCACTGATATTTAGCCCAGGAGGGTTTTCCTGATGCAGTGAGCAGAATGCTTTCATTTTCGTTGACTCGCCCCACACCATTATAGCCAATCGCGATGTGACCGAGCGAAGACACCCAGAAGCCCTCCGTCCTCTTCTCCCAGAGATCCAAGAGTTTAACAAACACAATCACTTCAACATGTTGCATCCTATCCTGAGGTAAATGCCTATCGGTGTGCTCGGGATGTTTCTCTGATAGCATATTGTTTTCTCAGGCTTATTGCACACAGCCTCGAGCGGCCGGAAGATACGCTAGTGAACAACCATGACTATGACGCCGTCGGCGAGACAGCTGGTACATACGTTTCAAGCAGCTCATGCCGTCGCTGACTTATCGATCAGTCAGGTTCATCAAGTAGTGAGTTCTTCCTTGGATTTCTACTCTTCACAAGTTCATGTAGTTTAGCTACCCACGAACAGAGGAAGAAGAAATCGAAACAAAGAATGTCTGGCTGAGGGGACACACGGGTCAGTGACCTTGATCACGAAGAAAACATGTGCTTACAGAGTCACCAAGACTTGGGGAGCATTACGATTCTGTGGAGTCAGCCTGTCGCTGCACTGCAAATTCAGACCCGCGAAGGCGAATGGCGTTGGATCCGTCATCTGGAAAATGCACTTGTAGGTGGTCCCGTTCTATCTCTCGACTCATGACATAACGAGAGGCGTTACAAGTTGTCAACGCAGGTGATACAATGGAATTCCTTTCCGGCGGGTACTACAAGGGCACGATCCACCGCGTTGTGCAGCCCCCAGTGGACCAACGGAATTATACTCGCCTTGGAGTATTCTACTTTTCCATGCCTGACGACGATGTCAGGTTGGTGCCGATGGTCGAAAGCCCAGTCTTGAAGAGAGTGAGGATTCAGAGACGTTGCGACGACAGCGAGGCACCAACTATGGAACAATGGAGGAAAGCGAGGTCGAGGGCTTATGACCATTCAAAATTGAAGGGTGGAAATGAGAAGGGCATAGAAGACGAGATCATCGATGGGGTGGTAGTTAAGCATTACAACTGAAGCCTCAAGTTGTACTTGCAGTCTCACCATCCTTGGGCAACGAACATCTCCTCCGCGAGAATATATAAGGTCCAGTGCGAGAGGGCTAGCGAGTGTTAACACGAGGACGTCATCAAAGCCGCTGCGGAAGCGCGGTTCAATGCCAATAGCATGCGTCTATCTTGAGGTGTAGAAGAATGGGTGCAAGGTGCGAGTCGAGGACTCGGTGATGCTGCAAACATCTCAATTCGAATACAGAGTAGACAACAACACGAGCGAGAATGCGACAAGATAGCACAAGAGTAACATGGTAACCTACAAAACCTGAAGCAGCGAACGGAAGAGAATGGAATATCAACGACTTGGAGATCTGTACGAAATGAAAGCAATACGACATCATAGAACTACACACCGATATGCACGAAAACAATTTTCTGCTCCAGGGGTATTTTTTTCTTCACGGCGTTGGTAGCATAGTTGAGTGCCAGGGCTGCCCTTGTACAGTCAATGACGCCCTCCTTCTTGAACATATTCTCGTAAAAAGCTTTGACGACGTGTTCTGCGACAGCGTCGTCGACCCCCCAAAGAGTACCAATGACGCTCTTGAACCCGGAAAACTGCAGACCAGCAGCGAGGTGGATGACTTCGTCTGGTGTCTCCTCATCGCCGACGGCGGTATGACATGCCGATAAAAACGCAAATTCAGCCTGCGGAGCATCATTCTCCATGATGTCCAGCAGCGTGAGAGGTTTATCTCTCATTGCGAAACGTGAATTATAAGGCTGCTCACGGTCCTGCTTGCCGTGACAAGCGAGGTGCGCCCAGGTGTTGCATCGCAAAGCATCAAGTGCACCTGCCTGTGTAGCATCATCGCCAGAGAGAGTGGTGAACTTGACACTGGGGGGAATGAGTTTATGGACAAGCTCGAGCTCACCGTCGACAGCAGCGAGCACCGTGCCTTGCCCAGCACCTGGTTGACTTTGGCCAATCGCCACGAAGGACGGAGGGGCCACGCGGGTCTTCATCATCTGTCGAGACCTGATCAAAGCTGACAGTGTTGGCGTATACGAGCAGACATAAAGATCCTCCAGGTATGGTTCCTTCGTGCGAAAGGGGTGAGCTGCATGGAGAGGAAGGGATGTGAAGGCTGCTGTAGGACACAGCCATATTCGAGACCGGCGCCGCAGTTTCAAATCATGCTGGAGGACATTAACAATAGGTAGCATGATCACGTCCCATACTTTCCGCAAGAGTACTCGCAAATCCTTCCTCGGCTCCTCTGGGCCCATAAGAGCTGCGAGCCGTATCTCCCTGGCGAAGTCGTTCTTGAGCATCTCGAGATGTTCGAGAGTAACAGACGGGAAGTGAACATGGCGGGGCTCTCCTGATGTCGGGACAATAACAGCATTGCACGAGTAGCTGCTTGCGATGAGGATGATAACTGGGCCATGGCTCGCTGCCGCTTGCAAATCTTTGTACGAAGGTGGGAGCAGGAATCGTGAGAAATCTTGAACATTGCGAATTTTTGCCACCACAGCTTCCCATTTCTCCGTAAGTCTCCTGTACTCTCTTGCTGCTACATCAGCAGCAGCTCTGTCGGTGATGGCTGCAGAGCCCTGAGCAGCGGAAATGTGCTGACTGAGCTCCGAAAACTTGTGAGCCAGTTTCGGGTTTGCTGATTCGAGATCTTCAAGCGGAGTCTTAAGTCGGGAGGCCAGTGACCACTGCTGGCCACGGCCCTGCTCCGCCAGTTCGACGGCTTTTTGTAGGTCATGATGGCGCATGGCACACGAAGCGGCATCTACAGGGAGTGTTCTGGCATAACAGAAGGCAGCGGCAGCTTTGCGCCGCGAAGTGGTGGATGATCGTGTGGTGAGATGAGCATCAAGAAGCTCTAAAAATGTTGCGTAGGCTTCCAGTGCAGACTCATGATCATGCCCCTCCGCTACAACAGTCCAGTTAGATGCTGCAACAATGCGTTCCGGCAAGCCTGCAGTGGGATGTCTTGATGCCAGTCTGAAATTCTCCACTGCAAGTGACAAATCAGTAGAGCTGTGTTGCATCTCGTAGCGAGACAGATAGGCCTCCTGCAGCCATGTGTAGCTGGTGCATCTACCAGGGTGCAGCAGAGGCAAAGCCGCCAATGATTCTTGGCAGAGACTAATGGCTTCTTCAATATCTTCATTCTTCTGAGTTTGCTCGAAGCGAGAGCAGAGTGCCGAGCTCAAATTGAAAAGATTTTTATGGCGCTCTAGATCGTCATGTTGTGTTAACTGAAGGGATTCGCGATACAGATTTATGGCCTCGTTAAGATCCTCGCCGCCATCCAATTTGTCATATCTGATTTTGAGCGTGAGGGCAAGGTTGTTAAGTATGGTGTCACGACGTGGATGCCCAGGTGGGCACAATGCCAGTGCCTCGCGACGGAGGCTGATGGCTCTGTTGATGTCATCAATGTCACCATGTTCCTGGAAACGCGTGCGGAGGGCGCCCCCTAGGCTCGTTAATGAATCATGACGAGATTCATGCCCAACAGGGCACAGGTGCAGTGATTCTTCATGCAGAGAGATGACCTCGTCCAGATCATCAGGTCTGCCTTGGTGATTGAAGCGTTTCCAGATTGAAAGGGCTAGGTTATACAAGTAGCCATCACGGTCAGGGTGTCCCTTGGGGCACAGAGAAAGGGCTTCGCGACCAAGTTGTATACTCTCGTCTATCTCCTCTATGCTGCCCGATTGTCTGAAGGATGCGTCGAGTGCACCTGAGAGCTCAGTGAGGGCTCTTGGACGGCGGTGATGACCCAGAGGACATAACTCGAGCACGATTCGTCGAAGTTGGATGCCTTCATCAGATGTGTCCGTCGGAAGATTGTTGCACGCCGCGATCACATAATCGGCACCATTCTTCCCTACCGCGATGCTATGAAGATAGGTGCCCTCGGGACAGAAAGGCAGTAGCTCATGGTAGAGTCGGGCAGATTCGCGCATATCGGCGGTGGTACGTTGATTGCTATGGCGCCAGCGCAGCGCTTTCGTGAGGTGATAGAGAGATAGGGGATGATCGGGGTGGCCCTTCGGACGCGATGCAAGGGCGTCCCGGAATAGAGAGGTGGTAGAGTCAATATCTTGAAGATCCTTTCTAGTACAGCCTTTAAGGCGGGCCCACGAAAGGTTAGTGAGTGCGGCTGCATGGTCGGGATGGCCGACCGGACACCGGTCTAGAACCCCCTGAAATTGCTCCACAGCATCGTTCAGGTCAGAGACGCTCTTGCTGGTCACGTATTTGGTAAATCTCGTGTGTCCTGCATCCGTATCTCGAGCAGTCTCGCAGTCGATGATGGACTACAGTTTGCGTTCTATCAGAAAACGCCAACAATATAGAGGCTGAGTCACGCACATCAAACAGTTCACCGTCGTCGTTTTTGCAATCATTCACGGAAGTGGCCTTCAGCGTGAGAGAAGGACAGACGCCTCGAATGGGAGGGAAGGACATATCTACGACCAATAAGGAGATGTAGATTAATGTGAAGCAGATCACACACCGAATGGCTTGACTCCATGATCGAGGAGCTCATTCGAGAAGATACCAAGTTCTCCAATGAGTTCTCCCTGCCCTAGCATTCGACCGAGTTCAAAGGATGCACGGATCTCCAGTGATAATCTAGGTGACACATCTGTTGATCTGCAAGCTGACGATGAGTACTGTAATCGCGTCCGTGAGTCTCTGTGGAAGGCCTTACAAGGTCACGGTATTCCCCCAAGCTACGGAACTGTCGGATGATAGTACTCGGACAGCTGACTTCCAGCGTCTCGTCTCATCGAGTTTGATAGACACGTAAATGCCTGCAGGCATGCGAGTGGAAGGGACTTTAAGTTTTTTTCCGCCTACAACTGTGGATAAAGCGTGAAGACCATGAAACAGATCCCAAGGTCGTATGGAGCAGCTCACCTTCAAGTCTGATGCATTGGCCTTCCGAGCTACCGGACATGATGGCGTAATGAAGCAAATAACAAGAGATGGGGATGGGCTGAGTGGTGGGACAAGAAGGGGCGAATGGATATGGGGACTGTGGATGAAATTGAGGTGAGAGGGAGAAGATAAAGCGAGGGCATGCTGCACGTGTATTTCCATGCGGTCGATGGTTGTTCGGCACGATAGACGCTGGTCTAATTGCACTGAGCGCGGCTAAGACCAAACTAAGACGCAGACGGCTGCAGGAGACTCCGCTAATGAAGTGAGTTTATTCAAGAATCCAGCGCATTAAAGAAGGTCGCACTGGAACGAGAAGGAGACTGGGAAGAAAGGAGAGGGACAGAAGCCTGAGTAAGGGCAAAGAAGGAAGTGACGAGGGAAGGAGGAGACGAGGAGAGATCAGAAGGAGGAGGAAGGAGAGAAAGTGTATCATATTATACTAAGCCTGGACACCAAACGAGCCCACACGCACACCAAAACTCATCAAACGCGGACCGCTTGGCTATTCGTACTATACCTACATCCCTCACCCTGTTACAACACTCCCCAGCACAGCCCTAACAGGGCACCGCGTCTTAACAGCTCACTTTGTTTGTTGCGGTATATAAATATAGAATTTCTCTCTCTCTCTCCGCTAATGAAGTGGACAAATATTGTCGTGATGAGTCGTATCAGCAAAAGCGGCCTACGATGGGCCAGGATACTGGTACGGAGCAGTACTTTGCGACTCTCCCTCAATAAGAGTGGGGCACTCTCAGTTGTATCACTCATACTATCCATTTAGCGCACTATAACGCAAAACGTAGAATCCAGTTTATTTCATGGCGCTAACAATACGAACCATTCTATGCAAGTGTTGAGTTGATGCCATGGGAGAGAATGAACGAGAATCAGAGTGTCGTGAAAAGAAAGGCAATGGTTTGTGAGAGTATGACAGGTCGAAATTCCGTCGAATATAAGATGAGATAGCCTGACAGTACATGTACAACGAAAATGTGAACGTGAATGTGACTTGGAGAAAGCGTGGCCTAGGGACATAGGCGAGACTTTGAACATAGACAACCTGGGCGTCTAAAGTTCCTGAGGTACGAGAGAATATGGCGCTGGGTATTTATGGACGTGGATTTGCAGTGGCGGTGCAATGTGGATATATTCAGTGGTTGTTTCTCACGTCTCGATTTTGTCGTCTTTTGTTGTTAGCCTCATGGATAGATTCTTTATTCATTTATGGTTGAGGGTATAAACGTATCTGTTGCACGAGACGACTCTTCTCAAATTTCTCTACTCTCTGTGTCTTTCTTGAATTCTCATGTAGGTCGTGATTGGTACGCTTTCGACCACTGAAAAATGCGGAGCAGGATCATCAACTGCACTGACCGACTTTAAGATTGAGAAAAAGTCCCGTACCAAATGACTGACAACTTTAAATTTTAAAATGACAGCCGCTTGCAATCTTTGTACTATCAGCTCTTTCTCGCTCCTGTGACCGTAATCACTGTTATCAATGTTTCTTGAAATAGCGCATTCAACTGTATCTCTAATATTCTTGTAACACCAATAATCTTGATTGGCATTAGAACGACAGACTCGATTGGAAACAACAACCCCAACATTAATTACAACGACTCAAAATCAAAATCAGAAAGAACATACCCCCCCCAAAAAAAAAAAGAAAAAGGGTAGCGGGCACTGCCACGAATGTGGTCTTTCGCGACTTATCAGGTCTTGGAGCACTGGAAGTCCGTAATTTCTCAGTTACGGATACCTCTTCATCATCCACGCGCCGATGCTTGCCGGGTCGATGAACCGGGCTCTTCATTGGTAAACTGAGCAGCTCCGGGGATTTTGATTTTGTGAATGTTGCATGAATCACCGGTCGTTCCTCCAGGGAGTTTGAAGTCCTCTGAAAAATCAGATTTTGTGCCTTCATTTCGCCAAGTTCTTATCCTCCGACAGATTCAAGCATGGTTCTTCGACGGTCTTGGTCTATTTCCAGTGATGCATGATCAGGCTCGCTTTCTGAATCTGTTGTAAGTTCACTCTTCAGGCGCAAAGAGGATGCTGACGCTGAAGAGGCAAATGCGGCTGAAACGGAATACAAATATAATCCATCTGATGGAGCTGAACGGGAGGAAAGTGCCAAACCTTTGAGGGTCTGCATACGTCTCTCAGCAGCAAGTGTACGTTCTTCCCGTGCACGTTTACTAATCAACCATGAGTTCTCAGCCATTGGAAACGCGAAACACTCACCTTCCGGCTTTCTTCCCATAAATCCCGTGCCCGCTTCTTTCTTCTCGACGATTGCATCCTCGTTCAGTGCCTTTCCCCCGGAGCTGAATGCATTAGCATTGGTAATCCTGGATCCGGCTTTACGTTTCTTTTCAGATTGGACACCAGTGTGCACAGAGGGCCCACTAAATTTTGTAGTCCTTTTACGTTGTTGGTAGGAAGCAGGTCGGGCGCGTGAATGAGCTCCGCCACACTGTTCACACTATCAAAGAGGCATAGATGAGAAAATGGAGGATGACTGACCATGTATTCAGGAAGGTCGCCCATTCCGATGCCTTTGCCAGCTATTGTCGCGGAATCTGCCAATCTAGTCCCGAAAGACCAATAGCCTGTAGACATGTGAGGGATATGGAAGAAAGGCTGTGTTGTGGTGCGTACCGTCGCCGTAATAGCCTTTGTTTTGCAGGGCACGGACGTCATTGCGCAGCTGTCGCCACAGGGCTTGGAAAGCAGGCCCGTAATCCATGTGCTATGTCGCGTGTCAGGGTATCGAATAGTTGCAAATGGGTATGGCTGACCTTTATGTGGGCGAGCTAACGCGAGAAACGCGTCTAGTGTCAATGATGTGACGGGGCGTTCCGGCGGGACTTGCCAGCACATCAGATCAGGAAGGAGCAGACAGGGGCAAGAGAGGCGAGGAGAGCAGAGTCAGGAGCAGAGCGAGAGGTGGCAGAAGCCCAGCGGTGCCAGGGTCACGACAGCAGACATACGTATAACATAGTGGATCAAGCACAACCAGTATCACAACCAACACGACAACAGCAAGGTCTTCCTGAACGCAATGCTGGCCGGTCCAATGAGTCTGTAATACAAGTCGCGAAGGGATACTCACTTCATGGCACAATGTGCTCATGAGCCAGTGAATGGGCACAAATGAGCCGTTAGCAGACTTCAAAACCAGTTCTGCATCAATACCATCAGTAGAACTCTTAAGGACGTTCCGAACGTGGTAGTGTGCGTACCAATGGTCTCTCCATTGCTCCAATTTCGCCCGGCAAACACCCGGTTGTACTCGTACTAGACAGTCTTGACGTAGTATTCCCAACATAGTGACACTAGAAGCACTCGGATACGCACCTCCTCGAGACTGTTCACGGTGAAACCGTGCTCCTTCATTACGGGTCTCACCTGCGTGGCCAGCGCTCGCATAAGCTGCCGAGCGTCGTCCTCGAGAGTGGCATCGACCATAGGCAGAACTGAGACAAAGTTGATGGGCGGATTCGGGTTAGCTCCGCGCTCGTTGATGCGGACGTGGACCATGATGCGTGCCCAAGTACTTGCCAATATTGTAGTGGATGAATATCAGGAGGCGTTTTACTTATAAGGTACATAGCACAAATATATAGTTTGTCGCAGTTTGGATCATGACCACCACGACGTTATCCAAGAGATCACATTCTCTATTACCCCGCCGACTTCCGACTCGATTATGCTCTGCTGGTCTTCCTTTCGAAGCTCTTCTTGTAGCTCCACACGAACATACGCAAGTCTGTTCAGTTCACAGATGCTGTTCAGTCGCTCCATTTCCTGAGTTCTGGCGTTGTCCTCTTCTAGGCGACGCAACCGCTGCTCCTTCTGTTCCTGTTCGACGGCCATTTTTTCCCTTTCTTTTCTCTCCATCTCTAGCTGTTCTTGCAGAGCGTCTACAACACGTCCTTGCTCCTGGTGCCTCTCCTCTATCGCACTGATCCGAGCCTCTAGCCTCTCCTTGGCGGCTTTGAACTCTGCCTCAAGCCGCTCCTTGTCGCCTTGTAACTTCAGTATCTGCTCGTGCTTACTCTGGATCTCCTCCTTAAGTTCCTCCTTCGTTTCGTGGTCCTTGTCTCGGATCGCCGCCTCCATATCTCTGCGCAACTGAGCCACTACTTCTTCGTGATGCTCTCTCTGCTCATTCAGAACTCGTGTCAGCTCGAATCCTGCGGAGGTCTGTACGATATCCTTGTGCTCGTTGACCAGCTCCTTTTGAATGAGCAGCGTGGCAGGTTGGTTATGAATCAGGTATCGTAGAATGCGGTGCGTCGATTCTCGCGTGCCCTCATGTCTCAACATCCGCGCACCCTTGTCCAGGACCGCTTTGAAGAAATTAGTCTCCAGCTCCTTCTCCCTCATCTCCCCAATGTCAGGAGCGACTTCACTCCACATGTTCGTTGCGATCAACACGTTTCGCAGCGTGGACTCCCCACAGAGCTCTCGGAACATCTTGAAATTTCGTTTATTTGTTCCTCCCATCCGGAAACCTGATATGCGGTGCATGTATACGATGCCAGCAAGTTTGGCACCATGTTCGTATCTGTATCGTTTAGCTCAGACCAGGAAAATGCATGATAACGGATGACAGACGTCTGTGAGAGGTATGCTCCTATCATTGCTAAGATGTCCGTATCACTACGGCTGGTATCATCGAAGCCGGGAGTGTCGATCAACGTGACTTGCCGGCCGTTGAGCTCAAAAGGTTTCGTTGCTTGCACCTCACTGGTGCAACTTTCGAGACCCTTTCCGACTGCAAAGTCAGACCCGCTGGCTTCATTAATGACTGAGAGCGGTCGTCATTAGCGGTTTCCTTTGATAATTTTTCGCTTTCGCTGACGCACATGTCGTCTTGCCGCTTCCAGAGGGCCCCATGATACTGCAAATGTAAGGTCAAGAAGAGATCCGAGGGATATAGTCGGTTCATACGCTATTCTGATGCTCAGTGCCTTAGTCATGATCGATGTATGGAGGTGGGACAGAGGAGGGCTATTGCGCATCCAAGACAACCACCTTGTCTGGCTTATGAACCTTCTGAAACATCGTCCTCACCGAATCCATGCTGCAGTCGAGACACCGCCGGATCAATATGGCACGTGCTATAGAAGCGTGATGAGGGGAAAAAGGCCGAGCTTCGATGGGCTTTCTCTCTAATATTGAGAGGTTGAAGACCATGTCATGTGTAAGGGTATTATGTCCTCTACGCCCGGACCAACACTTCAGATCAAGGACGCTCGAAACCGGCCATGTGACTCAATGATGCGAAGAGCGTTACTCTTCGCATCCATGATCCGAGTCACGCGGATACAATCTTCCATTTCCTTTCATTATATCATACCTCATGCTCACATTACACAGTTCCCTATCTTTCCCGCTCAATTTTCGTTGTACCATGCGCTACGAATCCTTGTTCCGGCCTATTCGACTACTCGAAAACGTATATAAAGCGTTCATGTACTTTCGTATCCAGCAGCAAATTCTATATCCAGATCCCCGCTCCAAGCACAACCGCAAAGCCTCACAGAAAGTCTCCGTCTCAAATGTTTTCCTACTCGCCTCAATTACCTTTGCACTCGTCTCGTATCTACTTCGTTTCGTTCACAATTCCCTGCCGAACTCATACCCAGCCTTACACATGAGCTCGAGTATGTAGCTATTGCTCGAAATTATGTTTGCATTTGGTTTGCATTCGGTCAACATTCGGTGCCGCAATTCTGTACTGAGTTGCTTCTCCCACGCAGTACAGTTATTGTGATTTCAACATGTACCATCAGGTGCTGCTCTCACTGTCACATTCATTCATACAGGCCAATGTACAGCGGGTTTAGAACCTGTCTTGAAGATGCTTGAAGTAAGACCTTTGTTTTATATCTGTGTGGGTATTTATACCTGTGTGCTAATTGACTTGCTGTCGCAGGCGGCGCCAACCTGCGAGGGTCTATTACCACAGCCGTCCAACGATGCCATCCTTCTAAATCAGGCCTCAGGCCCAGATCTTGATTCTCCAGGTCGTGTGAGACCGTGCCAGAGTCACGGTGGATGGTGCAATCCCCGGCCACTGCATGGGGATCTACTCGGAACTCCTGGCCGTTGAGGCTTGCCACTGGGCCGGTCATATCAAATGCCAGTTCTCATGGTTTGGTGGCAGACCAATCTGGCATGCTACCTTTGAAGCCGCCGAGATAACGTTGACTGATAACTCTCGGCTGGCGAGTTCCAATCATGGCCGGTTGCTCTATGGGCGCTCCACGGGAACCCACAGCATCTGTATGCGCCTCTGGCCAACGTGTCGCCGGGCCATAAACCCATCACGCATCCTGGCTTGGAGTTACTCAATTGTTTCCGACAGTTAGCACGTCCAGTGGTATTCTCTTGTATTCAAGCGAGCGGCCTCGGACGCCACATCGTCGTGTTGGACGAGATACTGCATGCCTTTTTTACTCCAAGGAGCAACTGAACTGAAATAATGAACCGACCACTGGGATAATAAGATTATATATTCTACCTCGTGACCTAACCTCACACTAACCGGTGTCAGAGCGCCCTCAGAAGGTTTTAATTCCCCTTTGCCTTCATTATATGGACACGTCGAACGCGGCAAGCCAACCACCACACGTAGCTGCTCGTATAGGGCTTAATTACACGTCCATGGCCTCCATCTTCTCTCTAGAGCAAGGTATAAATCTCTTGATTGCAAGTCCAGACAACTCACAAGGCCTCCTCGAAAGTCCTGTCTTCAAAAGAAACACTCTCTGTTCCACCCTCATTTTTCCATCTTTCCAGGTTAACGAGGTACGCCGCGAACTTTTCCTTGGAGAACCGATATTAACACAACCTTCACTGAACCAGCTGCTGATTCAGTTCAACCCATACGGTCAAATTTGTTCGACACAATGGACTGCATTCCTGGTAGACCGACTTCATTCATTCGAGGGGGTGTGAAAAACATAAATTCCACTCGCTAAAGTACCCAGTGCGGTCAGCGAGTTTCCGCCGCGTGAATAGTCGTCTGCCCTGGCTGGGTTGCCAAAAGGTCACTGATGTCAGGTGGAATCACTCAATATTCGAGGCTTGAGAGGAGATTCTTGCTTGCACACGTAATTTTACTATATTTTGCGTCGTTGCATCGCTGATTACGGAGTGAATACCCCCATGGCTTGATTACTTATATGATCGGTTTTTGTAGTTTGTATGATTGAATGTTATGATGATGGCTAGCACGACCGCCCGACAGTCTGGAATTTGATCTCCAGGTCTGGTCATCTTTATTTTGGTCATGAGACTCAGATATAGGTCAGTCACTGGAAACTAGGTTCTAGACTTGCTGCCTCTGCCAAACCTGCTGGCAGAGCTCGGTAGTTCTGCCCACAACATTAGTACCGCCCGTATCTATTGGTATTATAGTGTTGTTGGTAAAATGCTGTCATTCAATTGCTGGCAGTAGGTCGGAGACCGTTGGCAGAAGTCGGTAGAAGTAACTGTGAATCATAGTTTTATGATCCAGTGTTGTTATTAACTCGTTACAAGGGTGATAACTTAACCCGGTTATAACCGATTAAGAGGTTAATTAAATGAATCTGCTGTTTTGGTAGGCTTTAGTAGGGTTAATACACCAGAAGTTATTTGGCGTTATATCAGGTTGGTCGGGGGTTCAGTGGTAAACTTTTAATCACTAAGGACTCAGAGGTGAGCTCTTTATCAAAAAACTTTTCAGTGATAGCTGAATCCGTATGTTTAAAGATGGCCTTTCTTCGCAAGGTGTTTGTCGGCACCAAGCAAAGTTTCGGCAACACCGGATAATCGATGTGCAGACGCGACCAAGGCATCTCGTTCCGACGCTGCATATGCTCTGCTTGACACTACTCGAAGTTGGATAATGCTTATATCCAAGTGTACTGGCAACAGCTGGGCCTCCAGCCTGATCTGAACCCTTGACTCTGGTTAGTATAGAATAGATTGATAATGCACTACTTATGTTCAGTTAGAAGTGGATGTTCCACATCCAGTACGCGTCCAATTGGTCCGTTGAGGTTAGATGGCATGAGTTTGGTTCCAGGACATGATAAACATGGAGAGTTTGTATGAGCTAATGCTGAGCTAGCTAATGTCACGCCCATCCGAGGATGCATCGACGGAGAGCCATAACACACTCAAGCTTAATGCAGGGATCACGCGAGCATGTCCGTCGAGCTCAGATTTGGCTCGAATGTGCCTATCAACAACTATAGCTACCGGCAACTACTCAGTCAATTAACGCCACTAACTCCGGTTATTTCGCGGTTAATTCCAGGCAGGATGTACCAGTTATAACCTATTAGAGCGTATTTGCAGCGCCCAAAATCAAAATCTCTTGGCCAAACAAGATAAACTTGTCGTTGCAAATACGATAACCCGGGTTAACGTTAACGTTACAGCTGTGTGCGAAACTAATGAAAATTTTAGGGCGCGCGTGACCAAAAGGGAAATCGATAGTCCCGGACACCTGGGGGACTTCCTGCAGCTCGTAAACAGTTTTCAGACAGTATTAGCTCTTCATACTGCATTTTCCACGCGTCATACACATATAACTCTATGGTAAATCAAAATAAAACCAATCCCGAAAGGCCAACAATTAAAATCCCGGCTAGACAGCCCCAAACTGCAGTTGTCGCTGTCGAACAGCGTAATGACGAATCACAAATCGTAGAACTCTTGTGCATCAAACGGACCTTCAACAGCACGTGTTGCAACATAGCCGTCTACCGTCATGGCAGCACATAGCGAATAGCGGTCTCCTCGAACAGATACATCACTAAGCTGTGCACGTTGTCCATAGGGTGCTCGTCCGTAACCCCACGCGTAAGTACGCTCGTTCTTGCTAGTTTCATCGAGGACGACAAACTCTGAGCCATCGCTGACGAGGTCATTCCGAAGACTATCTTTGAACGCTTGTTGACGGATATCATCACGTTCAGACGCAATCTTCTGAAGCATTTTGCGAGAGAGGCTAGCTTGATTGAGATTGCGTGATAAGGATGATGAGCTGATGATGATGTCGTGTTCGACTGCAAGCCACGTGCAAGCTTCATCGAGGAAAAGGTCTGAATCTTCGGCATAGAGGTCTTCGATCGCTGTCATGAGTGCTCGCGTGATCATTTGTGTGTGGCCGACGAGTGGAGAAGGGGGCCTAACAACAGTGCCGAGTTCTTCAAAGATCTTTCACCAACGAAAGCAGCTGGCCCGAGAAACACCGAGCACTTCGCAGAATCCAGATATCCTTGAGCTCCCAACCCTGATCCCAGAGGCTAAGTGCACATTCTTTCATATCTTTGCTTATTCGTCTGTTAACCATGTCGTATAGGGGATGGAACAAGGTAAAGGTTCGTCGTTTCGATATCTGCTGGCATCAAACGTCGTCTGAATGGCTTACAAGGGGATCTTCTTTTTGGTACGCGCGCCCAAAATTTTTCATGAATCTCATTAGTTTCGCACACAGTTGTAATAACAACACTAGTTTAATGTCTGATCATCACCAAAACACCATCAGATCTCGTCAATATAGCATTTTATACATTCTCCCGGTCGGCCCCAGATAGCGGATTCGAGCTGGCATTGACCTTGCTTTACAAGGTAATGGTCGGACTATCTGTATGAGCAAACTTCAGGTGGCAATCTGCTGGCAGATATAATCTGTTCGAAAGGGGTTTTCAGGTAGATGGATCTTCCAATATCGCCATGAAGAATAACATTCAGCATATAAAAGCAAGCCGTCTTCCTACTGTCCCGTTCAGATTCATTTGACCACATATCACACACTCACAGACAATGCGTCTCTCCGTTATCCTCGCTGTTGCTGCTGCTTTGACAGCACAAATATCTGCCAGTGACGCTGCCACCGACGCTGCCAGCAACGACTGTCCTATCTTTTGCACGCATGATATTGAATGCAAAGGCTGCGATGTTTACCCGCGCTATATATGCGTGAGTATGAGTAGTTTGCGTCCTGGATTTAGTCACATGACTCACCGACGTGGTAGTTCATCGGGGTCTGCCTCAGCTACTAGTGTGACAGTGAGTCGTGTTTCTGCTTTCATATCGGCGCAGTGGTTGATGGCACGACACGTGAGTTGCTAGTAGTTTGTTGCGGAGTTAATCAACGCGTTCGCTTCTGAACAACTTCAACTGCCGCTCAACCAATGGAGATCTTAGAAGTCTACGCTTGAATGCATGGGATATGACTGAAGTACTTACGACGCAGTTTTGTAGTCTTGTTATCGGTACCCCACTGAATAGTGGCATATATGGGAAATCGTCGTTGTCAATTTGCGAAAGCTCAAGATCCAGAAATGGCACTTGTGAGAGTAGTAGGTCATGAAAGTCGATGCGAGTCACAAGGGAGGATTCGGATTCACTAGTTTCGATGTCCTCGGCCCAAGAAAGCATCCAGGCGCGAAAGAAGTGTATACATATAGCAGAGACTTATTCGGCCCGGTGATTTCAGCATCTCGTCAGACGCTGTTGCAGACGATGGGAGTGGCAGTCCAGATGTTTCTGTAGTTGACTGTCTCTGTCAACTCTCGAGCTTGTTCGCATGCAGGTGGTTATACCCTTTCCGAAAATCATCGACCTTGAGTGGCTAACTTATGATTGTTTTTTCCCCGGGCATGTGGTATGTGTCACCATAGTCGGTTTCCTCGCGTTCAATAATGGCCTGGAGCATTCGATTGAAATATTCCTGAATGACGTCACCCGCGCAGAATGAACCTGGCTTTCCTATGACGTTAACAAGAGGTTGTTTGAGAATGGCGAGTTGAAGATCGGTGCCACATTTGAGCTCGATATTGTAGACGGTTTCGAGTAAGTAAGTCGTATATTTTGAGTGGCTGGACCCTGCGAATGTAAAGAGCATGATCTATAGTTAAAATTCAATTAGCGAGACGATCAGAGAGTTATACCGCAGCAGCATGCCTTGACCGTATTTCGTAGACACGCCCTACGTCGCCCTCAGCTACAGAATATGCAAACTCGGGCGACACCAAAGCATCACGGATGAATGCTATCGACTGAGCGAGAGCATGGTCACCCTTGAATGTTGTACTTGATTCTCGTGACGGCCATAGACTACCATGAGGGACGCCATTGCTCCATCACGACTCACTTCCTGCATGCGGTCTCAGCTTCGCGACAGAGCTTTGTTCTTTGGTCGTAGAATACATCAATGAGAACTCGTCATCTCCTTCTGTTAACCGCCCGTCCGCGTTACGTAGCCATGCATCAGTGATGGCTATATTACTGAGTAGTCTTGGTTTTCCCGCGTGCGGCGTGCCTGTGAGTTCGTCGAATTGGTTCATCCTTGTCGTCGCGGAGGCGGGATACATAATGCAGTAAGTCTGCAAGTATCCAGCTCAGATCCTTCAGCAAATCTAATACCGTATGAAGGTTGTCTCCTCGGTAAGATGCGCGAGGGCTGCGGAGTATGCGAACTCGCACAAGTGCATGGGTACTGGCACGAATGCGTTCGGAATGGGGAGGGGCGGTGTTATTGTCATGGGCACACTGCCTTCTGTTTCATCGAGCCGCACTACAAACTGCGACCAACAGCAAGCTGCCGCCGCCGCTGCTCCCAACAACCAGGAGGTTCCCCGTGTGCAACAGCAGCCTGGGACAGCCCAAAAGCACTCGTTCCCAGCAGCAGAAGTGGCAGCGGGAAGCAACAAAAAGGTACGCATCACTCGGGCACCTATCAATGCCGGACTGCTTCCCTGCTGTGCAGTTTGCCTCGGGAGGAACCCACACAGGACAATCGAGTGCGCGCTCACCCACATGTGGAATGGGAACCATGAAGCGTTCTCAGAGCGCATTACCAAGGCCTTGTGGACCAAAGATGGGAGACAGATATGCACCGCCTGGCAGCGGGACGAAGGATGCACAACGCCAAAGCACAACGCCAAGCACATGTGTTCAGGGTGCGGGGCTACCACTCATGGAGCCCAAAAATGTCCTCGAGCACAGAAAGCTGCACCCTCAGACGCCGTATAAAGCAGAGGCTTGGGAGCGCGAACTCCGACGCGCAGGACTTATCGATCGTTTTAGTAAGATACCAGAAGGTTTCCGTTCGGGCTTCAGAATAGATTTCCCACCTGTCCTCGCTGTACAAACCCCCCCAAATAAAGATTCAATTAACGAGTATCAGAACGAGTTCGATCTCATCATACAGAAAGAACTCGAAACAGGGAGATATGTAGGACCGTTCACGGCGGACTCCCTAGAGCAACTGATCGGTCCGTTCCAATCCTCCCCGCTTTCAATCATCCCAAAGCCGGGGAGACCCGGAAAATTCAGAATTGTCCAGAATTTCTCCTTCCCGCACTCAATCACAACAGATTTTCCAAGCCCATCCATTAACTCGTACATCGACGCTAACAACTTCCCAACAACTTGGGGAAAGTTCTCCATAATATATCAAATAATTGCCACGCTCCCCCCAGGGTCAGAGGCAGCCACGAGGGACGTCGCAGATGCCTACAGAACAGTACCCCTGCACCCGTCGCAGTGGCAAAGTGGGGTAGTACGAATCGCGGAAGACTCATTCTGTGTGGACACATGCACAGCATTTGGGGCTACCCCGTCAGTGGGCGTTTATGGCCACAGTCGCAGACGCTGGGGCAGAGATCTTCCGATACCACGGGATCGGCCCCCTCGACAAGTGGGTAGACGACCTATATCTTCTTCAGAATCTGTAGAGAGTACTTCGAAGAGTACAACCGAACGCGTGCCGCTTGGTCAGAAACTTTCGCCAGAGAAGGAATACACCAGTCAGGAAGCCACTTATGGTATGGAAAGATATGTCCGAACACCGGACAGCTTGAGGAACGCAGCAAGGACTGTGCTAATCCGCTAAAAGACTTATCAGAACACTCTCCCAGATCAGAGCATGATAGACAGTTCAACTGCTGCCTCCAAGACATTGACGAGGTATCAGAAGACATGGGCATCCTATGGAAGCTGATAAAAGATCAGCCGTTTCAACCGTCAACGATCTATACAGGTTGTCTCTGGGACATTAAGCTTAGAACGGTCTCACTAAGTTCAGAAAAAACTGACAAGTACCTCCTAACGATTCATGAATGGAGAAAGAGAAAAGCAGCACGTCCTACTCAACGTGCAAAAGCTATACGGCAAGCTATTACATACCTGCGCTGCAGTACCTCGAGGACGGGCATATTTAACAGGACTTGAAAGCATGCTGGCATTGTGCAGGAGCAAGCCGTTTCTCCCACACAGACCTGACAAAGGCATAGCCGAGGATCTGATGTGGTGGTCAGCACTGTTACAATCCTGGCGGAGCAACAAGGAACATATACCCATCACTCCTGCTCAGAGACCATCATGCATTTTCAGATGCTAGTTCGGGCATCGGGATTGGAATCGTCATCAGAGAGTTCTGGAGGGCTTGGAGACTCATACCAGGTTGGAAGACGCAGAACGGGAAACGAGATATCGGATGGGCTGAAGCAATCAGGATTTGAGTTCCTTATATACACTCTCGCCATTCTCCCTGGCTTTGACAGCAGCGTCCTCGTATGTGGGGACAACACAGGGATTCGTGGAAGGATGGTGGAAACGGCGTCACCGCAACACAGCCGTCAATGGCGTGTTTCGAAGAATCAATCAATTCTTACACGACTTACCCAACCGTCTCAAAATCACTACAGCCTACGTGGCCAGCACATCCAACCCAGCCTGACGAGCCATCCAGAGGCATCTACAGACCAAGCAGCCTACTTCTTCCCAGAATCCCCATTCCAGAGGAACTTAGCCCATTTGTCATTGACACCACCGAACCTCTCTCCCCTGCAGAAATCCGCCATCTGCACAATGGAAATTATTCCGCTCCAGCGACTAAGTTCATCAATCGAGCCTTCGTTAGACAACAAGCTGCAGAAAGAGCACTTGCCTCAAGGATTGAAGAAGACCACTTCATCAACAGCGCGCTCAGGGACGAATGATGCCAAACCTCGCTCCCGTTTCGGAGCAGTGTTACTGGCCACAAGCACGGTAGTGCCTACACCCCATGCCTACCAACAGAACCTCACCCCCCGCCCATGCGCCCTTCGCCTGCACTGTCTAGCATGAGATCGATTAAGATTATGGGTCCCAGCAGGGAATAGCTCTAGACAGTTAGAGCCGTCCGCAGAACCAACCACTCACCAAATCTCAGACGCGCAGCTCAATCGAATACTAGAAGTGATGGGGGTGTCATGGGTGCAAGCAATCAACCAAAGAGTTATATGGAGCAGGACTCCTTGTATTCCATGTCTACTGTGATTCGCAGAACATCATAGAAGAAAAGCGGTGTCCGATAGATTGGACACTGCTTCTCGAGTTCTTCTCGAGCTGTGCTGGATCATACTCGGGATCAGCGCTATCAAACTACGCAGCAGGGCTGAAAGCTTGGCACCTACTTACACGGCAAGGACTGGCAGATTCCCCATCCAGAACTGAAAGCCTGTGCTCGATGGAGCAACAAACCTCGCTCCCCAAACGTCAAAGAAACCAAAGAGAGTCCCTTTCACACCTGTTTTCATCACAGAAATACGTTCACATCTGGACCTTAACTCACCACTTGATGCCGCAGTTTTCGCATGCCTCACCACCACATTCTACTCCATTGCCAGACTGGGAGAATTCACCGTCAGCGCCATCAAAGATTTCAGCCCAAGAAAGCACATCACTGAGGGGAGGAGTATCAGAATCAGAAGACCACAATGGTCTTCCAGTCACGAAGTTTCGCCTACCGAGCACCAAGGTTTCTCCAATCGATGGAGAAGACACATACTAGGCAGCACAAGACGGGCCGTCAGACCCAAAGATGGCCCTGCAGAACCACTTCCTGTGTCAACCCAGCGGTCAACGAAGCGCACCTCTTTGCGTGGAAACATCCAAAAGGCACCCGCCCCCTATTGAAGAAGGAGTTCACCAAAAGAATCACTAGCGCAGCACAAGCAGCAGGCTTACCAGACCTCAAAGGTCACGGCTTGTGGATCGGCGGCACCTTAGAGTACCTACTCAGGGGAGTTCCTTTTGACATCGTCAAGTCTATGGGAAGATGGTCAGGAGACGCGTTCACACTGTACCTGAGAGACCACGCACTCATCTTAGCACCATACATCCAAGCAAAACCCTACCTCGAACCATTCACGCGCCATATGATGCCAGCAGTGCGCTAAAAAGCAAAAGTGAGTACACCTCCTAAAACCCGGGGCATCAAGCTTCGCTGTATGCGTCGCCGCACTCCTAACACATGGGAACACAGCTCACCTGACGCACAGGTTCGGACCCTTGTTTCGGGCCGTAAAAGCCCTGCCGGCCTTTCGCCCAAATACCCAACAAGTTCCTGAACTCCGACTTGATCCAGATGAACGAGTTCTCCCATAGTATTGAGTTTGATTGTAATCAAGCATTATTCTACCATTATCAAACTCACCAATCCTGCAAAGCGTCACTTAGCCGCTAACGCGCATAGACAGCAATTTTGCTCGGCACACTCTAAAATTAAAATTTTGATAGGAAATATAAACACGATTTCCACGGAGATTACGTAAATGTCCACTTTTGAGTTGAAATTAAAAAAGTCCCACATTACCGTCCCCAAATGCCTCCTCTGACCAAAAGGCAGAAACAAGCAAAGTGCTTCAATAATGCACTTATAGAAGACCTTTTAGAGGTCTACCTTGACCCAGATTAACTGCCAGAAGCAAATGACGAAAGTGATACTGACTCTAACTCCTCTGACTTAGACTATGGAACACTCTCATTCAGTCTCATTGATGAGGTAGAAGAGGTATCAGACAGCAACTCAGAGAGCATTTCAGAGTGCAAAGCATCTGTGGAAACTATGGTTAATATCACAGGAGAAAAGCAGAAGGAAAGAGAAGACATTCTCAATACACTGGCTGAGTTTGAGGCTGAGGAGACTATGCAGAGAAATGTGCACAAAGAGCAGTAGTATCTGCTTGAAAGTTTTGGGCAGGTATCATGGACTCAGTGAGTGATGTCAATTTCACACAGTCACCTATATTGAAGCATACACTTTCTTGGATACAGCAGCAGATAACAATGATGACAATGACAGTTTGGAGCCACCTCCTGTCATTGACATTGTCAACACTCTGATCATCAAAGCAAAGAAATTCAAATGATTCACCTCATTGATGCATTTGCATGCCCTCAAGCAATTCATTGAACTATGGGAGAAGTACAAGCATATTCCAAGAATTTGTGCACCCATGATAAAGGCCAATCATACTGTCGCAGTCTCCATTGGTAAAGGCCTGTACATGGCTTGAAAATTATGCACACTTTTGTATGCTGCCTCCAATGAGTGCTGGCAAGCACCATGCCCACCCATCTCTGCTTAATAATGAGTGGATTGCACAAGCCATATGTTGGTACCTGACAGTCCTTGCTGATGGAGAGGTGAGTTTGGGGCCAACAGCCATGAAATGTACAGATTGACTCAAAAATAATCATAGATAACACCACTGCTCCTGTCATATACCTGATCCGACTGCTCTGATATCAATATCCGCTCCGCCTTCCGACCACCTCTGCTCCATCCATCCTCCACTCCATCCAATCACAGTCTGCATCCGCTCCTACGCTTCCACTCAACTGCCCGACCGGTCACCTTCTAGAACATCTCCACTCAACTGGAACCTCTTTCCCCTTTTAGATATATACTTTCCCCTTTGGTACATAGACCCTTACTTCCAGATCACCGGTAACTCCTCTTACCGCTCGATTGGTGATCCGACGCATACATATTGATATCCGCTCCAACTTATGTCTTCGCCTGTGTAAGTACTTACAAACTATATCATTGGTACATAGCTTTACAACATAAGTCTCCTAATCACTGCCTCACACTTAGAAGTATATAACATATCCTGTACTTAGATATTTTCCCCAGTCTTAATATTACTTGTCTTCTTGCAGTTTCTACTTGTGAGAATTCTCAGTAGGACCCTGCCTCCTCCAGACACAAGTTTCATCTTGTTGTCACCTCCGACTTTCCGCTCCGACTTAGAGCCGTGCTCTAAGTCTCCCCCTTTACTTCTCTGCCCCTATCAATCATCCCCTTTGCTCCTATCCACCCTCCAGCCTTATCCTCCGCCTTCTCCGCTCCGCTCCTAGTCAGCCCACTGCTATTAGCACTTACCTCCCTGACCCTCCAAGCAGACCAAAGTGGTCCACTCGTCCTATTGTTGGACAACATTGGACCCGCTCCAAATTCAGGGCATGTTACGGCTGTGTTCTACTGAACTTCTTTTCTTCCTTTTCCCTTGATCCACGCTTACTACGCATGTCTCTTATCATGCTATATTTAGTTCAGTATTACTCAGACGCCTCATTGCTTACACATGTGCTTACTGATACATACCTATTATTATGTCATGCCCTGTACCCATACTACTATATAAACCATAGCTAGGTGACGCTGTTTCTTCAGCTTAACCTACACTGATTTTCCTTTGAACATTCTGACTTGATTCTAAGTCACCTCTTTGGTACTTAGCCTTACTTGACTTGGATGTTCTTAGACTTTGTCTAGAACATATCATAAGACCAACAGTCTTATTGTTGATTGTTTGCCTCCATTACACTTGGCATAACAGGGCACATACTCAGCTAAGGGCGCAGCACAAGAGCTGAAGCCAAGCCCCAACCCCTCTGCTTCTTGAGCCCGGCACGGTACCTAACAGCTCCTCATGAAACAAGTTAACACAGTAATCATTCTGTCACTTGGTCTTGATCTCAATGATCAAAAAATATCTGAGTCAACAGCATGGCACTGGCTAGTGAAACTTGGATACAAGCTGAAAGAAGTAAAAAAGGGTGTCTATGTTGATGGTCATGAGCATGAAGATGTGGTTGCTTACTGTCAAAATTTCCTGGAACAATTCACTGCAAATGAAAGGTAATGAGCATATTTTTTCACATCCATATCTTTGCTGATAAAGTCAACGACTGCAGTCATACCTACCAGGATGAGGACCTCGAACCAGTTGAACCAGTTCTTGCCCATGGAGAGAAGCTACATATACCCATAATGCATGACAAGTCAATCTTTTATGCCAACGACCTTTGACAACATGTGTACATTCATGACAGGAAGATGCCACTTCAAAAAAAAGGTCATGGGCATGCAATCCATGTCTCCAACTTTATTGTTGAGCAGACAGGGAGGCTCGTGCTATCAGAGGCTCAACTTCATCAAAATGCCACACTGCCTGAAAGTCAGTGACTGAAGCACACAGATGCCCATGAAATTATATACCCTGGAAAAAACCTATGACGGGTTTTGGACAAATGATGAGCTTATAGAACAAGTGCAGTCATGAATAATCATATGACTTGATTGGAGGAATGTACTTACAGTGCATTGAGGCGCAAAAAAACAATCCCGATTTTTGAACACATGTTTCCAAATGCTATTGCCGAGTTTACATTCAATCAATTGTCCACTCATGGAGCATTTGCAAAAATGCACTAAATGCAAGGAACATGAATGTCAAGCCAGGCAGTAAACAGAGAACAATGCATGACACCTGCATTCCAATGGACAATCCATGTCCAGGGCTTTGTGGATGGCATCAAACAATGAACTTTGCTGGTGACCTCACACCAGATCATCCTGACTTTGAGTTTTGTGGTCAGCCGAAGGGAATGTAGTGTGTGCTCAAGGAATGTAGCCTAATTTCAGTTTTGAAGGTGGCAAATGGAGGGAAGGCTGTTGGGGAGTGTCAGACATGCAAGTTGTTGTGGGAAGCTCAGGAAAAATTATGTCACAAGGTACAGGTGGCAACATTCACAGACAAGTGTGACGACTCTTTGACAATAATGTCCTAAAGCAATCAAACCAGGACTCAAACAACAAACAATAAGGGAAATGGAGAGGAGTCAACCAGAAGGTGAGTGATAGATGTCAAGTAGATTCCTACGGAAGGTACAAGAGGTTTAGACTAAGGAACTACTGACTACTGACTAGGTTTTATATACTATGAGAATCATGCATGGACCAAGACAAGAAAGGTAGTTCAAGGGTATAGGGTTTAGAAGAAGGAACATATAGATGGCAGTGGAAGATCTGAATCTTAATGGAAGAGAAGAGACGGAGATTAAATAGAAGATCTATCTGTGATCTTTAGATGGTGATCCAAGATCCAATGAGAGGAAGATTGATTGATGACTTGATTGGAGATGGAATTGGCGATGTGAAGGGAGAGATGTGGGTGTAGGGTACTGGTGCTTCTGTGACTAGTTGACAGGATGAAGGGTGATATATGTGACGTGCATGAAGAGGTGAAAGGGTCACACAACTTGGGCGCTTAGACTTAGACACCATGTTGAGGTAGGAAAAATGATTTGTTTGGGGAACTTGTGACATGCATGCTGACATTGTGCAGGAATCTTCATGTAACACCTGTTGCATGTGGAAGATGCTTGCAAATCAGCAAGACTTCAAAGATGAAAAGCCATACCTACAGCTCATCATTGAAGCAGCTTGTCATATACCGGATCTGAGCACCTCCAATACCACCTGTGAACATCCCTATCACTAGTCTGACCCCCTATTTCCCTGTCCGCTCCATCCCTCCTTCTCTGACAAATGCACAAAGTGCATCCCAGCAGGACTAGCCCTGCTACCTCCACCTGACTCTATTCCACTCCTCCGATACTACATCTATTTTCTCTGACACTATATCCCATACCTCCAGATCTGGAAGGCCAGATTCTCCCCTATGAAAGTCTGGGTTTCCTGTTGTCCACCTGGTGCTCCGCTTTCATCTCCAGACTCATACCTATCTCCTTTTTAGAATATTGCTCTCCAGCTACTGGTTGTACACCTTTCCGTTTTGCTTACTGATCTGTCTGTCTATTCTTCATTTCCGACATCTCTGGACTTGAGTCTGATCTCCTGTCCACCTCCGAGTCTTAGGGTTAATCCTTAAGACTATACCTCCAGCTCTACCTTAGGGTAGTCTACCTCTGTTCCATTTCTACTCTGGACTTGTCTGAAGTAGTCTTACTCTATTCGCTCCTAACCTTCTGGAGTTCCACTGAACTCCCCCCTGTGTCTGACCTCTGGACTTACCCAGACTTCCATCGGACTTCCCCTCTGCCTCTTGGAAATTAAGGGCATGTACTCGGGTAAGGGGCACAGCGCACAAGCTGAAGCCAAGCCCTTTGAGTTGCCTTTCCCTTGAGCACAACCTTAACATGGTTGGACACAAGTGTTGGTTTCTTCCAAAATTTCATTGCAAGCTGAATCCAATCAAGATGTACTGGGGATGGGTTAAAACTCATGTGTGCCACTTATCATATCACTGATCAACCAACTTGTGAATCACCAACTTTTTTCTCATAGATTTCTGGAGTGCTGCCAATGGGACATTCCTTACCATGAAACACCTTGTGCCTGAATTTCTTAATGCCTGTTCAATCAAAACAATACATGCATTTTTGTGAAAAAGTTAGTGGTACATGGGTGCTTACAGGTGCTAAACTATTTTACTATCTTAACAATTCTTTCTCACTTTTTTTTAGAAAAGGACTCAATGCATGTCAAGCTGAATTCGCTGTTAAGAAATACAAGTCAGCATCATTCATTGGTGTGGTCCTGAGTTAATGATGAGCCTTGGTATCCTTGTTGATTAAACAGGTAGTCCATGAACTCCAACAAGCTCCATATGAAGTTCACTTTTCAGTGACCAAATTTTCTACATCTTAGGTTTTTCAAAAAAATATTGAGATGGTCCTAATGTACTACTCTATTGCAGCCTGTCTGTAATATTTTGAAGGTGAAAGAGTACTTTATGGAGGTGTAGATAGGCTTGCAATTTTCAGGCTCACTAGTTGCTGGTTTTGAGTGACTCGCACTGTACAGTATAGGACTGGTCCTTTACCCACCCCCACTCCTTTACCCACCTCAGGTAAAACTCCTCATTTTATTTTATTTTTTTGTGTCAACACATAGAAAGGTATTAAAGATGTAATCCAAACTGACATTTCTACAGTATATGATAAAGAATTAATGTTGGTGATGTTGTGCATGACACAAATTGGTTAAATTTGCCATCTCTGTGAATTTTATGAAAGTTGTAGTAGCTTCAATGATTTTTTTGGGGCAAGACTAAATGGTAGGATATAAAGTATATAATTTGAATATCATTTCACCCTGCAACAGATTTCTGAAAGCCTGCTTTTTCGTGCTACAGAGTACATGGAGTGAACATAGGTAATTTATGAAGGTCTTATCTTGGTAAGTGTGTCCCACATCCCTGTCATGTGGTTCAGCTTTCCACATCTTGTGATCTTATCATTGCCTTTTTGAGTTGTTTTTGTTATGGCGCTGTGTGATGTGATGACTAAATTGACGTGGGTAAAGGACTGGTAAAGTCAAAGATAACACTGTTTTCACTGATCTTGTTAAGACCATGCTCAGGGGTAAGACGGAGTCTGAGGGGCTTGGCTTCAGCTTGTGTGCTGCACCCCTTACCTGAGTATGTGCCCCTAATTTCGGATTGTAGTCCGACATGAGTTCTACAAGCTCTGACAAGACATTGGAGCAGAGGTCCTCCGAAGGAGGACTAATGGACTACTAGATGAGCAAGGGAATGTCAGGTGGAGGTTGGTCCGCCTGACAAGGGAGAGGTGGAAGACTACTGTGGTCGGAGCTGACAGTAGGAGTGGAGTGGGAGAGACTGCTTGCATGAAGTCTGAAGCAGAACAGAGACAAGGAGGTCAGATGTACAAGAGTATTGGCCACAAGTCCGACGCATGGGAAAGGCAGCTGAGGCACAGGAAGTTGGACGAGTGGAGGAGGTGGCCGACCTAGGGAGTCAATCCCCTAGGCTGGCAAACAGGAATTGACTTGGGTTAAACCTAAGTCAAGAACAGAAGAGCAGGGCTTAGAAAAGGTAATATTCAGACTAAAGATCTACAGACAAATGTACATAAGTTTATATACTCTAAGTAAGTAGCATAGCATAGCAGAAGGCTATGTGCTGAGTGTACAGAATTATTTAGAAGATGACTGAGACATATGAGAAAGGGGCTCGGAGAACAGTATGTACGTGATGGATCAATAATCACTCTGGGTATAAGGATTACTGGTGATCCTAAAAGGAGGAACTATGATACTAAAAGGAGATAGGACCAGTTTAGTGGTTCTTAGTCTAGGGGTGGACCGGTGAGGCAGTCGGGCAGACCAATAGTCAGATGGAGCAACACGAGAGGAACTGGAGGAACCAAGTGGGCTGGAAAAGCAGGAGATGGTGGAGGGAGTAGGAGTAGGATTGAGTGGACCAATAGGGCAGGAGGAGCAGAGCTCCAGATAGTGTCAGATGGTAGGGATATGATGTTGGAGGAAATAGGGGTAGTGTCGGAGGAGCGGAGTGGAGTCAGGTGGAGGTAGTAGGGCTAGTCCTGCTGAGATGCACTTCATGCATTGTCAGAGAAGGAGGGATGGAGCAGACAGGGAAACAGGGGGTTGGACCAGTGGTGAGGATGTTTGCAGGTGGTACTGGAGGTGCTTGGATCCGGTATATGACAGATCTTCATACAACACACTAATGTTGTTGTTGATAGCTCTCAACATTGGTTCCATAGCATTTACATGTATATTGAAGTACCACCGTCTACTACAATTTTCGAAAAAATGACCTGTTGTGTGATGGGATGCATTTCAAAATGTGGTGGGTAAAGGACTGGTCCTATACTGTAAGCAACTTTTTGCACAAAGCATACTGGTAAAGAACTCTACAAAGTCAAAAAAATAGAAGCTACTTTTTTCAGTAGATCCCTCTACTCAAATGTGACTTATTCTCAACTTATTCTCAACTTTTTCACACTTTTTCTGCTTAAAAAGTATGATTGCATCTGTCATATACCTGATCCCACTGCTCCACCAATATTAATATCCGCTCCACCCAACATCCTACTTCCCCCATTATCCTACCACCTCCACTCTGTCCGCCCTCCACACAACTCAGTCAGCTTCCGCATCCGCTCCTACAGCTCCACTCGACTGCCTTGTCGGTTGCCCTCCACATCATCCATTCTACTGTAAATCCTCTTGCCCCATTTAGGTATATACTTTCCCCATTTGCATTTAGTACTTACTTCCTGGATCACCGGTACTTCCTATAACCGCTCAACTAACTGATCCAACGTGTACATATTGATATCCACCCCAACTTATGTTTTTCACCTGTGTTCACTTACAAATTGTATGCTTGGTACATAGCCTCCCACCAAGGACTAACCAGTCACTGCCTCCTACTTAGAAGTATATAAAACATATCCTGTACTTGTTACGCGAAACCTCTCAGATGAGATCTAGTGGCGCTCAACCCGCAAGGGGTGTTTGAAGTGTGGCCTTCAGCGCTAGCCCAGCAAGGAGCTTGCCTGTGCTTAGTCTGAGTAAGGGTTGAAGCCCTTACTTGTGTAGAGTTGATTGGAGTTTCTCAAGGATATGATCCAAGAGAACAGAGTTCAACTCAAGAGTATCATCTCAAGAGAAGATGGTTCGTTGTACAGAGGGAGTTCCCTTAGATAAGAGAAGTTCAGACCCAACAACAAGTATCAGATGAGAACCGAGTAGATTCAAGTTCAAGAATCTATCTACAAGAGAAGTGATATATATACATAAAGTGAGATACCGGTTGAACGGTAAGGGTACAGGGTAAGTGGAGGTATTACCGAAGTATCGGTAAGGGTCAAGGGTATGTATGAGTCACATACAGAAAAGGGTAAGTAGTACCAGTTGAACAGTAAGGGCAAAGGGCATGGGGAATCCCCATCAAAGAAAGAGAACTGGCATAGTGGTAAGGGCATAGGGTTCAGGAGAAGCCGCCGCTTCTCTGATCTAGGGGAAGAAGCAAGAGCTTCTCACATTTCAGGACAGTGGGATCAAAAGGAAAGAGATAGAAATAGAATTGTAACCATGGTCCAAGTCTAGATGAGTCTGAAGAATGAAATGACGTGTAACACTCATGTTACTGTAACAGTACTTAGCTACACCCCAGTCTTAATATTACTTGTCTTCCTGCAGTCTCTACTAGTGGGAATTCTCCATAGGACTTTGCTCTCTCTCTCCGGACACAAGTTTAACTTGTCAGCACCTCCGACCCTCCACTCTGACTTTAGAGCCACGCTCTAAAGTATTCACTCTTACTTCTCTGACTTCCCTTGTCATTCCCCTTGTTCCCTCCATTCCAATAAACTTCCTCTGCCTTCTCTGCTCTGCTCCTAGTTGGATTACCGCTAGCAGCTCTTACCTCCCGACCTGCCAAAGCAGACCTAAGTGGACCACTTGTCTTATCATCGGACATCGTCAGATCTGCTCCAAATTTGGGGCACGTACTCAACTAAGGGCGCAGCGCAAGAGCTGAAGCCAAGCCCTGACCCCTCCGCTTCTCCTTCCGAGCACGGTCTCTAACAGCATCAAAAAAAGTACAATACACCAACAAAAAAGTAGATGAAGTGTAGAAAAAGCAGACAAGCATAAGGGTGTAGACCAGCAGGAAGGTTCACAGTGAGTGATGCATAAATAGGCCTGTCCTCCATTCTTGCTTTCACTGCACCTCAGTCCTTGTTGTCATACACCTGTGAGCCAGCAACTTGTAAGTGAGCATGGGGACTGCATCTGTGTAAAAATCTGTTGCTGAAACCAAGGAGCTGTGATGAGGTCCATCAGATAATTGTGGTTGAGTTTATGTCATTCCAGTTTGCAACCCATCACATGAGTTCTCAGGGTTTGTGTTTGCGATGCACATTGTTCAAATTATTGTGATTGAGTTCACATTGTTCCTGTTTGTGGTTTATCACATGAGTTCTCAGGGTTCACATTCACAATGCATGTGTCATATACCTGATCCAACCGCTCCAATATTAATATCCACTCTGCCTTCTGACCACCTCCACTCCATCCATCCTCTGCTCCATCCAATCACAGTCTGCATCCGCCCCTACGCTTCTGCTCGACTGCCCAACTGGTCACCTTCTAGAACATCTCCACTCAACTGGAACCCCTTTCCCCTTTTAGATATATACTTTCCCCTTCAGTACATAGACCCTTACTTTCAGATCACCAGTAATTCCTCTTACCGCTCGATCACTGATCTGATGCGTACATATTGATATCCACTCCGACTTATGTCTTCGCCTGTGTAAGTACTTACAAATTATATCCTTGGTACATAGCTTTACAACATAGTTCTCCTAATCACTGCCTCACACTTAGAAGTATATAACATATCCTGTACTTAGATATTTTCCCCAGTCTTAATATTACTTGTCTTCTTGCAGCTTCTACTTGTGAGAATTCTCAGTAGGACCTTGCCTCCTCCAGGCACAAGTTTCATCTTGTTGTCACCTCTGACTTTCTGCTCCAACTTAGAGCCATGCTCTAAGTCTCCCCCTTTACTTCTCTGCCCCTATCAATCATCCCCTTTGCTCCTATCCACCCTCCGCCTTATCCTCCGCCTTCTCCGCTCCGCTCCTAGTCAGCCCGCTGCTATTAGCACTTACCTCCCGACCCTCCAAGTGGACCAAAGCAGTCCACTTGTCCTATCGTCGGACAACGTCAGACCCGCTCCAAATTTGGGGCACGTACTTGGCTAAGGGCACAGCACAAGAGCTGAAGCCAAGCCCCAACCCCTCCGCTTCTTAAGCCCAGCACGGTACCTAACAGCATGTCATTCAAGTTCATGTAAGTTCATGGTCCATCAAATGTTGTAGTCTGATTTCCTGCCCTTTTTCTGGGCTAGCATTTGTGTTGTCCACTTGGTCTTCTGGTTCTTCTGCGAGACAGATACTATTTAACTAGCTACAAGAGTAGAAAGTAAGCAAGTACTTAGAGGTAGAAGTGGTATACCAGTAAGGATTCAAACTTAAACAAATTGTTTGTATAGTTATTGGCAAACACCAATGCCAATTCAGGCTTAGCAGAATGCCTCTGTAATGTTTAATTGTTTGTCTTACATGTCGTTGACTCAAAGTCCTACCTTCACACTTAACTTAAGCAATCTGTCCTATCCTTCAGTTAATTCTGCTTGCAAAGTGTGTAACTTTTCTGTCTCTGGCTCTCACTCCCACTGTCTGCTGGTGCTATATCTCACTACCTCTACTAATATTCAGGACATCATTTATGTGGATATGAGTATGTTAATGCCACCTGGACTTGAAGGAGTACTAGGAAAGAATGGTGGCACTGGTGTGTGGGTTAGTCATGGACATTCAGAGCTGATGGGATGTGGTTAGATGCAGATGATGATGATGCTGGAGCCCTTGATGTTGCAACCATGCTCAGGTCATTGAGGAAGTTGAGGACTAGGACAGGAAACCATTCTCTTACACCAGGCATTACTTTGAACCTCAAGTAGATGCAGGCTGGGCATTGCATGAGGGGGAGACAAAATTTGAAAGGTAATCAAGAGGAAGAGGGCAAGGATCCATGGTTGCCCTTTGAAGATGACATAAGGAGTGTTCTCACTATAGGCCTATATCCCCATCATTCCCCATACTTGTCCAACTGCTCTACTCACATTTCAAGGCATTCTAGTCACCTTCCAGACAGTTGTGCTCATACCTGCACACTCCACATACCTGGTTCTGGTCTGCAACACACACACAACCCATTACAGTCACCCAGCTCATCCTACCATGTCCATCCATTGTCCAACTATCCCCATTGGTGCATTATTAGTTTTTTTTTGTCATCTTTGACCTCCTGCAGGTGTTTTACATATGTGTTCCCATACATGATGCTGGTAGAAGCTTATTACATACTGTCCTGCAGCACTCCCACTTGTGCATTCCAGTACCACCTACAGTGTTCCTATATCTTATAGACTACAATAAAAACCCATCACAGACTCACTATTACTTACTTCTCTACATCCCTTCCCTCTGAGTCAGTGTCTGGAGTCACTATCACTAGTTACATTGTTCTTTATCCTTGCACAATCAATTTCCATTCCTATTATCTTGTGTGAGTGATCGCAACCCTTAGCATGATTAACTTCTGGTAGTTCTTATAGTCTTTTACCTTGTTGCAAGTCCTGGAACAGATCCTGGCGTACTTTGCATAGTCCTGCATACCTTGTTGTACCCATTACCTAGTCTTGCCCATTACCCATCTACCTCGTATTATGCTATATGCACTCCACATTGGATCCACATCATACCACTGTCTTATCGCGCCATACCACACATCCACATCCTCCATCTGCAACTCATCCTTGTCCCACAACCCGTGCATAGCCACATCTTCAATCACAAGTCTATTCACTCTTATTCCCCTTCACACAAACACACAGAAGAGTATCTCTCAGTAGCAACCCCCTTGAGATGACTAGCAATACTCACCCTCAAAGGAACATCTAACTAGCTCACTAGTACCTACTTAGGATTCCTTTCTCACAATGCATAAGTGCTCAAATGTGCAGCAAGGGGATCAGGGATCTAAAGATGTCTGACTTACCAGGGAAGAGTGGGATTTGGCCCAGTGGTTCATCAAAAATCTTGGTCAGACATAGACTGATGAATTTTTGAAGTCACCAATAGTACATTGAGAGCATTGACTGAACTCACAATGTTGATGCTAGGACCAGATATGAAACTGCACAAAAGTCTCATTTCATAACAACTGCTCATTCTTGCAGAGGGTTGATGGGCTTCTACATGGACCAGGATGGAGTTTGTCAGAACCATGCCTAATGGGTAGGAAGGAGGTTATGGAGGGGCTTAGCTTCAGCTCATGCACTGTGCTCCTTAGGCAAGTATGGTGCCCTTAACTTTGAAGGACAGATAGAGGCAGCTGAAGATCAACTCTGACATGCTCTGACAGGGTATGGTTGCAGGGGACTATGTCTGATGCACTCTGACAGAGGTAAGACTACAAGGGACTAAGTCCAACGTAGAAAGTAATGCAAAGACTGTTGGAAGACAGAGGTAGAGGTCAGCAAAACTAGTCTTGAGGTTGGAATAGACAATGAGTAAAACTCAAGTCAAGTCAGAGGTTGTTAGGATAGGTTCAAGTCTATATTCATATTGTAGAAACACTACCAGAATACATGAGGATTATATACTACAGGGATCTTGGGCTATGTGGCACAGCATAGCAGAGTACAAAGTAATAACTAAAGGTACAACATACCATAGTGTACAACAGGTTAGATTGGAATGGAGAGTCAGATCATACAAGGTACCAGAACCAGACAGAAAGTGGAATGTACAAAGGGAGCTTATAATGGACTGATATGTACCTCATACCTTGATTGAGTCAAGGGTGGAGGAATGTACCTGACATTGGAGATACCAATTTAGAGGTGGAAGAGCATGGATGATGGCAGAGGACTATAATTGAAGGCAGAGTACTATGAATGAAGGCAGCATACACCAACTAAGGGTGGATGTCATATCCCATATTTCCAGACCTGGAATTCTGGATTCTCCCCTGTAAAAGCCTGGACTTCCGCCCTGTTCCCATCCAGCACTTCAATTTCATCTCCAGATTCACACCTATCTCCTATTAGATTACTGCTCTCCAGCTACCAGTTATACACCTTTCTGCCTTGCTTACTGATCCGTCTTTCTGCATTTCATTTCTGGCTTCATTTCTTTAATCCGTTGTATACTTACTAATAGATTTTTCATATGCTTTGGACATAGCTTTTCACTTTGCTGACTGATTACTTACTTGCTATCTACAGTATATAAACTCCTATAAAACTCAGGCTGTACTTCCTCAGTTCAAATATCATCTTAGTTCCTGCTCATTCCTGTTTCTCTGGACTTGAGCCTGTGTCATATCCCATACCTCCAGACCCAGAATTCCGGATTCTCCCCTATGAAAGTCTGGGTCTCCATCCTATTCTCTGTCCTGTTGTCTGCCTGGCGCTCCGCTTTCATCTCTGGACTCACACCTATCTCCTTTTAGAATACTGCTCTCCAGCTACTGGTTGTACACCTTTCCACTTTGCTTACTGATATGTCCGTCTGCAATTCATTTCTGACTTCATTTCTTTAATCCGTTGTATACTTACTGTTATGACTAACGTTCACCGAATGGTAAAGATCAGATCACAACCACTAGGACTCAGTCACAGATGACGATGAAACAAGATAGGATTGAGCGTGAACGTCTAAGTCTACTACAAGTGTAGAAACAAAGAGGTTAAGTCTAAGGAGTACTTACGCTAACTAACCTACTTTTATACATAACATTGAGTAGGAGATATCTGAGTCTGAAAGAAATCAGCCAATGAGAAAAGAGTCATATGATACTGCAGATGACTGAGCATGACGTCATGATATATAAGCAGATGAGTAAGACGGCAACTAAACAGAAACCCAAGATCCGACCGGTTCTTCTTTCGGAAGCGAGATTGTTCTAGCCCGTGGAGTAGGGGAGCCAATCGGAGATGTGATAGGTGAAGGTGTCACATGACCAGTTTGGGTACTGGAAGTAGCTGAAGGAAAACTGAGAAATGAAAAATGATTCATATTAGGAATTCGTGACATTACCCCCTTTCTAGGATGAGCGTCCTCGCGAATGTAAGATGGTCGGATATTTTTCTGTCTCCATTCAAGGAAATTCTTCACATCTTCTTCTGACTGCCATGTTGCTTCTTCTACTGCATATCCTTTCCATTTTACTAAATACTGCAACTTGCGTCTGTATAGGCGGCTTTGCAATATTTGCTCTGCTTCATATTCTGGGATTTGGTCAACAATCTCTGGAGGCGGACATGTTTGCGGCGGGCGGTCGACAAGTTGAGAGGTTTGATACGGGGTAAGTAGTGATACATGGAAGACCGGATGAATGCGATATTTACTGGGGAGTTTTAACTTGTAGTTTAGCTCACCAATCTTCTCTTCGATTTTGAATGGTCCAAGACAGCGGTCGGACAATTTTTGGCTTGGACGACATTGTTTGATGTTTGTCATGTCTAACCATACTTTGTCACCTGGTTTGAATCTTGGTGCGTCTTTTACCTTATGATCGTAAAAGTGCTTCATTCGATCGTTTGCTATTTCTAGCATCACCTTTGTCTCTTCTTGCATTTCCTTCATCTCAGCTAGTCTCTGATTGGCTTGGGGAATTGTGTTGGAAGAATTAGGGGAAATCGTGAACTCAGGATTATAGCCATAGAGACATTTGAATGGAGAATGTCCAGTAACCGTTATGGAATTGTTATGCGTGAATTCAGCAATTGGAAGCCAAGAAACCCAATCAGACTGACGATAGGATGTGAAGAGTCATAGATACTGTTTGACTTCTTGATTGACTCGTTCCATCTGTCTGTCAGTCTGTGGATGATATGCTGTCGACATGGACCACTTGGTTCCTAGTCTTTTTGAGACTTCCTGCATGAACTTGGACACAAATTGTGTTCCCCTATCTGAAATCACCTTCTTTGGTGTCCTGTGCAACTTCCATACATGATTGAGAAATAAGTCCGCTGATTTCCTTGGAATTTACATCCTTGGTGGTCGGAGCAAGATGTGTTTGCTTGGTAAAGCGGTCAACAACTACTAGAATACTGTCTTTTCCTTGGGAGATGGGTAGATCGACGATAAGGTCACAGCTAATGGTTTGCCATGGTCCTTCTGGAATTTTGTTTGGCTTCAAAGGCCCGTGGGGTTTCGACGGTAACACCTTCATTTGCTTGCATTGATCACATCCATCTACGTAGTCATTGACCCATTTCTGCATTTGAGGCCACCAGTAGTTCCGTGAGACAAGTTCAAGAGTTTTGGCACGTCCCATGTGTCCTGCTGCAGGCGAGTCATGGAAGATCTCTAGCACTGAGCGACGAATTTCCTTATTATTTGGAACGTAAACCAGTCCTCAGAACAAAATGAGTCCATCCTCCATATTTCACTCTTCCAATCCTCTTCTCAACTGTACAGGGGCCTTTTTCAGAGTTTCGATAGCATTTCAGACTTCTGGATCTAAATTGGTGCAGTTTCTGATATGCTTCAACAGCGATTGTTCCCCTTCTATCAGAATCTGACCTCTTTTTGCAGCTTTGATATGGAAAAACTTGGGTTTTAAAAGCATGCGATTGGAATTATCATTTTCTACCCCCCCTCTGTGGTCTGGCCTCCTGGACAGAGCATTGGAAGTGTCGTTAACCTTTCCCTGGTTTGTGTTGCAGAGTGAAGTTGTACTCTGCAAGGAACAAGGACCATCTCGCCTGTCTACGAGTTAACTTCTGGCTTGTCATGAAGTACTCGAGGTTTTTATGGTCCATCCAGATCTCTACCGGATGAGGTGTGCCCTGCACATAATGCCTCCACTCCTCCAATGCACGGATAATGGCTAAAAGTTCTTTGTCGTGAATGTCATAATTTCGCTCTGCATCCTGCATTGATTTGCTAAAAAAAAGGCCACTGGATGCCATAGTCCATCTTCTTCCAATTGAGAAAGTACACCACCAGTAGCGTAATTAGATGCGTCGCTCTCTATCTTCTGTTTCTTATTTGCATCTGGCATGACTAGCACTGGTGTGGAAGTGAAATTGTCTTTCAGAGTTTTGAAAGCCTTCTCTTGCTTGTCCGTCCATTCCCATGGTACATTCTTCCTGATGAGTTCATTCATGGGTCTGGCAATGTTTGAGAAACCGAGAATGAATCGACAATAAAAGTTCGCAAATCCCATGAATCATTGAATGTCCTTGACACAGGTAGGAGTGGGCCACATCAAACGTCCATTTTCGAAAAGAGCTTTGCACTGGAGAGCCAATCAATGAGATCTTGAGAACGAGGGAGAGGGTATGCATTTTGGATGGTTTTCTCATTCAACCTCCGATAGTCCATGACGGGTCTGAGCTTTCCATCCTTCTTAGCAACAAAGAAGAAAGGAGCTGCTACTGGAGATTCAGAATCTCTCAGTCGTCCCAAATCGTATTCTTGCTTCAACCATTTCTCACATGCTTCGTTTTCGGCGGGTGACAGGGGATATGCCTTCGCGTTAGGAGGAAGATCATTAGGATCTTTGAGGTCCACCTTGTGATCCCACTTTTTTGACTCAAGGAATTGAGTAGACTCTTCTTCAGAGAAGACCTTAAGGTAGTCATGGAGCCATTCTGGCACCATTTCTTCTACGGGCTTCTTTTCCTTCTTCTTCTTCTTCTCCTCCTGCTGCGCTAACTCTGATGTGACAGAGCTCTTGTACCTGATCCACACATTTCGTGATGAATCCTCATCCTCAACCTCCTCCATCTCAGGCACATTCTTGGTAGCTCTGTGTCCAACAGTAGTAGCAAGGTCCGATTGTTCTTCATCCTCAAGCCTGACATGTCCTCGCGATTCATGCAGAAAAGGTGATGAGTTGAAGCCTGTCGATTGACTCTGATGATGGGTAGAGGCTTCCTCAATACCCTCATCTTCATCATCTTCTGCTGGTATCAACTCGGGCAACACTGAAAGGATTGAAGAGTTCATGGCTCTTCGCTTCTTTGCCTTGGTCTTTTTGTCTTTGACCTTGGCTTCTTGACATTTTACCGGACAACGGTCTAATGCCACCCTTCCTGCATTCCAATTGATACTGGGATTGTGGTATCATAGCCAATCTATTCCAATGATGACATCATCAGTTCCTAGATCTGTGATCAGAAAGGCCACTTCTTCCTCATGATCCCCTATCAGTGAGCTTTAAATCTGCTGTAACTTGTAATCGGTCCGGCGGAATTGTCTGTTTCATC